AGGCGCTGGCACCTGCGGCTTATACGACCAGCTTTTACACCTATAGCACCGCGTAGTAAACGCTATCTCCGTAATAACAATAAAATAAGACGTCCAACAAGGAACCGCTCGTACGAATACAAAAAAAAAAGAAAAAGAACACACCAGGTTATTCGGCAGCTCACAGAACCATGAGAAGAAGTCGCGGATGGTGGATGCCCCGTTTGTACCCCACGGGCGTGCCTACGGCCCATTCCCAGCTGACAAACATTCAACAAAACAGTATTCTCGCAAGCATGACAAACATACCTCAGCATGGTTTAGTCACACTACCGCGACAAATACCGATTTGTTTGCCCTCACCCTCCCCCCTCCAAAAAAAAAAATGAAATAAATTATCTAGCTCCTTGGAGAGCTGACCAGTCTTCCCTAGACATTATCGCCTGCTCGGCATATTTCTGGGTGGTGTTCGTTGTCCGACGCTCAAGTGGGCCGAGACCCTTCAATCAACCGCAGACAAACAAATGTTGAACAAATGCTGAAAGTTCACCCACTCGCTCACAAATTCTTAGTTACTTCTATCGAACGAATGTGCTTGCGAAACAAGTGGTTACTGCTCCATAAATATGGCAGTATTTTGACTACTTCCAGCTCTTCTAGTATAACTAAATATTTTCTTAAAAATATATATTTCTGCGCGCTTTATAGCAGAACATATTCAGCTCAACCTAAGAAATCTTCGTCCTTTCCGATAAAACATCACCACCGGCGCCACGCCAAAAATCGAAATGGGAATTTCAGAAACATTGTAGTTAAGGCCCTAAACACCAATTTCTTCGGAGCTTCATAGCATGAATTTCTTTAAAACAAATACTTGCAGAATAATAGCCTTACTTTCGGTGATTACTTGTACTAACATTACTTTTGGCGTGTAGCGATTTTGTAACGCAATTTACTTTTCGGAGATTTCTTTCGTAATTTATTTATAAAATTAGAGCAGCTTATAAATATGGCTAATATGCAAGTTTTTTTTGTTTTTCTTTTGTTTTTATGTTTGCGGGCATTACTAATATAGGGCGTGTGAAGTACGCCACTACCTCACGGAGCCGGGGTTTCGGGCGCCGTCTCGTCGTGTTTGTGTTACCTCGTTCCCACCTCGGACACGATGAAACCGGAACCCGTCCTGACCTCCCGCCGATCCAGCTCCCGCGATCCGCTCGGCGGTCCACAAAACCGTGTTCATCCCAAACGCCCGACTTTTTAAACGACCGCTCTATCGATGTCAAGAACTAGCTATTTATTACCAGCAAGGAAAGTACGTAAAGCAAGTATATGACAACCCAGCCGTTATCGATATGAGCCGACTCAGCTTTCGGATGACTACAGTTTTCTGTTTGAATAATCACCGACACACTGTCTGCCGACAAGCCCGCGTTTGCCCGTGCGGACATCGTACGTACACACAAACCAAATCTCGCAGAGGGGAAGCGTCTGCACATGCGCAGTGCCGACAGGGGCGCCGCCGCCGCACTGGAGTAAAGTCAGAGGGTCGAGTTGACGTGTAGTGTACAGGCAACAATATAATTTGCTTCGAAACATCGACAAAAGAACGCCTAAGAAGTTTAAAGGCTTCGAGTGAGCGTGTGCTCGCGCTCGGTGACTCGGAAGTGGAACCAAGCGATTGGTTAGCATACTCGAGCGTACTGAGAAAGTACGACTAAAAAGAAATGGCTAAGAAAGATGTCGTCAGAATATAGGCAACCAGTCGCAATTATTATTATTATTATGTTTTTGAAATTGTGTGTAGTAGCATATTGCTTTGGGGGAGCGCTTTCCCCTCAGCACGCTGCTGCACTGCGGCGAAGCAAGACATGTAAAGTGCGACAAGCACACTGAACGCAGTCAGGACAGACAACGAGCATGAGAAATATCGCGGAACTTCCGAGTAGTATCAATGTTTGATACAAGGATCTAATTGAATATGGTGGGCGATAATGGAAAGTTTTTCAAATTCGCATTATATCTATGCGGAATGCACGGTCGTCTGCTTCTTTTTCAGGGGTCGTGATGACGTCAGAACGCCGAGCTCTGACTGAAGGACAGTGGGTAGACCTCAAGGCAATCCTTCGATTAGAGCTCCGCGTTCTGACGTCACCCCTGAAAAAGAAGCAGACGGACCGGCGCTCCGCATTGCGTACGATCGGGCCATGTAACGGGGCCTGATTTATTAGAATTTCAGCGCTAATAGAGTACAAAATAAGTATTGGCACAATGTCGGCGCAAGTTCGTCACATTTTGGTAAAATAAAGCCGGATGTAGTTGGGTAACTGCTTTGGAGCAGTTTGGCGCAAAAGGGGCGCAGCAATCGCATCACTGCAAGTCGCACACGTTCTAAATTCTATGTTATACGATACATTACATAGTCACGCGAGTCACAAACTCTCCAAAGTAACCAAACAATAATTCTACACCAGTACCGGTCGTCACTGGGTCAACATTTCATGGCCCACAATTTCTCTTAAATTCGTTTCTTATTGACATTTTCCGGGTTACAAACAACACAAAATGGCAATATAGTAGCAATGGAACATGAGCGAGTGCATGTTCCATGACATGAATCAGCAAACAATAAAGAAAACATATTGGTTTCATACATTTGTAGGAAGATAAGTTAATTCTAAATTTTAATAATATTTACTTACAGAATTTAGATATAGCAGGTATTGGCATGAGATACGAGAAACCCACCGCTACACCGGAGCGTTCACGGACTACACCGCGTTCTGTTTCGTGATTGTGCCTTTACATGTCCCACGCCAATACGGCATGGGTCCGTTGCCAGCGTTTTTCTTCGACCCCTTTCTTTCGTCTCGATAAAAACTCCCCGTTGAGAGGCTACAATGTTCTCACATTCGGTAGCGGCCGGAGGTTCCAACTTTCACCGAAGAAACCGCACAGAATTACAATACTTCCCCACCCTGCTCCATACTAGCAGAGCCGTTCTACTCGGCCTTCGAGCCACACAACGCTACTACTACTACTGCTTCCTGCTAAAAAAAGGGAGGCTACTTGACATGCACGGAGCGTAAGAACCCCGACCGACGCAATACACCAGCGAGCGAGATCTTGGCAGGCGGAACATGCTTCGAGCAAGGGCGAATGCCACACGAAGAACACGTGCCATTCACTTTTTACTGCCCGTCAGATTACTGTGTTCTACACGCGGGATACATCAGGGCATATGTTTGGGGAGGTGATCTAACGCTCGTGACCACGATTGCCTGTCGCGAGCTGTCAATGAACCGGCTGACCTCGGCACGGGAGTGCCCGCTTCCTCCGGCACGATACGGTCGGTGCCTTGGCGCAGAACGTTCGCCGATGTCTGCGGGGCAAAGGCGCTTGTGGAATCCCGCCAACGACGGACATTTATGAAAGTTTGTTCCGGGATAATCTCCCAAAAAGTCGGGGGAGTGTCCGGATATAGAAAAACTCGACGTACGACCGTTCATTGGAAACCTCAAACTTACATCGAACGAAAAAGAAAGGCATTCTCGCTTCATGCCGTCCTATGACTTCAGAGCTTTTAGCATGAACTTCGAAGGTCAAAACACAATATGTAAAACCACGTAATATCTAAATAATAATAATAATCATAAGGTTTTGTTTTTACATGCCGAGAAAGACGGCACATCACAGTGCTTTCCGTCTTTCCTGACAAGTAGAACATGGGCAACCGTACGCCGCAATGCATGCACCGCGTTTATTATAATAAGCCTGAATAGGTATAAACTCATAATTCATAACTCGTCACTCATAACGAGCCAGTTTGAAGGAGTAGGTCTAGATTCGACCAAGCTTTCGAATGCCAAGCGGTTTGGCGGCGATCGTAAGAGAACAGCGGAAGTGATCCTGCAGCCCAACAAACCGCCTTGCCAAAAAAAAGTGATGAAGAAAAAGAAATGCACGACGATTACCTTCGCACATCAAGAGGCTCGCGCGCTCGAGCGGCGTAGCGCAAGCAAGGTCTTCTGAATTGGCGGTGGCTGAGAAGTCGCAGCAAGAGAAATGAAAATGCAGAGGCGTGAGCTTTCCCGTCACACAATCGCATGCCGACAAAAAAAAAATGAACTGGCAACCGCCGTGCGAATAGATGCGTCTCCAGACGTCAACGGACCATTAACCTGATTCGAGCAAACCAAACTCAGAGCCACGCGGAAATAAAAATAATAAATAAATAAAAGGCGAAGCATTTCGGCGAGTGGGTAAACAGTGATGCGTGCTCGTGAGCCGCTCCAACTTTCGGGGCTACGATCGGTGCGATCGGCAAACGCGTTCCAATGACAACTAGGACCGCCACAGTACACATCTCCTTTAGCGATAAAGACGGACAGGTGCGAGGTTAGACGGCTCGATTTGCATCCGAACGAGGACGAGTCATTGAAATGAGAGATCTTTCAGTAGCGTTGCAGCGAGCGAGCGCGGTTGGTGCGATGCCATGCAGATAGTTTTGACGGCGCTCACTTACCCGCTTCCAAGCTCCCGAGCGTCACGACTGCGTCGGGTCCACTTCCTAGTTATTGTCCGTTCGCTTGCGGCCGGGTTGACGCGGGACCACCACCCAAAGTCGCGACATTTTGCCACACCATTCGATCATGACAGCAACCTCTCGCGTTCATCGCACTCCTCTTTCAGAAACCAGATATTCATGAAAACATCAAAGGAAAAGAATGTCAAGGATGGCGATGATGATGATAACGGTGGTCGCGGTTGTCGCGCCATCTGTGATCATTTCTTGCAAAGATTCGTCAACGTAACTAACAAAACATCTGTGGGGCTTTAAAGTAAAACGTGATGGTTGAGATATAAATAAAGTACTTTTTAAAGCGTAAATTTAATATGGTTGCCTGCAACGAGATAAAATTATTTGTTCACAAAAAATAGGTTGGGATGGATGCCCAACTTTGTCGGGTTTTCAAGGGCTCATTTCGTTCATTTGGCTACCATGCGTTTACAAACTTCGTCCGCTTCGCCCGGTCTGTCCGCTCCGTGGTAAACACGTGCGGTATTTAGCTCGCGATCGCTTGCGAAATTCGCTCTTACCTCAGAATATGTGGTATCATAATGTTTATGAAACTATTTGTCAAGTTTAGGACTACGTTATAAATTTAATTGAAGCTTTGAGAGGGTGTTGGTTTCGCTTCGCTGTGATCCCGTGGTGAAGTTGATGTGCGACTTTGAACACCCATCTGAACCCAACAAAAATCGACGACATGCTCAAGACACTCTGTAGAGCGCGTAAGTAGATTCAAGTTCTGCCAGACCTCGTAAATCTTCACCTCGCAGTTCTTTAAGGAACGTATTTATACCTCAAGGGCTTCGTACATCCACGGAGGGCGAAATCCAAGAGGAAGCTCACACTGATTGCAAACTCTTATTTCAAATACGCGCGGCAGTATTGTGATTACTCCACACTATCTTTTTATTTCTATCGTTTTCCCTAGCGCTCTCTTCTGTTGATCACTGACGCAGCCATTAAAGATGCTCCTATTGTTAGAACGGACTGTTTTGATACAACGAAGTTCTTGAGACAACGATGTTCGCATTTAATGACCACAACCAATCGTATTTATGCTTCATCGAGGGAGCTGAAAATGTGTATTGATTTGTATCGATTTTATAAGGGTCGAGATTTTCAAGGTGAAACTATGCGGTGCACCCACTGCATTCCGACGAATGATTTGTTTTCAACAAATCCATACACCACGTAAAAAACGCAGTGTTGGGAAGTTTAAGTACATGGTGCTTAAAGCACTACTTCAACTACGTTTAGAAAACTTGTACTTTACTTGAAGTACAGTACATTCTCAGAGTGTACTTGTACTTTTTTAGTTGAAGTATTTTTTTCTGGCAGTTTCAGAGGAAAGTGCAACTCACGACTTCAAAGTACATTCCCAAAAGTTCGTCTTTTTAAATTTGTATCACAAAATTATGTTTTGTCAACTCTGAAGAAATACTGGGAGAGGTATGCTACTTTCACCAGAAACACGAGCAGATGATGCATCACTCATCTGGTTATTTCTCCGAGTCAAGTAATGGCGGCTATAAGACCGATACTAATAAGTGCCTTATAAATTGATTGTGTTAAATAGTTTGTCAGTTAGAGTAAGACAGCTTTTCTGTGGCCACTTGACTATATCCAATATTCACTGCCCTTTCCAAAAATAACTGATAACTCCCCAATTATCCATAAAACAATGCATACCAGTTTAAAAAAAAAAAAAATTTAGGGGATCGAAGGGGCATTATGAAAGATTCTGTTCAAAAGTACCTGTACTTTACTTTGAAAATACATTGTATTTATAGTGCTTCAAGTACATTGTGCCCGGTGTACTTACTACTGGACTTGAAGTACATCACCTCTCATTTACTTTGTACTTTACTTCAAGTACTTTTTAGATGTACCCAACACCAAAAAATCTTAATTCTCTGCTTGATGTTTCACAGACACCTTACATGCATGTTCTACCGTAGAATGCCGTGCATCCGCCCATACCACATTAAGCCCCCATACCCAAATTTGTAAGATCTGAGAAAATATGCACAGTACATTGATATGTAGAATTGATGACCACACAAGCGCCCATCCCCCATTTTTTCATGATTATCTCAAACTTTTGAGTGGGCGCTTGCCCGGTATTTTACGGTATCAGATCTTTACACAACTTGTCGCAGTTTTCTTCCTAGGAAGAAGTCTCATACACGAGAGCTATCCATATAATTGTGAGATATCTGTAGAGAAACACATTGCAAATGTAAGTTGAACATATGCTTTGCCTTTCACTGACTTCAGGCATCATTAGTTTGTCCAGTGTTAGAACAAGAAACAGAATTTAGAACACAATTAAAAAAGGGTGAACATAAATGTAGGTCTTCCTAGGCTATGTGACACAGGCTACCGTCTGATACAAAGGGTATGGCCTCTACTATCCACCTGTCCAGTAACGTGACTCAGTCTCTATAAATGTTGCTCACGTTTATGTTAGAAGCTCTTTACTGGTCAGGATGGTCGGGCCATGCATCGCAGGTAGACAATGCAATTGGCTGCGTGCAATGTATGAGAGGTTCAAGGTCTGACTCACTGCCCATTGTCTTCGTCTTGTAGTAGACACACCTCCATCTTGTATGCACTTATATTATTGTAGTAGTGACTTTCGAAGGTGGCACAACTATTATTGTGAAATTCATACCAGCAAACTATTTTGTGACAGTAAACTGCGTCGAACACTGTTTGGCATGGTCAGACTGTCAAACATATGGTTTGACGATGAATGACAAACTGTTTTATGAAATGGCCAATCCGCTTCAAAGCACCTGCCATTGTGTGTGAAAAATTTGAAATTGGAAATGCTCAAACAACAAATTTTGGTAGCATTTTCCAATGCAGGTTTTTTTGTCACAATTTTGGCTCACTCTGTGTATGCGAACATCACTCGATGCTGCTTTGAAAAGGAAAGGGTTATAGCAATTAAAATTCTACATTAATAAATTAACACACGATATAGTTGCCTTTCATTTCTCTGCCTTTACGTGCTAAGAAGCCTCTCATTTTTTGTGTCTACGTTCCCCGTTGCCGGTACTGTAGATTTATGTATTTATTTAATCAGAACTTTAGCTTACTGGTTAAGAGTTTTATTATATTTTGTTTCCATGGTGGAAAATACCACTGGCTTCCTCCATTCCTGACCTCAAGGGAAGGAAGTCACCCAATTGCATCTTTGCGAGTTCTTCTCCTGTTGTCTTTTAGCAAGGGCCAACAAAAGCTTGTTTTCGTGCTTTTTCTTTGAAGTGCCCGAGCATTGACGTTGGCTAACCAAGCCCTTCCTCTTAGACGTTCCAGGCCTCAGACTTGTGCCCTCAACATGCACACATGTCTCCAAGTTGTTGCGTTCCCTTCGAAGGGCCAAGCACACATTGAAGGACAATAAGGCCCGTTACGATGTGATCGTTGTCGGCGGCGGTCATGCCGGAACCGAAGCAGCTTCCGCATCAGCACGGATGGGCTGCAACACGCTGCTGCTCACACATCGGTTCGATACCATAGGTGAATTTGTCTTACTTGTTCGTGATATAGGACCTCATATTGAATATTGCTGTTGCTGTGGCCTTCTGACACCTTGAGTTCAGTACTGTGCCCCAACGGGGGTTTGTTTGGTGTTTATCCCTCGTTTGTGCGATCGTCCTAGACTCCCGATGTGAGATCTCCACTGGCTTCCCTTTATGTACCCACCATTACTTTTTTTCTGCTGGTTTTTTTTTTTTTTTTTTAGCTCTAGTCTTGTTTTAGACACGTCTTGGATTTGAGTGTCTTAAAGGTGCACTAAAGACGTTTCTGAGATCGTCTGTTCTTGGTAATAACTTTTCTTACGGGCTCCAAGCATCCTAAAAATCAAAAAATTATGCTTGTGCGACATCTATTACCCTACTAAAAATGTGATAGAAGTTTGTGCCACACCCCTTTCTGCTCTTCATGGGAGAAGGGCATAAATACACTTCCTTTTGCCATTTCCACTGCTAACTGTTGCTTAGAGGATTTTGTTTTTAACTGTATGATCAAGCATGCACATGACAATGACGTCTTCTCCTCTTGCAAAAGTGGGGCTACTTTTATTACTGGTAGCAGCAAGAAACCTTTTCAACAGTATGTAAACTACACTTAAAATTACATATAGGGCTTCAGCATTGATTGAATAAAAAGTTTGGTCACTACTATATATTTTAGCGCCCACTTTTAGGAATGCTGTGACCTTGTCCATCCATCTTTCTGCAGTTCATGAATTTGCATGATATAAGTGATGCCTAGCAAAAGTACAATTTTCTAAACACAGCTGAGGTTGGACCTTCTACATTTATAACCTGTGCAGGGGAGATGTCTTGCAATCCATCCTTTGGAGGCATCGGAAAAGGACACCTGATGAGAGAAATAGATGCCCTTGGAGGAGTTTGCGGCAAAATCTGCGGTGAGTTCCGTAAAGATCTAGATGAGATTTAATGTTTTTGATAAGCTAATAGACTACTTCCAAAAATCCCTGCATGCAACACTGCGCACATTGCATTACAGGACCTTTTTGGCTATTCAATTTCAATTTTCCTGTTGACAAAATAGTGCACCTCAGAGCTGCTTGAAACTAAAGTCAGTGCTCGCTTACATTGCACCCAATTATCTTTGTGATGGCCGATGAAACATGGACATCCAGCGGACTGAAGGATCTGCCTAGACTTGGGGAGGAGTAGGAGTATGGCTGGTAGCATCCCATACCTTTCTGGCAGTCTGGCCACCCCTTCACAGTGCAGCACGACCCTCCCGGATTACGAATCACTTGAGACGATGGAACAGGATGATTGACCCAGTACAATTCTTTTTCCTTTGTTTACCTCTACACAAACTCGAGTATGTTGGGAGCCCCAAGGAACGTGCCCCGGCATTCTATCTGTATTGGTAGGCAACAGCATAAATTTAAGGAAAGTCACATATTCTAAAATACACGCACTGTATCTGGGCATGACGGGATGTCATGAACTGAGGTAGGCAATTCGAAACCGAAACGGTGGCCAAAAGGTACCCAAGATACTTTGCACGGTGACTGCTAGGATCTCTTCTATTTTGTGAGAGGTCTATTGTGACTACCACATTGACAAATATTTTATTTTATTATAACATTTATAGCGTTATAATGAATGGTTTATAACATTTTGAAGCTTCTGGGTGGGCTTCACTAACAGCTCAAAGCACAGAATAAGCAAAAAGTGTTTCTCTCAATTTGTGTATGTCGAAATTTTTAGCATAAATGCCTTTATAGATTTTATGAAATTGGATTGAAATTCGACAGTCTATATAGCGTAGGAAAAGAACTTAATATTTTATTAGTTTTGGTATTTTTTGTGAATGTGAATGGTAGATTTTTATAAAATGTCAAATCTGGGTCACGACGATAAAATTTATAGACATGTTAGTTTAGGTACTAAACCAATGAGAAATGAAAAAGTCATATCATTTGAATTTTTAATTCAATGTTCTATAAGATATTCTCTTCAAAATGTAAAAGCTATATTAGAAAAGTATTTTATAATTCCTAATAAAATTTTAAAACAAGTGCGTGTTTCTGTACTTTTGTGGCATTTTCCATGTTACCGCATTGCAAATTGTTTAGGTGATGTTTTTTTGTTTTTTTTTTTCGAACTAGAGAATACAATAAAAAAATAATTGATGCCATTTCATAGTGCAAGAAGGTCATCCTATGGGTCTGCTCATAGAGTTAAAGTGCAACTCTGCTCAATTCCAAAAAATTTAGGCTTACATGTGATTCCATTTTACAAAGCACTACTAAACAGCTCTAAGTCTTCGGATTCGCAAAATGTGGAATATTTTTTGGGTAATCTTAATTTAAACATTAGCTGATACCGAAACCGAAACTTAGGTTGCGCCAGGCAACATTGCTCTTGTGTCGTCAGAGTCATGGCCACGTCACGTCGAACCACATGGTCTTGTGTCGTTCATGGAGGCGAGTACAGGACACGCGACACGGGCATTTCGCTTCGTATGGCGTGGACGGTGATGGCCCGGGGGAGAGGGGGAAGGGAAGAAGACGAAAGAGGAGAGGGGAGGAGCGGAGAAACCGGACACGGGGAACAAGACCGATAAACGCGCAGGGCAGCGCAAACTAGCGCATCCGTGCTACGGTGATCACGTGGACGCCGTTAGCCAACAAAGGAAAGAGAAACTCATGACGTCATCGTTCAATTTCGCTCTGAGAAGTAAAAACAAACAAAACGTGAGGATGACGTAGACATGCCTCTGACGTGGTGGCACTGTGTTGGCCGCTCCAACTCCGTCGCATTGACTGCGCTGATGATTGCGCCTCCCGTCGCACGCTAGAGTTAGTAGATTTCGGCGACATGGCTCGTTTGAAAGTTTGCTGCCCAATTTATTAAATATATAGACGGAATTAGATCGTAATATTTGACATGGGGTCTTCCTATATGATACTGAAGAGGGCTGCATGGTTTTCTAAATATCAATAATGAAGCAGTGTTGCCCTTTAAATAATTTTTATCAATATGGAATATTTAGGATAAATTTGAAACTTTATAAAAAGTTTGGAAAATTATTACAATCTGGAATACATAGCAATCTGATTTGTTTCTTCACTAAAATAAATTGGGACTCTCGCGGAATGTCAGGGCAACACAGCATATCCGAGAGTCATGCATTTGACAGTAGTGCTCATCATCACTTGCTTAGAAAAACAAAATGTCAATTTAGTTTTTTTGTTTTTGTCAGAAGAATTATTTTATGCTCATGCGAGTGCTTCTCAATACCCATGATTGCACATTACCACGGGTACCACGGAATTTTGCCACAAATTTTGCTTTGACGCAGCGCACCCGCACAATAGGGGAAGCACTCTCAGCAGTGCTGAATGGTTTTTCATAAATTATTCTAAATAGTTGTGACGGGAAATAGGTTTAAAGTAATTTTTGATAATGTGCTATAGTCGGTTACAAGTCAAGAAGGTAAGAGAAGCTCCTTTCACGAGCATGATGTGCTCGTTTCAAATCCCTCTGCAGTCAAAAGAAGAGTTCACTGGAAACGGTCCTTGTTCCGCTTCAATGAATAGATATTGGCTACTGAGTGATACCAAGTTGTCTCCGATCCCACTTTTTAAGAAAGCGACCTTTGTATTCATCGGAGGGGGAACCGAGCCCCTGAGAGCAGCCTTGTATCCATCGGAGGGGGAACCTAACCTTTCCGAAGGAAACAAATACGACATTTGTTTCCATCGGAGGGTGAAAACTCCAATCTCCCTCTCGTGGCTTCCACAATGCTAAGTCAAAGTCGAAAGATAAAGCAAATATGTACAGAAAGGCAAGACCCTCCTCGCGCGTTGGTCGCGACGTCACGGAAACGATGGGACGCTGTTGGATGCGGAGGTGGCTGGGGGATATATGATTCCCTTTGAGGGGCATTTGCCGCTACCTTCTTGACCTGTAACTTACTGTAGTGTTCAGTTCAATGTTGGAGTCGAATTGACTATTTAGACAAAAGCTTCTGACATTTGCAGATGTCTCGAAATTTGTGATTTCTCCCAAGACTAAGGACATCGAAGATTGAAGCAGGATGTACCTATAGAAACAATTTTACCCCTGCAGCTTTCCTGCCTTTCACATTCTTTTATTGTAAAACAAGCTTCGAAGTCCATCTTACAAATAACAGGAAGATGTTTTGCTTTTTTGTCACTTCTTTGGCTTTGAGTTTTAAAGTAAGCAATGCTATCTTCTTATAGATGTTTGTAGCACACACGCACTACGAGGATGACTCAATTATAACATTTTCCTTGGAGAGTTCCTCTAAATTATTATTGCTTATATATTTTAATTGTTCCTTATCACCTTACATGTTTTCTGTACATTGTTAATCTGCTGGTTCTTCTTCCCTTCCCTAGATCTTTCAGGTATCAGTTATCGCATCCTGAACAGACGGAAGGGACCAGCTGTCTGGGTGAGTCTGTCACAGCTGCAAAACCCATCAGGTTAATGTTTCCACAGAAACACATGGTTGCTCACACTTCGTAGCAATAATCGTTCCAAAAGTCATAGAGGTTGTTTGTGCCAATCATAAATTCTTTAGCTTTAAAGGGCAACTGCGTTTTTAAATAAATACTGTGTCAGAGTTGTCAACATCTGGCCTCTATTTGTTTTGAACCCGCCTCTTTGGTCACTGATGCATTTTTTTCCATGGTTTCTACTAAAACAGAAAAGCCACCGGCAACAGGCATGTTTTAGGTCAAACTTGTATTCTTTGTACCAGTATGGTGCCTGGATTACGTCTTCGAATGGTGTGTTTAGCATCCTATCCCGCCCATACATCAGAAGTGGTCCCTAAGTGGCAACAAATGACGTCACAAAAGCCGGAGTGTCGTGCTGTTGCCTGTCTCGATCCTGGCGGTTGGCCGTAGAAATGCTGGCGAAAAGCACGAGCGAACGCGAGTGTCGCTGTCGTCACGGCGTCCCAGGCGTCCCAACTTCCGGCTGCTCTAGCTTCCGTAAACTGTCACAGTGGAGAGTGACCTGCAGCAGAACAGGCGTCTGCCATTTATACCACAACTGTTGGGACGCCGCCAGGGTCGCGATTGGCGACAGCATGACACTTTTATGACGTCATCAGGCGGAAATCGAGGGACCGCTTTTTTGGCCGCGGTAAACACACCAGTCGGAGACGCGTTCCAGACACCCTAGTACCAGCAAGCATCTGAAGTAGCGACCTGCCTCCTATACGTGAGCTACGTGTTTTCTTCGCTTTCTTTGTAGGGTCCTCGTGCACAGATCGACAGGACTCTGTACAAGCGCCACATCCAGAGTTACCTCAAGGACCATCCAAACCTGACCATCCTTTGTGGCAGCGTGGAAGACCTGGTGCTGGAAGGAGGGGGGCACAAAAAGCGGTGCTGCGGAATACGCCTGGGTAGGCCATTTCTCCCACCTTGCACCTCAGGAAGCAAGCCTGACATTGAGCTCATAAGTTACTAACTCGAACTTGAACATAATACCGCCCCAGTTAGTATGTCCTCGTGTAAGAGTAGTGTTTGTATTGCATTCAAGTTTGTTAGCAAGCCAAAAAAAATGCTCTTCTTGTTTCTAAGCTCAGATTGTAACAGGAGTATTGACATGGAGCGTCGTGAAAGTTGGTTTGCAGCCCCATCAGATTTTTCGGACTATGAAATTTCGAACATGCTTTATTATTCGGCCATCCTTGCGGGAATGTCACTCATTCAATGGAGTTTTTTTATTACAATCTGGCCTTTAAAATGTCATGCAGCTCATTGCTCAGTTTCTTTATTTATGCCTTTTGCACCCATATTCTCACCTGTGTGAACCGAGTCGCTGCCATTTTGATTTTGACTTGTAGCCTCGTTGTGACCGATACATTGTCCGACCCCAAGTGAAACTCAGCCCAGCTGGAGCTGGATTATGAAACTTCCTTGCTGAATCTAGCTGGATTGAGTTGCATTTCCAGCTAAATTCAGCTGGGACGAGGGCTTTGATACATTTCTAAGCTGTACTGATTTTTACCTGGGACGTCGTAGAGAAGCTAGATTTAGCTATAGTTGGATGTTCTAGCTTCCCTCTAGCCGCCGTCACCCTCATCACGATGGCCACTGCATGGCCACCATTCCTTTTGCATCTCTGAATTCGAGTTTAGGCAAGTGCTTTCTGATGACAATTCTAGTGGTGAGCTCAGTCTCAAATTTGCTTTTCTTTAGCTTCTTGTATTTAAATAATAATTATAGTCTGCAGGCTCACCTGCTCATATTCTCACTTGTTCCATTGTAAGAAAAGCAAAATCATTTGGAAACTTTTTTTTTCTACTTCTAATTGTGTTTTTTTTTTATTTTCTAGAGGATGGTTCTGAAATCTACTCGCACTCCGTTATCCTGACCACGGGCACATTCCTGAGAGGGCAGATCAACATCGGTCTTGAGACATATCCGGCTGGACGATTAGGTGACAAGCCGGCTATTGGGCTGGCCCAGACTCTGGAGCGGCTTGAGTTCAGGCTTGGAAGGCTGAAGACAGGTCTGTTGCCAGTCTCAAACCGACCTCTCCATAATATGGCTTAGAATTTATTTTTTATTTATCATTTTCTGGAGGTTTTGAGGCTTACCGTATTTACTCGCACGATGAACGCACTCGCGTAATGAACGCACCCCCCAAGTCGGCTCTCAAAATTTCGACTTTTTTTTTCCACTCGCATAATAAACGCACCCCCAACTCCGACGTCAAAATTTTGACCCCCTCCCCCCACGCGCGCCAGATGGACGCGCTTTTTTTCCTAATGCATGGGCGAACAAAACGCCTTGCAAAAGGCGTTAAAAAATTCGCAAAGATGCAACCGAAGCAAGAACAAAAAAACACGGAGAGGAGCTTTTTTTTTTTTTTTTTTTTTGCACAGCGCAGTCTGGACTTTGGGTTTGCGCGCCGCCGCGCGCAAGGAGGTAAGAAAGAGAAGCGGAGAAGCGCTCTAAGCGAACGAAACAGCTTGCGAAAGGCGGCAAAAATAAAAAAAAAAATAAAAAAACCACGGAACTAAGAGAAAACATAAACAAAAAGGAGCTTTTTTTCTTTTTTCTTTGCACAGCGCAGTTTGGTTACTGGGGGTCGCGCGCCGCGCGCAAGGAGCTAAGAAAGAGGAGCGGAGAAGCCCTCTAAGCAAACGAAACAGCTTGCGAGAGGCGGCAAAAAAAAAATAAAAAGAAACACCAAACTAAAAAAAAAAAAAATTTTTTTTTTTTTTTTTGCAAAGCGCAGTTTGGTTACTGGGGGTCGTGCGTCGTCGCGCGCCGCGCTCAAGGAGATAAGGAAGATAAGCGGAGAGCCCTCGCCTAAGCAAACAAAACAGCTTGCGAAAGGCGGCAAAAAAAAAACCCCAAGGAACTAAGAGAAAAAGAAAACAAAGGATTTTTTTTTTGTTTTTGCACAGCTAGTTAGGTTACGAGGTCGGGCGCCGCGCGCAAAGAGATAAGAAGTTCCTTCGATTTTTCAGGATAAAAGGTCGGTTCATTATGCGAGTAAATAGGGACGCAAAAATTTTACTTCGCGTAATGAACGCTCCCCCCAACTTTGCATCGATTTTTCGGAAAAAAAAGTGCGTTCATTCTGCGAGTAAATACGGTAATTTAGTGTTTCGGTTACTTTTCTTTGTAGAACCAGAGAAACATTTATGAGGGTAATCTACTTTTCGTGGGCACAGAAAAAGACGAATTCTTTGCAGTTTCTGAAGTTGAAGCTGAAGATTCCAAAAAGCTCGATAGCTTTTTGGTGTCCAAACGCCAGCTAAGAGCCTAATTTTTATGCTTTGCAGCCAAACTTGAATATGTTTGCTTTTTGAGCGCTTGTAACAAGGTGTAGTCACTTGAACTGAAGTGCCCTCTAAAGTAAACTTTTAGAACATGAATATAAAGCTGTTGCAGGCAATGGATATAGTAGTGCCGCACTCATACTACCTACACTGAAATAAGAGTAAACTGAAATACAAGACTGTTACGAGGCATGTAGTGGGGCTAGTTGGTGGTGCATACTTGTTTGGTGGGAAGAGCACTAAAGGACCTAGGACCAGAGCGAAGAAACACGAACAGGTTGCTGACTTACAACTGAAAGTTTATTGCTGTGCAAAAACAAGAATAAACACGGAAAGGGGGAAAGGGAAGAGAACAAAATAAGCAAACCGATGACATACAGATTTAGCCACGTCTACACACGGCCACACGAACTTGCTACACTTTTTAATTAAATCTCCCTCCTCACCTATAAGGGCAACAGGAAAAGCGTTCACACACGAGTCCGCTCCATGAGTTACCATAAAATAATTAAAAATATGCTTCGTCTATCTTTATCGCATTCTTGCTTTTGTGTTGAGACAAAATCTGAATGTTGTGGAATGACGGCGAGAAAACAGTCACACTACTACAATGGACCGCTAGGTTCCCCGAGGGCGAAGAATGCAGAGAAAGAGAAAATATCTCTGTTGCCCTCGTACGTGACAAGGTAGATCTCATTAAAAAGTATGGCAGGTTTGTGTGACTGTGTGTAGGCGTGGCTGATTCTGTATGTCATCTGTTTGCTTTTTTTGTTGTCTTCCCTTTCCGTGTTTATTTTTCTGTTTTTGCACAGCAATAAACTTTCAGTTGTAAGTCTATGCTTTTTCTGTGCGTTCCTTGTCCTGGTCCTACCTCTTTTAGCGCTCTTTCCACCATACAAGGCTGTTGTCATTGAAGAAAATATTTGCTTCTCCCGGGCATGCAGGGACCCCCGCCGAGGCTGGACGGTCGCACAATCGATTACAGCAACCTAAAAATTCAGCTGGGAGACGACCCTCCCGAGCCTTTCTCGTACAGCAACTCTTCAGTCTGGATAAAGGTAAAGGTGCAGCGATCACCCCAGCAGACGAAGCACTGGCCGCAACTGAAGAGTTCCTTTCCAAATGACGCCCTACTTGGGAATCGCGGAGCAACACCGAAGAAGCAGATTGTTTTATTTTTTCCATTAGTCGTAACCAAAGTTCAGCTATTACTATACTCCGTTTCACCTTCCGTCCGAGCACAGCGGACGCTAGGAGCCATCCCAGCCAATGCGGCATTGAGGGAGTGTCATGCGGCCTTGAGCTCCCTGTGTCGCCCCGCCCCACTGGCAGGTCACGCGAATTTCTCCCGGTGCTGAATCGGCTGGGATAACTCGTGGCGTCCACTGCGCTCGGACTGAAGGTGAAACGGAGTATAGCTGAACTTTGAGGTAGCCATGCCACTGGACGCCCCCCCCCCCCCCCCCCCCCCCCCCCCCCCCCCTCGGAACTTCGGACGTATCGACGACGAGATGTTTTGGTGTCGTACTCTCGGGCCGCGGTCACACTGCCTAATGCATTGAAAGTAAACATCTTCGACAGAAATCTGTCTGGTTTGGGGAACAATTCGAAAAAAAGAAAACTCAAACCGAAAGTTTAGAAACAGCAGTTCCCAACGTTTCGGGGTCGACTTGACTCCTTCTTCAGGGGTGACTAAAAATGGAATTGGACAGCACGAGCTTCGACCTCTCCTTCTTCTTCTACCGAGGTGATGTTTTCTGAACGTGACGCAGGCCATGGACGTAAATAGATGGTAAGGCCCCGAGGGACCTGTTAATGTTCCCCGGTGTATTCTGGATGTGCCACGACTCCAAGAACAGGCGTCTTCGAATATGTGGCTTCGTGTCTATCACGTGTGCTTTTCCGAAGTCGATCCGATGGTCAAACACCTCACAATGTTCCGCGATGGCGCTACGCTCGCGATCGAAATTGCGCACATCGTTCTGGTGCTGGCGCATGCGTTCGGGAAAAGATCTAGTTTCACCGATGTAGGCGGCGGGGCACTCCGCACACGGTATCTTGTAGACCACGCCCTGTGCTTTCTCTTTTGGAAGGCGATCTTTTGGCCTTGGCATGAGCCGTCCTAATGTTGACACTGGCTTGTGCGCCACTTGGATACCTTCTTTTCGGAGCACGCGTGCCAGTGTCTCGCTCGTCCCTTTTACATAGGGGACGCTGATGCGCGCGATGGGGTGGGGCTGTGTGTCACCCGACGATCCATGGTTGTTGCGCGTGCAGCACTGTCGACGGGCGACGCGTTGGACAAAACTCCTTGAATAGTCGTTTTTTTGGAGGTCAGCAAGTATGGTCTGATTCTCCTTTCTTCTGTCTCTTTCGGACGAGCAGATGGTCGTTGCTCTAGACAGGAGAGTAGAGACCACCGACGTCTTGTGACTCGTTGGGTGGTTCGAGTCATAATCAAGGTAGCGTCCGGTGTGTGTTGGCTTCCTGTAGACCGTGAACCCCAGCTTGTCTCCTTGCCTTTTCACCAGAGCATCGAGGAACGGCAAGACTCCATCTCTCTCGTATTCTACAGTGAACTGGATGGCCGGTTCTATGGAATTCAGGTGTGCGAGGAAGTGGTTCACCTCTGATTTCTTCACGATGCAAAAGCAATCATCTACATAGCGCATGAACTCTTTTGGCCTGTTGGCGAAAGTGCTAAGCGCTTTCTGTTCAACCACTTCCATTGTGAGGTTTGCCGTCGTGACCGAAATAGAGGCGCCCATTGCCGTTCCGCCGACTTGTTTGAAAAGCTCACCCTTGAAGCTGAAGTACGTACTGCCAAGGCAGAACTCGAGAAGGCGGCATAGCTCATCAACACTGAGGCTGGTTCTTGAGCCCAATGTTTCGTCTTTCTCGAGAACCTCTCTGGCTGCAGCAACTGCTAAGGGAACTGGCACGCTGCGTGCCAGTTCCCTTAGCAGTTGCTGCAGCCAGAGAGGTTCTCGAGAAAGACGAAACATTGGGCTCAAGAACCAGCCTCAGTGTTGATGAGCTATGCCGCCTTCTCGAGTTCTGCCTTGGCAGTACGTACTTCAGCTTCAAGGGTGAGCTTTTCAAACAAGTCAGCGGAACGGCAATGGGCGCCTCTATTTCGGTCACGACGGCAAACCTCACAATGGAAGTGGTTGAACAGAAAGCGCTTAGCACTTTCGCCAACAGGCCAAAAGAGTTCATGCGCTATGTAGATGATTGCTTTTGCATCGTGAAGAAATCAGAGGTGAACCACTTCCTCGCACACCTGAATTCCATAGAACCGGCCATCCAGTTCACTGTAGAATACGAGAGAGATGGAGTCTTGCCGTTCCTCGATGCTCTGGTGAAAAGGCAAGGAGACAAGCTGGGGTTCACGGTCTACAGGAAGCCAACACACACCGGACGCTACCTTGATTATGACTCGAACCACCCAACGAGTCACAAGACGTCGGTGGTCTCTACTCTCCTGTCTAGAGCAACGACCATCTGCTCGTCCGAAAGAGACAGAAGAAAGGAGAATCAGACCATACTTGCTGACCTCCAAAAAACGGCTATTCAAGGAGTTTTGTCCAACGCGTCGCCCGTCGACAGTGCTGCACGCGCAATAACCATGGATCGTCGGGTGACACACAGCCCCGCCCCATCGCGCGCATCAGCGTCCCCTATGTAAAAGGGACGAGCGAGACACTGGCGCGCGTGCTCCGAAAAGAAGGTATCCAAGTGGCGCACAAGCCAGTGTCAACATTAGGACGGCTCACGCCAAGGCCAAAAGATCGCCTCCCAAAAGAGAAAGCACAGGGCGTGGTCTGCAAGATACCGTGTGCGGAGTGCCCCGCCGCCTACATCGGTGAAACTAAATCTTTTCCCGAACGCATGCGCCAGCACCAGAATGATGTGCGCAATTTCGATCGCGAGCGTAGCGCCGTCGCGGAACATTGTGAGGTGTTTGACCATCGGATCGACTTCGGAAAAGCACACGTGATAGACACGGAGCCACATATTCGAAGACGCCTGTTCTTGGAGTCGTGGCACATCCAGAATACACCGGGGAACATTAACAGGTCCCTCGGGGCCTTACCATCTATTTACGTCCATGGCCTGCGTCACGTTCAGAAAACATCACCTCGGTAGAAGAAGAAGGAGAGGTCGAAGCTCGCGCTGTCCAATTCCATTTTTAGTCACCCCTGAAGAAGGAGTCAAGTCGACCCCGAAACGTTGGGAACTGCTGTTTCTAAACTTTTGGTTTGAGTTTTCTTTTTTTCGAACTGCCTAATGCATCATGCAAAAGGCAGTCTACAGAGAATGAGGCATTTTTGTTTTTTTTGTTTGGCGGTCCTGTTCACGTTGGTCATACAGAACTTGTCTACAGGCATGTTGGAAGCATACTCGTATACGAAACAAACATGCTTCGAAGATGCTGGAGGCATGTCCGCATAAGCTTCCGTCATCGTGTCTGCGACAAACACTGTGTCTCGTGTACAATCTATGTGAGCAGTGTGACTCCGGCTTTATGGTTCCTACTAGTGACAGCATGATAGTATGATTATCAAATGTGAACAACGAGCTCTATGGTATCTGTGCTATGTGTAACGAGCACGGCGGAAGCTTCGAGTCCTGTTCCTAAAATCAATGTTGTCGAGGTTAGCAGTCTGACCTTATGGTATCTTTACATCTTTATTTCCCATCAAAGCACTCTCATTTCTTATTTCCGTCGACGAAAGTGGAGTAAAACAACCAAGGGACTCTGATCCTAGTATAGTGCCCGTTTGGTAAATCGTGGCTTGCCACGGCGACACTTTTGCCGCATGTTTTCAGGCTTTCTCCCGTCTAAAAGAAATTCCATACTCCTCTCCCCCAAAAAATAGGCTTTGGCCCCCCCCCCCCCCCCCCCCCCCCCCCCGCCGATGCCGCAATGAAATAGCCTGTTTTATGTCCATTTTTGGCGCTATTCCAGCAGCTATTGGTCAATACTCGGAATACTCACACAAACTCTGATACATGTAGTCGAGAGATATTTTTTTACTGCGGTTGAATTCGCTCGTGTACCATATCATATCTGGCCCAAGTGGAGCCTTTTTTTAATTGCCAGGGTGTTTTACTTCTTCGTCAACACTTTCTGTTGCTGAGCGTACCTTGGTTCTTGCCCAGGCCGAGGACCAGGTGCCAATGCACCTGACCTATACAACGCCCGAGGTGGACGCACTGGTGATGGAGAACCTCCACCTGGACAGGCATGTGAAAGAAGAGATCACAGGTGTGAGGTAGGCTGGCTCCTCTGTCAATGTCCTCTTCCATTCTCAGTTCTGTGCTTCATTGTCTTTTTTTCTGCTTTTAAGGGCACTTCATACATGCTGCTGCACAATATTTTTAGTTTCTCGTCTTGCTGCATTTGTGAATGATCCAAGGCAGGTAATGAGAATGATGTGTGCCTGCGAAGGACTAGTGCTGAGAAAGACGAAGCTGCGCATTCGATGTGCAAGGCATGTTGCACGGATGCAAGGTTCTTCTCAAGCTTGAACGCCGAACCGACCTAGTCGAAGCTGGGACGTGTCTGGTGTATGTTCTAGGAATTCTACGATTGGTGGCAGCGGTCATACGGCAACGGTTACTACAATCCCTGTAAAGATATTCTCTCATACATTTTTACCGATGAGGAAAATCTAAATCCCGAACAAAACTTTTTAGTGCTGTTACTTTGCTGTCACATTTAATTCTTGTCACTACCCCAGATTATTACAAAAACAGTGATACAAAGAACTCGGAAATATTGTGTGACAGCACATGCGGGGAACACTCAAAAGGCGAAGAGGCAATGGGGAGTGGGGGACATTCTTCATCGGTAGCCTAGCAGTTAGTGCGTTTATAAAAAGTTGGTAATGTGGGTATCAGCAAAACATGTGTGTACCTGTGCTACATAAGTTAATGCTTGGAGAGTGCCCTCCAGCTATACTCCATTCACCCCTAAGCTGAAACTGCCATGGAAGCCACATCCTAATTGGACCAATCATACTCCTCTCTTCCGCCACGTGATCATGCTCCTGTCCATAGAGAGCCGGATCAGCTGATAAAAGGGATGCGGGTGTTTGATTCGGCAGGCATGTAGCTCCCACCGCAGTCTCAGCTTAGGGGTGAAGGGATTATAGAGTGAGCTGGGGGATTTGTGCTTTCCATGGGACAAGTCACTGGAAATCTGCAGCTATCTTTTTTTTGTTATTTAGTTCCGCCTTTTTTTCTGGGCATCTTGTTTGGTCATTTGTAATTACTATGTCAACTTTTGCAGATAGTGGTTTTCAGTCCTTTCTGATAAAATGAGTTGCTCACAGCCTCTGTAGCTTACCCCAGGATGTGAACCTTCCCTAGAATTGGCTATCTGCATGGGAGTTTGAAATCTGCATGCCAGTGGCCATTAACAATGACAGTGTTCGTCTTACTGCTCCCCCTAGGTACTGCCCATCAATTGAGTCCAAGGTCCTCCGTTTCAAGGGGCGATCTCACCAAGTTTGGTTGGAGCCAGAAGGTATGGCACGCTCACAAAGTTGTGGCCAGAAATCGTATTTAGGGGAAAGGACGGATCTGATTGAATCTTTCGTCCCTTGAACACAGTTTTGGGAATATGTTTCCCATATGCTGGTAGTGTTGTTGACGGAAGCTGCTTTTACTGGGAGCAGTGACTACCTCGACATCCACAATCAAAATAATTTGACTATTATTTTTACGCCCGCGGCGCCATTTCCAAAAGACATGAAAGTATCTTTCAAATAATTTTGACGTCCCTTGTTAAAATATTTACTGCCCTATTTTTACGTCTCCCGTCGAACTTTTTACCACAAACTGACCAAAGTTTTGACTTAGGAGCCTCAAACTAAAAAGTGATCGAAAGTGGCAATAAAAAAAATTATCACCTCACTTGCAGTCGTCACGGCATATTTTTACTACAAGTGTCATGCCATCGACTGCAGTTAATTTTTATAACCAGATTTTTTTAAGTGATCAGGAATAAAAAAAAAAACTTAAAAAAAACTCAGCTATCAAACTGCATTATTATCAATACATGATATATTTCACATTATTTATAACAGTTCAAATTAATTCTGAATTTCTTAAAAAATTGGGTTACAAAAATTGCAATCGATTGCGTATTTGGTGTCGGAAAATGCATGCTGAACTGCGACGCAGACTGCAAAATAATGTTTTGTTCGGTGCGTGGGAAGCTTTGTTATTTGTTTGTACCAGTCAGGAAATGTCGAGGAGAGAATGTTTGCATTCGCAACATTTTATTTAACATCCTGATCGTTTAGTAGCCGCCCCAGACTCGTCATACACAAACAAAAAGGAAACCCAAACGAAATGACAAACCCACGAATCAGATGCAAAACGAGACCATCGATACTTTGCAACCATTTGAAGAAGCGCTTGTGCAGTTGGGGAGGTGTGGATGTCCAAAAATCATTCAAAACTCTCAATGATACGTAGTGTATGTATTTACATGCGTTATGTATGGACAAAAGATAAAGGGAGATCGAGCTCACTTTTGTTGTGGGTTCAAACGTTTTTTTTTAAGAGTGCCCACTGAAGAAACTTGCAAGAGCACAGCATTGTCATCAAGCAATGTAACTCACATCTTAAAAAAATCGTTCAACTGTCGAGCACACACGCATGCCCTCACCAAATGGAACCTTTCTGGCGTCAAAAAAAAACCGAAGCTTCTTAGGCACATAACAGAGCAGCACATGACACCGACAGTACCGTTTACAAGCAAATAAGAACAAAACGGTTACCACTGACATTGACAGGAGACTTTGGAATAATGAAGCGACTATTTTGTTGGAAGACGTTACGAAAATGGAGTCGCTATTTTGACGCCGGACTTCAAAAGATTTTCGAAACTATTTTCAAATTGTACGGAAGTGACGTCGAGAAAGTTTTTGAAGTTATTTTGACGGGGGATGTCGAAATAGTCACCGCCTTTATATGTAACCCTTCTTTGCTCTCGGATGTAGCTAATTCATAAATTAAGCGAAAAGTCCCAACGTTCCAGTGTACTTTCATTATTCCTTTTCATACAGTATCTAAAGTATGATACCTGGTAGTGTAATGAACTAATTTAACCTTTCGGGAAAGGAGCAGGTTCCAGCCAGATTGCGAGCCTAAACCGTCGAAAAAGCACTGGCAAAAAGTTGTCCGTTTCAGAGAACGCGAAACAGCCAAGTTGGGGGAAACATAGCGTAAAACGTGCACGGGATCAGGCCGACTGCTGCAGTCGCCGGCATGATGAGAGCGGCAGGGGAGTCCTTTGGTCATCCCATCTCCGGTGCGAGCTTCCCTCCTTCGATAAGCGTCTTGGTTTTAGTCCAATAGCATCTTGGTTTTGATTATCGTTGGGGGCGTGTCTCTTTACACTTCTGGCTTCATCTCCGGCGGCCTCATGTCGCCTTCGGAAGCTTCCTACCTCTATGGGCCAAAGCTTGCATGCTGGAGGCAAAGGCGTTCGAAAGGAACGCCCTGCCGTTCTCGTCTCGTTGGCTATGTTGGGAGGAGCCGAGTCTAGATTTTTTTAAATCCCCGACCTCTCTTCGATACCTCAGGGCTGGACACTCACATCGTGTACCCCAACGGCATCTCTTGCACCCTGCCAGCGGACATTCAGCTCAAGCTGGTGCGATGCCTGCCGGGATGTCGCGACGTGGACATGATCAGGCCGGGTATGCCATCCCGTGCTTGGGCTCACGTTCTGTCGCTTGCTTGATCTCATCTTCAGAATGTGTGTTTGTGTTGTTTGTGACCCGGCTGGAGGTGCACGTCATCGGAGAGTGCATTATAGAACTGAAATGGCTAATTGGGCTAGTTGGTTGTGGTCCGTCTTCGCTGTACTATGCCCAAGAAATAAGGATGAAGCAGACGAGGACAGCCGGATATGGGTGTTTCTTGTGCAAGGCCCGATTTTAGTCGGGTTACTGATTTTTGACATTTATTTTTTAAATGATTCAGGGTAATTCATGTTTAGATTTGTTATGTAGTCAATACTTGTCAACATTGTTTCTTTATGCTATGATCAAGACTTGGCATAAAAATCTTGACTTAAACAGCGCAAATAAGTTACGTAAGGAAGAGACAACAGGAAGGAAAGAGCGCTGTTTCCTTCCTGTTGTCTCTTCCTTACGTAACTTATTTGCGCTGTTTAAGTCAAGATGTCTATCCAACTCGCTTAGCAACTCATTTTGGCATAAAAAATTGTAAAAATTGCGTCAGAACCAAACAGCAGCCCACAAAGTTAATCATGATTGCCGAGCATTGAGCATAAAATTTTCTGAGCATACTTCCTAGGAAAAAAATGGCATTATGATATGACCAATATCCATACTAATATCAATTCTTGGGTATTATTTACGAAGTATAGCTGAAATTAAATAAAAATAAATATGTAAAAATCTATCAGGTCTTACCGTATTTACTCGAGTAATAGCTGATCTGTTATGAACAAGGCCCTTGCGTCTACTTTCCCACAAAGCACATATACAGCCAATCATCGCGTTGCGCATAAATAACATAGCGAATAACCAGATTGAGAACACGAGTCTCTATACAAATGCAATCTTCACAGATGGTATCTTCGTGCGAAGACGTTATCTCTATCCTGTAAACTGCTGAAATCCTGCTGTCGCTCGCGGTTATTGGCAATCCGCGTGCTCTGAGGAAAAGTGAACTCTCAGGTTTTCTTCATAAAGAGTGCGGCTATTACTCAAGTAAATGCAGTATCTGCTCAATTTTTTTTGTTAAGGTTTTAAAAAACACATCATGTATAAATGTGTTGCTGCTTTATTTTGCAAATACAGAATCACATTGGCATGAGTGAGCACACATTGCAATGTGTCTAGCTCTGATGGGCCTTCTCAAGCAACCTTCAATAAGAAAACCCTTTGGGAGTTGCCAATATACCTCTAATATTTTTTTTTCATTCACGCTCGTACTAAGGAGGCACATTTACTGATAGCCAAAGCTAGGCATTTTTCGTAGCCTTAGATGTCCTCTATGCCATGCTTGTCATGGATATGCACACGCTAAGAAGGTATTTGATCTCTAATGAGTCTCTTATGAGAAAACAAAAGATAGAGTATATGTGCTCTATAGAACTAGATGCTACTCTGAATGTATTTCTCAAGATGTAGTGCAAGCAATCGAGTTATATTTAGGGTTCCGTGTTTTCAGTGTTAATTTTTCTTCAGATTCGGGCGTGTTTTTTCAGGGTTTATTTTTTACAACAGATTCGGCGCTTTTCAATATTAATTTTTCGTTTCTGGCAAAAAAGATCTGGGGTTGTTGTGGTTTATTTTGAAAAAAATAGTGCGCGGACATAGAATTCTCCATCCTTCAAGGAACATACACGTGGCCTGAATACTCAGGAAACGTCTCCATACCGATAATAAAATAAAACAAAACAATGTGTGTGGTTCCGAAGAAAATGGCAGCTTTGAGGGTGGTTCGTTGGGGGTTGTGTTTTGGGTGAACTGGAAATAAAGCTGTACATAAATATTTCTTTCCATGAGGGTTGAATTTTTCTCCTTCAGGGAGAGCTCGAATTCGGGGTTTATCGGTTTTCACCGATTTTGATCAAACTGACTCGGGGGTTAACTTTCGGGGTTTATCGGTATGTACCGGAAACACGGAACCCTAGTTATATTCCATCTCACAAGTGTCTGCAGTAAAGGCGACGGCACAGGCGTGAGAGCCTACCTCAGCAGAATGCTTTTGTTTTTACGAGAATAGGTGCATAGGAGGCGCTTTCCAAAGACACATGCTCGTACACGTGCCTTTGTCTACACTGCCGATGTTTGGGAGATGGAGTATAGAAACATCAGATAAAAGTGGTCTGAGTGTGTTCCACGTGCATCATATTTTTAATGTATCCGAACTCCTGGTAAGAAATTCTGCCTGCTACCTTACATGAATTACATTTATAGGAAGTACAAAAATAGACTAGGTTAAGCTGTGATGAAGGCCCAAAGCTCAATCATGTGGACTTGAGCTTGTAATGTTACATGACCACGTGAATGAGCGGATATTCTGTGGATTAATTTAGGTAGAATGATACGCTTGTTTATTTAACATTATAATGCGCTTTGGAAAATTGTTATTTAGGGGCAAGAAAAAATTCACAATGGATGTCCTGTCCATCAGGTTATGGGGTAGAGTATGACTTCATCGACCCCCGGCAAGTGAAGCCCAGCCTAGAAACCAAGGAGGTCCCCGGGCTCTTTTTTGCCGGACAGATCAACGGCACCACGGGATACGAGGAAGCCGCAGCCCAGGTTAGCTTCTCTTGCTTTTCCAGCTCGAAGGTCTGCGTCTTTATTAAGATTGGTGCAATGAAAGCTATTTACATGCTGTAAGCGGGCACCAAGCTTCTGCTCTGGAGAATTCCCCGCCAAGAGTGGGCATGCGGTGCGGGGGTGGGCCGCCTGCATGAGGATTATAAAAACTTTAAAAATACATTTTCCTAGAAATTGGGCAACTTCGTGTGTACTGTCAGCACAGAATGAAAAGAGTATGTATGCCGGAACACATGACCTTCGATGTATCCTGTACTACCTGGGGATCGAGTGATAAGACTGCGGAATAGAGAGGGAGCTGCGAGAGATTGTGCTTACTGGCACACCACTTTTATGGGCACATCCTCGCGGCCGCCCTTCTCTACTCCGCAGTTTTGTCGGCCTGCAGGTAGTGCAGCATCTATAGGGGCATTCACACGAGGGAGAAATTCCTCCCTTTGCTTCCCGGAATGCGCATCACGTGGTAACAACGTCGCACTTTTGCATGTAGCCACGCTGACATAGACATCCCAGGTGGATGGGGTAGCTTTTGCTCAGGCTGCACAAATGCTCCCAGCCTTGGCGTGGGATCTCTTTACAATTGGCAGTATTTTGTTCAGTTGTCTGGCAACTTCAGATTTTTCTCGCGAAAGGTCGTCAGTGTCATCGGGATCGCCTGACTTGTTGTGGCTTGTGCTGTTGCCCACGTTGTCCGAGGCATTCGGAGGAGTCTCTGATATGCATCTATGCCGCCCTCAAGCCGCTGCTCATACAATTAGTTTCTGATTGCACGTCCTTTGCTTGCATCCACCCATTCAAGAAGCATCTTTCTTTTAGCGTGAAGCAGTTCGTCGTCTTCTGCATCTAGCAGCATGGCTACCGTAACCGCGTATTGCCGTTTCATGTACACCTCCATTTTTCTACTCTTGCCGGCGCATACCGAGCCCCGTTGTCGAGAGTGCAACCACTAAGCGCACCTGATAACACCGACATCCCTCTCGGCTCCCCGCCGTTCGTGTGCATGCTGTAGTTGGAGAGAGAGTCTCGCCGGTTCCGTCGATCACCAACGTCGCGCACATCCCTTTCCGAAAAGTATCCCCCGTGTGAATAGCCCTTATCGAAGATCACGGGTTCTGGCGTTTGTATTTGATTCCATGCAGACAGCATCTATGTTACGCTATCTAGCAGGGGCGTAGCAAGTGGGGAGTGCTTATGGGACTTCAGCCACGCCCCCCCCCCCCCCCCGTCCCGAAATCCAGCCAGCCCTATAATATACACATGCATTTCAACTGCCCTACCCCTCTCCGCATCCCAAGTCATGAACATTCCAGCCACCTCAGCCCCCTGCGAAAACTGCAGACCATTATTCGGCAAGACAAACATCTTGGGGAAGGACAACAACAAATTGACCCACGAGGTGCTGGAGGCCTTCCACATCCTCCGTAAGGAGAGGAACTGTATTAGTGTAGAATCCGTGATGATTTACAAGGAAAGAGAATTCCTTCAACAGACAATGACGGGCCCACACGAACCTGGATGAACGAGCCACTATCATTCACGGGGCTGGTGGTAGATGCACGTGTCTGCAATGGATTTTTTTTTTTTTTTTTTTTTTTTTTTTTTACGTTAGTAAACACAGTTGTGTGTGGTGCTCTTTTCTGTCCTGTTTTTATTCTCTCTACTTCCTGCACTAAATACCTCGATATGTGTTTGTTGTTGCACTGGAGTGACCGACAAGCTAAGCAGCATGAAGCATGGTTAGTCCCAACATCTTATTGTGTTTCCACACCCAATTAGATTGCGGCGTTAGTTGATAAGAATTCAAAGGAATGAGTAACGAAGCAGCAGACATGAACATAAGGAGCTACGCCCCGTGTTTTTCAAGCTGTCGATTACTACAGCTGAACGTGACAGCAGTGGCTAATTTCTTATTAGGGCAGGGGAAAAGAGACCTAACTGCTTGCATGGCAGGGCATTGTGGCAGGGATCAATGCAGCCTGCCGGGTCCAGCGCAAGGACCCCTTTGTGGTGACCCGCCTGGAGGGCTACATCGGGGTCCTGGTGGATGACCTGACCACCCAGGGCACCCTGGAGCCCTACCGTATGTTCACCAGCCGGGCAGAGTTCAGGCTCTCGCTCAGACCCGACAACGCTGACCTACGGCTCACCGAAAGAGGTGAGCAGTTTTCTTAGAAAAAATGTCAATTTGTCTTTTGTGCTGTTTTTTTCGTGGTACCCACAGTGACGTTTCCAGTGTTCTTCCATTATTTTGCGCACTATAGGGTGGTTTTGCGTGACACACTTCCGACTCAACATCTCGCCGGATGCCAGGTTAACAAAGTTGCACATCGTGTTTTCCTGTGCATGGAGGCAGCGTTACCCAGCTGGCTCAAGTTTTTCCGCGTCGTGATCTGCTCTGTGCGACAGAGTAGTTGGCGACACGAAGGGGTGTCGTCTGGTACTCGATTTTTATACCTAGCATCTGTCTTTGTACGGAGTGCAGGCGAGCTGGCGCTCTGGAGGCTGATCTGTCGGTGACCAAAGTTGTCCCGCTAGCTGCCGCTGGGACGCATATTAGTAGACTCCGAAAGGGAAGAACGGATAGTAAGCGTGGGTTTCTGAGGTCTAAATGTGTTTCCGGTTGAACTCACTGACTCCTGTCGTCGGCAGAGCCACCCGGCATGCTGCTGCATTTTATTAACACCGGGAACTATGTCGATACCCGATCATGTTCGTGTAAGCTAATGAACTGGGAAAGTGGTAGACGCTGTTCATCGCCATGGCGGTACACGGCTGTTTGGAAGTGAAAAGGCGTTCGGTGAAACCGCCCTATGGACGGTGGAAAGCACGTGCAGTCAAAGCCCGCGGAAAGCAAGGAGCCCATGCTGGTGACGGAGCGTCTACTGGGCTCTTGTCGCCAACTAGGGTTTGAATCATAAAGTCAAACCTTTGCGTTGTCCCCCAGGGCATGAGGTGGGGTGCGTCGCGGCGGAGCAGTCGAGGGCCACGTGCGAGGTAAGGCGGATTCTGGAGGAGGCCCAGCACTTCCTGGGGTCCCAGGTGCAGTCTTCCCACAAGTGGAGTGACCTCATGGGCCTGCCGGAATCCACCAACCCTCAGTGCAAATCGTAGGCGCTTTTCTCGTCTTTCCCCTAACACTTTTCTTTTATTCTTATTTTTGTTATAGGAAGCTAAACCATAAAATTATTGCATGGCTAAGTACTCTAATTCTTTGTTGGATAACATTATGGAAGGAGTGCTGACACATCTCTCCTTTTGGCTGGCAATGTTCTCTGCTTCCATGATTTCTCTTGTCAGCTTGTCATAGTTCCTGCCTATGTTATCCTTCCATAATGTTATCCAACAAAGAATTAGAGTACTTAGCCATGCAATAATTTTATGGTTTAGCTTCCTATAACAAAAACACAGGAAAAAGAAGGAAGAAGAAAAGGGCAATTCTATGCCATAGAAACCCTAGTCCCAAAGAAAGACGAAAACGAAAATTGTAAATATAACGTAGAGTTGTCAGTCAGCGCTGTGTAAGTGGCTCTTTTTTTTGTCTGCATGAAAGCTTCGAGTGCTTGTTTTGAGGGTGCGCTGTTTCCTTGTAAGTCATGAACAACCAACTCGCCCGAACCTCCGTTTTAACATGTTGAAACCGACGCAGCTGTTGCCATAGCAACCCACCATGCAGTTGTACTCGACACAAGTGTGTGAATCGCCCTTGACAGTTGAGGGAGATGATGATGACTTCGTGGCGAGGCCGTGCAAAGGTTTTCATTTTAAAATATTTAGCGCTAATTATGGGCCATTCACTTTAAGCTGGACTGTGATATTGAGGAACTTTGAATTTCACTTTATTTTCAATCCTGTTAAAATATGTACTAGCCAACCCACTCTATCCCAAGACACTGAAACCTCAACAATGTCATTTCTAGTGTGCATAGTATGGAATTGGAAAACTTTTAGCCTGGATTCTTACCTAAAACTTTTAAGACTCTTCGGTATTTGATGCTCTTTGGTTCACTAGAACTTCCAATTTTCTTTTTTCAAAAAGATTATATATACTTAAATAAATGTATACATACTCCACAGTTCTCCTTTGCTTTCTCGTACCATTTGGAATGCTGCCACCTTTTTTAAACTTTGTTCACAGCTGGCATGAAATGGTCTAACAATATTCAGCCCAGCTTTGCCTTCTCTCTCTGCGTGTGTCAGTCTTTCAGTGTCTTTTCTTCTTCCACTTCCCTTTTTCTTTTTTCTGAAGGATGAAGGCGATTTCTAGTGCCCCCCCGAGGAAAATGTATGCATGACAGCTAATTATTCTCCTCAGATATTGGTTCATGAAAACCAGAGAAGCATATTCTAATTATTCACATAGTAGAAAGGAAAACAAATGAAAGTATGCAGAGCGCACTATTTCTATTTATTTATTTACAAATACATATTGTAGGTCCCACATGGGCCCGAGCAGGAGGGATAGCATGCATAATAAATACAATAATAATACACACAGCAAAACACAGGAATACAACGCATATGTATGAAAGTCTGCCTAATACGAATTATCATACAACATTAACAATATTTTGTAACCGGGGTTATTAAAAATCTGCAAATAAACCACAAAAAATGCAGTTCGGGACTATCCCTAAGGAGAAAACAACACAAAAAAAATGTGATAAACTTTAAACAATGGAAAATAAAAATAAAATAAACAACAGAAGCAAGAGCAAGTAGGGTTTAATGTGATGACAATGCTAGATTAAAAGACACAACAGAAAAGTGATCTCAGTTTCGGAGGCATCGTTTGGAAATTTATTCCAATCTTCGAGTGTTCTAGGAAAAAAAGAATTCTTGTACAGATTAGTTCTTGTGAACATGGGGATTCAGGCTAGTGAATGACAATGCCTTTTCTTGTGGTTGTGGTTGAATGCCCAGTCTATAGAAATAAAAGGGGTAAAAAGATTTTAACCAAGCTATTTTTTATTATTGAGCTCATCAAGTATACTAAGTTTCAGAAAAAGAACAGAACAACTTATGTAACTCTTGGAAGAACATCACATGAACTTTACGTCACAAATATAACTATATCTTTTGGTTTACTACTGTATCTTGGACAAACAAGGCACTTTCCATTTTAATGTAAGCACCAGAAACCTTTCTGGGTTCTATGAACACCTTAACCTCATTAGGTTAGTTGATTAGTAGGTCATTGCCAATGTAAAAACGGCCTATACATTTTAGTGCTGATAACTGCAGTATGCATACCATTTTCAAAAACACTCTTTTAGGGAAGTGAAAAAGGGTATATGAGAAGACGGTTTTGGAAAGGTATGTACTCATATGTACTCCTTTCGTAAACTGCCCAACGCTGTTGGTACAAACACGACTTTGGCGCTTTTTCGCATTTTACTTTAAAACGATACTGGTGGACAGCGAAATTTATCACTACAGGGTGAAACAAGGAGACGCCAGGCTCTTTAAATCAACCGGAAAATTCGGTTTCTTAAACTATTGCGCTACGACTTTGTGCAGCGTTGCCCACAGATGGTGTATTTTTTTTGTAAAATTTGCGAAGAGCGAACTTACCTGATGAAAAATTAAAGAAAGAAAAAGGCTTAGCTCTTATGGAAATGCAGCGATGCCACCGGTCTGCAAACAGCACGGCGCCGTTTCGCACGGGAGACAAGAGATGGCGCAAGTGGTCGCGACGCCAACTGCCGCCAACGAACGAGCAGACGACACCGAGAGCCGGCCCTTTTGCAGACAAGGAACTGCAGTTCCTTGCTGTGACCGCGCCCGTCTTTTTTGTTTCCGCAACTGTCGCCGCCTGCGGAACACGCACCGCTTTTGAGTCGAAAAGATTGTCTGCTAAAAAGGCCTGCTCCCGGCGCCGTATGCTCGTTCGTTGGTGGCGTTTGTTGCGCCATCTCTTGTCTCCCGTGCAAAACGGCGCCGTGTTGTTTGCAGACCAATGGCGTCGCTGCGTTTCCATAGGAGCTAAGCCTTTTTCTTTCTTTACTTTTTCCTCAGGCAAGTTCGCTCTTCGCAAATTTTACAAAAAAAATACACCATCTGTGGGCAACGCTGCACAAAGTCGTAGCGCGATAGTTTAAGAAACCGAATTTTCCGGTCGATTTAAAGAGCCTGGCGTCTCCTTGTTTCACCCTGTAGGTTAATACCCAAACGAAGCACTTCCTACCACTATAGTATTTTTGATGACAGTCCTTCAATACTGATAGAAAGACAGAAAACTGGCGATGGCACGAAGTGTACATACATCATATCTTTCTTTATTTTACTGGGGGGTATATAAATTGTAATTTACTCTGTACTTGACTTTATCTACCCTGAGATGGGCCTCATCAAACACTGACATTTATAAAACTGCAGTCTCACAGGAAATCTACCTCATGCAGCTTCTATATGAATCGTCTGATTTTTTCTTTTTTTTTTTCTTTTGCAGTGCCTTGGAAATGTTGGGAAATCCAGACGTTACCATTGAACACATCACCAGCCTCTTCCCGACAGAACTTGAAGCTGTGAGGTCTCGACCTGATCTCATGAAAAGGCTTAAAATCGAAGGTGAACATCTAGTTTTAACTCATTAGGTTCTCCACTTAAAATTACTGTGAACACTCTGCTAAATATTCTAGCCTTCGAAAATTTACTCCTTTCTTGTGGTTACTGGTTCGTTCTCCGAAAATTTCTGAAAGTGGCAAAATTGTGCGATATATACCATTTCTTTTCAAAATAAAGTTCAAAATTATAGCCTTTATTGTTTAAACAAAAATTTACTTTCGTGAGCTCCCAGTATTTCTTTCTCTCGTTTTTGAGTGATTCAAAGGTTTATAGGGCTTGTTCCATTTTGGGCGGTAAAACACACTTAAAAATTAAACTTCCGTTATCTTTACAACTTTTTGTAGTACCTGGTGCCGACGGCATGTGACCAAGAAAAAGTGCAGGGAAATAGCGCAAAGATGCCGCCACATTGCAGGGCAATGCTGGGAGCTCGAGCCAGGAGACGCTCTTTCATGTGCTTCGGAGCAAAAAAGAGTGAGAAACATTGTGCCACAAGATGGCACGATGTCACTAGAGCACTATGTAGCTCCTTGGGAGCAGAGTAGCACAATCTAGAATGCCATCTCTTGGCAACTAGCAGCGAACGCCCGGAGGTTCCAACTCTGATCAGAAATGCATGGGGAACGTGAGAGGATCATTGTTTCTTCAATATTGGGGGATGTATGGAACGTCAATACTTTTCGACATAATAAAGGAACATTTTAGTATCATTTGTGCTAAGTTGCGTGCCATGTAAGCACGTAACTTTTTTAAAAAATTGCCTGAATGGCAGTTTGCAGCAGACGACGCGGTGACATCACAGCGACGTTGCACCATCCACGTGACCCGCTCCGGCCAACCCAGAAAGTTCCTCTCCGCTGCGCACGAAAATCGTCTGCATCAAACGCCATTGCCTTGGAAATTGCCTTCTCAAAATTTTCACACGCATCCGATATTATGAAAACTTTGATATAAAGTGTTTAGTGCTTTAGCAACTTCACGACAGACTAGTTTTGAAAAGTGTGAACTCGGCGTTTATTTTTAATTAGCCTTGTTGCGTTGATCTCCATGTGTTCTCCTATAAAGCGGGCCGCCTCCTGGAATTCTGAGTACCACGTGACTCGCGCCGAGCTGCTCTGTCGGCCATGTTGTCGGCAAAACACGCCGATCAAAGGATTGCGCTACTCTGCTTTGTAGGAGCTATATGATGCTCTAGATGTCACCACCCCAATGTAGAGCAACTATGCTCAATTTGTTTTAGGATTGCACCTGTTTTCAACGTATGTATTTGCCGTCCCTGAACTATGAGGTAGGAATGTTTTTAGGTGGTGTATACAGTCCCGTAGGCATCTGGCCTCAAACTTTTGCTTAGGGGTTTGCAGCGAATGTGAAACTATGGGTTTGAGACCAGCGATTGCACTGTGGTGACAGCGGTGACACCATTGATTGTAAGAGCCATGGCTACTCGAGTTCTCAACGTCCTAGAGGCAGCTTCGCAATTGTCAGCCACAGTGGAAAAGCACAAACTGCACTAATATGACAAAACTTTGCCCAGTCTGGCTTCAGTGGCAGCTGACCTACTGCCCAGCATTTTTGATTTACTAATACCTCTTTTAGTGGACATCCCAGCATCATTTTGGCATAATCTTTTGGCTAGATCAGTCATTCATTTTGGTCCATGCTTTGGGCATAGTTGCTTTTTAATACAAGATTCAGTTTGGGCACAATTGATACCTATTTCAGGGAATCGCTGATAAACAGCGGTGAGACTTAAAACATTCAGGAAAAAGAGGGGAATACACATTGATCGGAGACAATCTATTCTCCTTGTTAAGCAGTAAGATGAAAAGATGGGCCAGAGAACAAGAACCAGAAAGTGAGCAGGCAGTGTGCTGCTAACAACTCAACTTCAACGTGAAAAATAGAAACGAATATGCCTTCTTATCACAATGGTAATGCAATACATATTCAAATTGTTCATGTGATAGGTGTAATGACGGAGCACCGATGCATTTTGTTTCCTTTCAACAAGCGAGCTTGATCAAGCTCACTGGTGAAATGGAGTGCGTCAGCATTTCGTTTCATCGCCATTTGAGTTGTACGAATGCACAGCTCACATACACCTCAATTGTGCCCAAATTGGGGAAACAATTTACTTTGTGGAAGGCAGAGTGTCGAACCGAAATTTTTATCGGTTCGGTTTCGGTTCGGGTTCACGGCTTTCGGTTCGGTTCCGGTTCAGTTCCGGGGAGCAAAAAATAACGGTTCAAACCGGTTCGAACCGGTTCGAACCGGTTTGAACCGCTAAATTGAAAATATATTTTTCGCGTTGTTCTGGCAATATACACTGTTTACGCCGTGAAACGATTAACTATATAGTTTCTTCGATCGTCCGCGCAGTTTACTTTTGTTTTTAGGTACCAAAAATATTAAATTCAGTTATTTAATTTCGACGCAAGAGTAGAAAAAATCTACATTAACATATATAACGTCGTGTTCATACGACTCCACATCCCTTTGTTTACCAGTAACATATATTTTACTTGAATCAAAATCTTTAAGTACAAGAGTAAAGAGTTGAGCTGGTTGGTATATACCTGTAAATAGATCAGCTTCAAATTTAGAACTATACTGTATTTTATTGTGCTTTCTTCGTGTTTAAGTAAAATTCTAACGTTCAAGCTGATCTATTTACACGGTATAAAATGTTGTCGCAAAGTGATGTAGGTCGCCTAAGATACCCGTGATTGGTACAACTTTGTGTCGCAGTGTTAAAAATGAAATCGTGATTGTGTCCTTGAGCTAATTAATTAATTACATCACATAAAATTATCAAATGAGCACCTCGTGATCATTGTAATTATGAAATAAGGTTTACGAAATACACTTCACAATATATATGTATATGATGACGACACAACTGAGCTAAAAGCAATGAAATTTTCAGAATGTAATAAAAGTTTTAGGATAATTCCTTTCAGTCTATTTTTTATAGAAACACCGAGCGGCAACCCAAATGCTTGTTGTTCTAACCAAACATTGTTTACACTCAGCACAGCATGCATGCCACTAATCATGCAACAAGAAGTAATCACAGTTGTTCACTCTAATCTATACGCACCTTCGCACTCAGATCCTTTCTCGCTACTTCTTTTCATGGGGAACCAGTTCATCATTCCCGCTAGGACAACCTCCCCTGCTTCTCTCACGCCACCTCTCTCTCTCTCTGTCTCGAATCTGACCCGAAATAGCGCTTTCCCAAGTGAACATTTTCTTAAGCAGAATACGCTGGCATAGTCTGACTGTTGAGGTTTCTTAATAATTGGGTTGTGTGTGTGTTTATACAGCCTAGAACTTGGTCTGCCTCACAGGGGCGACGAGTCTCCCAGCTGTAGATGAGAAATTTAGCCAGTGCGGTACAGCCGCTAGCCTGGGGTCTTTAACGTGCATCACGCAGTAGTGATACACGACCGCACGCCGGTACGATGCTCATCCAGATCGAAACGGGCAGGGGTGGGGGCTTGAACCCAGGATCCCTGGGTTCTGCAGCGCGAGCTTTCGCTCCACGTGCTCCGAGCTGGTGTGCGCTAGACCACTCGGCCACCGATCCCCCTGTTGAGGTTTCTTCTTGACAAGATGCCGGTCAATTTAATTTGCAAATGAGCATGACCTTTGCTAACTGATGATTTTAACTCGATAGCGTTAAGAAGCTCATGTCGCATAAAAGCCGATGTCGGTGGTGACACTGAAAAATCCTGATTGGTCGATAGGTTCATGACGTCAGAGCTACATACCCTCGTGCAAGAATTTCAAGCAGCCCACAATGCTCACGGGAAACGTGACATCACGCGTGGAATGAGAGTGAATAAAACATGGCATGTAATGCGAATTAAAGGTCGCCGTATGTCTCAAATGATTTCACTTTTGAAATTAATTATTTTGCCTTTAAGAAAAAAAATTAAGAATATTAGGCGGGATTCGAATCCACGACCCCTTAGTTGCGAGTCAGATGCTTTTCACCAGGAACGGCGCGAGCGTCTGACACGACAAAAACGTGCTTTTTGGTAAGCTACCGCGCTCCATAACTGACGACGGCAACCAGACAACCGGCTTGCCGGTTGTCTGGTTGCCGCCGTCGCGCATAGATGGCGGCAACCTCTTCAGCCTTTCCAGTCTGGCTTGCCGACTTGCGGCCGGCCATTACTTCATTTACACCATAGTACAACTTCGCTGGTCTTCCTTCTTCACCAGAGTGGAAAGGCTGAAAGTATCTCTGAGGAATTGCCTCCTCCGTTGGTGTGTGTTCATTCGACAAATTTATTTGACACTTGTTAACCGCAACCCTTCATTGATTTCATTTTGCACCCCGTGAAGTTTAGATGGGTCATAAAAACGACATCAGGTTGGAATGTTCATGACTTTTCCGAGTCGTACTGGTCCTCCGACCCAAGTACACTCGCACAGGCCGCCACTAATTCAGAAGCTTCTTTGTCACGGTGAAATTGCGAGGATTAAATGAGACTATTTCTTTTAGTCTTGCTTTCCCATGATGTCGAAATTGTAGGATCAATACCACCCGCCTGACGACAGTCGATCGCGGCTCATGGATTGGACAGGAGGACTGCGTGAGCACAGTACATCGGCTCGTAACAATCAATGTCTTGGCAGGCATTTGGGTAGTGGCTCGTGTCCAACCACTGCGTGCTGAGAATAGCCGAACTCTAACAATGCCTAGAGCTGAGCACGCGTTTTCTTCCTTTAAAACCCCAGCGCGGGAATATGATTAACGTTGGCGGCATAAGATAGGCACCAGGCCACATGGCCGCTTCCGGCTCCGAGTTGAGGGGATGAACGATGCTCATATTTCTCGAATTTTTTGGCGACTGCCATTGCTTAGAAAAAATAGCAAAGCCAAGTTCAAGCAGTTATTAACGCTAGGGTGGTGATCCTGAGTAGTATTTAGTGACGTATAGAAATATTTTTATAGCTCCTTTAAGCAAAGTACAGAGAGAGTCGAAACTTGGGCAATAACTTGAGAACGACGCTCGTGTGAGACTTGCAGCAACTGCCAACATTCGGCTGTCTCTCTGAGGTCACTAGAATATCATTTTGTTTTTAGTATTCCTTCCGTACACACGTGTAGTTCTACGTAACGTCATATTGATAAGTCGGATTTAGTAATTTTAGTACTTCTATTCTCAGGGACATCTTTCGGATGCAGTTGAGCAACAACGAAAAAATATTTGGGTGCCTCAATAATGTAAAATGGGTCTTGCAACATTTTTTCTGGTACTTTCAATAAATAGTGTTGAGAGATATCCCCTAACGTTGATAGCTTGCGGAAACAAACATTAGTTTTCCCCTAATAGCAGATGCAGAAAAAATAAAGGAAAGAAACGGCTGTCGATATCTCCTCAACTCACAAGTTAAACAAGCGGCCACGTGTTCTGATACCACCAGTGTTCATCACAGTCATGCTCGAGGCGGCTAGGGTTTGGAAAGCAAAAGCTTGAGCTGAGCTTCGGATATTGTTAGAGTTGGGTTATTATCATATGTAATTGACATGAGCCGTTACACGGATGTTTGGCGGTGCTGATTGTCATGAACCCAAGCACTCGATTAGGGGTTATGAAAACCGCTTACGTCACGCTGTCACCTGACTCTCGGTGTGAAATCGTGATGTCATGTTACGTCATGCTGTCAACAAGGCTAATACATCTAGTGACTTCCTCAAGTTAAATCGAGTTGACGCAGTGAGTCACGTGACGTCACGAGGTCACGTGACGTCACGAGGTTACGTGACAACATGAATTGACACCATGGCGTCACGTGACAACGTGACACATGGTGTCAAAACCCCACAACTTACCATACTTTTCAATTCTGAATATATGACGATTTGATCCGTAGATAGAACTACAGCCGCCAATTTTTTATTCCCATATGTTCATTTTGTGATACTAAAAAAAAGAAAAAAAGAAATATTACCTTGAACCGTTTTGAACCGGTTACCGTTATATTTTTTTTCGGTTCGGTTCCGGTTCAGTTCCAAAATGGCGGCGAAGATTTCGGTTCGGTTCAGTTCCGGTTCGGCTAAAAATAACGATTCTGTTCCGGTTTTCGGTTCGGTTCGGTTCCGGTTCGACACCCTGGTGGAAGGTACAATGGTGAGAATTTGGGTACTCAAGCAACCACTTAGGTTACTCTCTCCAGAAAACCTCTGGATTGCTTGATGCCTCCTTTTGAGAAACCGTAATAAGTAGTGGTTCGTAAAATGCCCATGAACACTGTCTCTTCGTGCTTGTCGCAGAGCTCTTTGTATGTATGTGTTCTTTTCAACTTTTAATGTGTGATTCCACAACCTCTTTTCTGCTTGCAGCCATGTATGCGAACCTTGTAGCTCAGCAGGAAAAGGAGATTCTTGAACTGGAAGAAACGGAGATGCTGCAGCTTCCCTGCGACATCGACTACGAGAAGTATGTTCACCTTCGGTTTCCCTCAAGCAGTGTTGTGGTGGTGGGGACAGCAACGAGGCCATTCTGACCGTGAAAATCTTTTTAATTACAGCCCAAGTTTGAACCTGTCCAATGAAATACGAGAGAAATTGCAGGCAGCCAAGCCCTCCACTGTGAGTGCTATGTGCAGGGGGTTTTCGTTTTAGTCGGTCCAGAAATTTTAATAAAGAAACTTGCATTAGTGTCTTTTTAGCTTCGGGACTAAGGTGCCACTAAAAAGAGAGGTGAAAGGAGCCGTTAGATAACTAAATAACTAAAATGTTACTTTTCATTTTTAGGGGCACAATTTATTTGTAAAATCGACATTCAACTTCAGTACAACCTAACCGTGCCGTGAAACTTACCTATATTAAAAAATTCGCGGTGGGCATTATGAGACAAGAAATGTCACCTTCGTACATGGCTTGGAATCGAAACTAGGTGGACAAAGAGTGCCAATGATGTCGGTCCTTCCGCCCTGTGCCAGCTCCGCAAGCGATGCCAACCGCGATGGCGGCACTTTTTGCCTCAGGGTGGCCAGTTCCGCTTTTTATAAGCGGATTTGGGCTTCTTTTTTCACTGAGTCGCTGGTAGATTTTTCCAGTCGCTTGTCGCGTTTTTTGGGCTTATTCGCATTTTTCCTGCAAATATTGTTATTTTAGTGCTCGTCGTGCTCACTGGCAGCGCGTTTGTCGTCAAAAATGCGAAGAACAGCCTGACCGTTTGGCACAGCGGTTAAGGGGCGCAAGCTACCGTCCGTCACAAAGTACAAAACTATTACTATCCATTCACAAATGTTTTGGCACCTTGCCCATTTTGACAGTCGGCAGTTCCGGTCGTCAAATGGCTTCGAAGTGGTCGAAGTGTGGCAAAAGATATCGCAGACTGGGAAAAGGAAACACAGCTTAAAGGGATACTTCAACGAAATCTGAAATATTCCCGTCAAATTCAAAAATAGGTTGAATATGATCCACAATATCCGTAAATCACAATCGCACGTTTGTATTTTGAGCCTGGTGGCTGTATTTTTCGTTATAAACGACCCACTCTGACAAGCGCTCGGACAAGGCCCAGCGGAGACCACGTGACATCCAACGCAATCGTGACGTAGGTCGTCTCAGGACGAGCAAAGCTATGGCGAGGCTGACGTCGAGAGGATGGCCTAGTTGTTCCAGCCACCAAAGCGGCTGCTTTTGTACGAATTTTGAGTGACGGGTTAATCTTCTGTAATCTTGTAGGGGGACAATAGCGACTTCTGCGACACACAAAAGGCATTCTCGGGAAGAGGGGAGTTCCTCCTTCCCCTCTTCTCTCGTCGTGGCCGGAGGCGAGACAATCTCTGTCACTAGCTGTCAAGGTTCCTAGACGGGCATTACAAGCGAGGCGTTAGCGACATCCACCAGGTGCTCTTTGCTAATCGTATAATTTGTTTTAAAATTCCTTTTCGTGACTTTTTCAACAAGATATTGGTATGTTCGATGTGATGCTGCTCCTTTGAACACATATAGACCAAAAAATGAACACCGAAATTTCGTTGTAGTACCCCTTTAAGGACTGGCTACGACCAGTCACCGGAGACGATAAAAAAGCAGCGTGCAAGCGCGAGATCCGCGCTCATCATGCCGACCTCTTTCAGCACATGGCAACAGAAAAACACGTGAGGAACTCTCGACCACTTTCCAGTGCACGTTTGCCTACCATGGGCTTCACCAAGTCGTTGCTTCCAAGAACGATACCAGAAATGGAGCTCAAGCTGGCATGAATTACTCAGCATGCCATGCCACTATCCGCTCTGTGGATAGTGGCATGGCACTCTGAGTATTCGCTTTCGTATTTGAGCGAGTTCTCTTTCTCATTTTATTATTAATAAACTATTTTCAAGAATGTGTACATTTATTAAACTTCCACTTGCTTTGGGCTTCTTCACGAAGGTCACGCCGCTTTTTTTGGGCTTAGTTGGGGACGACTATCTGCTTGTTCGCTTGGCCGCATCTGGCCACCCTGCTTTGCCTGCTTCGTTTCGGTTTGATCAAATTGTTGCCCATTTGCAAAGGGGTAGAAAGGACATTGCCCAGATTGCCTCAGGTGTCTTTGATGAACTGTTCCAGACTCGTTTCACGAGTTACGACATATAATGAGTTGTTTTAGTACCGTAACTACCATATCGTAAAATCCTGAGCAAGCACCCACTTAAGATTTGGAGATAATCATGCAAAACTCAGGGATGGGTGCTTATTATGTCAACAATATGTAAAAATACTATGTCTTGTGTATTTTCCAGATGTTACAAAAAGGAGGGGTGGGCCTTCATTGTGGAATGGGCAAAGCTCAGTATTTTATGGTAGTACTGGGAAGGAAGGAGTCTCATGAAAACATTGTTTGAAACTGGAATTCAATTTCCGTCTGTGGGATTCGGAGACTTCGAACTTGAATTCGAAATCCCCTAGCTTTTCAAACAACACCCAAAAAATTTCAAGGCCTTCCAATTTTTGAAGTTTGTCTTTAGCGAAATTTAAAACCTTCAAACCTAAACTTTCAAAAGCCTTGACATACTCAAGCTTTTCATTTCAAGCCTCAACAAGGTTCAAAAGTGGCAAAACGTTTTAACAAGGTTCGAGCTAGAAGATGTAACACGGACGGATGTAGCTTTATAAGCAGATGTGATGTCACGGACAAATATATTACCACTTAACAAAAGATGACGCATTCCATCCTAAAATTAAATGTATGTGTTTTTTTTTTTATGAAGTTGCCCTTAAAGGTTGGAGGGGTTTAAGGAGGAAAAAGGAAGAAGCGAGGGGCAAAGCCCCCCTCCCACTTCTTTCTTTTCTTCCTCAAATTCGCACATGAATTTGGGGAGGATACACCTGACTTAGGTTGGCAATTACCTGGCTGTACTGACATGGCTCTCTTTTCCTAGCCATATCACTTACAAATCTCAACAATGTGCTCTCTTTTTTACACTCTGCAAGGACTTGCATTGCACTAAAGCATAAGAAGACAGTTTACTCTCCTGTTTGTGTTGGATGTAAACCTTGAAAGACAAGAAAAAACCATGTTCACCTTTAATTTTCTTTAAGGGTGTATTACATTATTAAGAGTTATAATTTGCCAAGATAGTTTTGTTCTTGCCCCAACCTGACAAAATCAAGACCCTGCTTTTAGGATGGAACTGACGGCAGTAAATCTCCAATGCCTTGCAGGTGGGTGCAGCAAGCAGAATACCAGGAATGACCCCCGTCGCCATCCTGAGGCTGCTCAGGCTCACGCGGCAAAAGCAGAAGCTTTCTTCCGTCGCCTGATACGGGGACATGTGATATAGTGACTCCAAAGTTAAGAAGCATCGTAGCACTAACAAATTTGTCCACTTTTATAAAGGTTTTGTTTGTTTGTTTGTTTTTTGTTTTGTTTTTTTGTATTTATTTTACTCAAGGAGAGCAGATATTCTTCACAAAAACTTTCAGCCTTTATACTCTGTGAAGAAGGAAGACCAGCGAAGCTGTACTATGGTGGGAATGAAGTAATGGCCGGCTGCAAATCGGTAAGCTAGAGTGCAAAGGCCGGAACGGTTGTCGCCATCTATGAGCGGCGGCAGCAACCAGTTGTCTTGTTGCCGAGGCTGGAAAGGTTGCCACGATCTATGAGCGACGGATGCAAGCAGACAACCGGCAAGCACAACACTCTGGACAGCTACTGCCATCTATGAGCGACGGCGGCAACCAGTGTTGTGTCGACATTTGTTTGGTACCAGATACAATCCTGGGGAACCAACAGCTCCGCTGTAAAAATAGTAAAGGTAGCACTCCTCTCAGGACACTTAGTTCCCTAAGAAATGTAATTCCTCATTTCTTTTCAGTAATAGAAAGCTACAAGGAATAGGTGTACAGGGCAGCGTAACTTGAGGAGAAAGCACAACTGAGCCTTTGGAGACAGAACAGAACAGAGGTCATAAATTATCAGATTAATATATTGATGAGCAGTGTAGTTTGTGCATGAACTGCATCGTAAAGCACAATAAAATTTAAAGTAATTGCTGGAGCTGATGGACGACATAATAGAAAGTTAATTAGATATGCAGTTTTAGATAGCATATAAGAGCACGAGTTTAATCTGTCAATATATGGCGACACTGTTGCACGCCATAGACGAGATATTTAGCAAGTGCAGAGTGCTGACCTGTGATCTTTACCATGATATGTGACCCCACACTTGTACACTCCTCGTCAAGATCAAAACTCGGGGGGGGTGGGGGGGGGGGGGGGGGGGGGGGGGGGGGAAGGGGAGGAGGTGGAGGAGAGATTGCCTTGGGTTTTGCAGACCAAGCTTTTGCTCCATGTGCTCCGACCCTTCAGTGTCGCATTGTTTCAAGACTGCACATACATTCCTCAAAGCAAAGGGATGACATAGTTGAATTTTGCATGGTATAGAACAGTAAACCGAGTTTTATGCCACAGTTTATGAGGTCTCTGGATATGTTAATGCAGAGTTGAAGCCAGTGTGCTATAAATTTCGTTATATATAAAAAGCTTAATTTTTTTTCTGTAATCACTTTCCGTGGGAATCATGAAAAGCTCATTGATGTCATAGGTTCCGAATTTGAGGTGTCGGGAAACTTGTTGCCATGTTTGCCTTACTTCAAATATTCGGTTTGTGGTGATAGAAACACCTCTTTATGGAGTTTTTAGCTTTCCTGAAATACTGCATGTTACGGAGTGTGAAGGATAAATATATGGCATGTTAGGAGCTTTGCGATCGAAGTGTTTAATTCTTGGAAAGGTTATTGAAATGGATTTTGGAACAAATTGACAAAACAAGCAGAGCCCCCAGCAAGGACCACGACCATGGGACGATCCAGATATGTATTAGATATGAAAAGGTCACAGTAATCTTGCAAGATTACAATTCTTGCTCTAACATTTGAGTTCGAATTGATATTTAGCAGTACTATTTATTAGGCTACTCTGGTTCTTTGAAGCGATCCAATGCCTCATGGCGCCCCACCTAACCGCCGTGCTCTAAAGTTTGTTTTAAGATTTTAGGGGGATATATAATGCAGGCATAAAATGAAGCAGAGCGTACGGGATATGGTAGTTTTACTTTAAAATTTCAACCACGTTCGTCATCCTCCACATGCAAATTAACGAATGAACGGACAACCGGATGGATTATGGCGTCGTGAGCATGTCGTATGTGCAGTAATGAGTCATTGGGTGTGGCCCACGTTTCCATCTTTCCTGTCTGGCCCCGTTTTGTCTTGCCGGGTGAGATTCGTACACTGGTTCATGATTGGGCTAATATAGCTTATTTGGCAAGTGAAGAACTTCGACTTGCGGAATAAAAGGAAAGTCGAGCCGGCGCCCAGCCAGCATGCTATGCCTGCCAGTAAATTAATTCAATACATGCGTCACGAAACCAGTATACGTATGCAGAGGGGAAGCCTTGGCGCCGGATGCGAAGTTTGGACGAAGATTTGGCCATTTTTTTAACGCCGGCAGCACTCAGACGGTGCGACAGATTTTGAATGAACAATTAAAGGGCGTTGCCCCTTCGACCTGGTACCCGCCTGCCTCTCCCGCGGCGCCAGATCAAGAGCGTAGGATTTTCTGCGTAACGCGGGCTCTTGAGGAACTACCGCGAGCAAAAGTAGTTCGCAATAACCGTGCGACAATCGTTATGAATACAATTTTTAACCCAGCTGTAACGGGCGCATAACTATAACAGAAGTGTTTCATATGGATGGTGATTTCTTCGTGGCTTTCTAAGTGTGTTAAATGAAAGGTATTAATTTGAAAAGAAATATCGCTCCGACGCATGCGCCACTTGCGGCGCGACGCCGGCGACGCTATAAAAACGGCGACGCCGAGCGGACTACTTCATTCTCGTCTGTTTGCGTCGTGGTTCGTTGTTTACCCGGTGTCAACAGACCACCCCTTCCTCCTCGATTTTTGGTAAGTTCACTTTTGCTGCTATGATTAGCAAATATACGCAGTACTAGCAGTACTAGTACATCGCTGTACTCTTGATGTCTTATTCGCCAACGATAATCAAAAAGCCGTTAGCGCCGTACCGGTCCTAACCGTTCCCCTCGGTTAGGCCTCGCGTGACGTGGCTGGCGTTTGAATTTTGTTTGCGCGAAAACTATAGAATAAAGGCCAGGCCCGCGTTCCCTTTGCTTACTACTCGCACTTGCCGCCAGTTTACGTGCCTCTCGTTCGCGATTGCGTTGATTTGCGCTCGGAGGTGGCTTCGGCACTCTCACAGGGCGTTCGTTACACGTGGCGTGTTAAAATATTCGAATCGGAGAAGTGAGGCGGGTCGCGCGTGCCGGTTTCGTTACGTCGATATATCGATGTATCCTGGCGACCACGGCGTGATACGAGTCGTGTTTCCTAGAACTTGTGGTGCTGTGTACTCTAGGGCAACGCCGTGTGAAGGTGTCGGTATACTTCATTGGGACTCTATTGTTGGTGCAATGTGCTTTTCATGTACAGGGTGTCACAAAAGAAAATTTACACGGTCTTTTTTACCGCAAAAAATAAACTAGGCATCGCCGAAAGCTCATTCTCCGCCCAAAGGTAGCGGTAGAGGTCACATCCAGATGTCAAAGTTTCGGCTCGATCCGATAACTTAAACAAAAGTTAAAAGGGATTTTCTGAAAATTTCAATGGGAAAATGGCGGCCGATGGTGTTTTCAAACACATGGGGCTCTATGGCACCAAGAACCGAAAACGGGCAAAAGTAGGCTCCATTTTTCCCATTGAAATTTTCAGAAAATCGCTTATAACTTAGTTATCAGATCGGGCTGAAACTCTGGCATCTGGTTGTGACCTCTATCTTTAGGTGGAGAGTGAGCGTTCGGCGATGCCTAGTTTATTTTTGCGGTAAAAAAGACTGTAAATTTTCTTCTGTGACACTCTGTATAAGCGGGCAACTTCTAGGCTTTTGTGTGACCCGTTAATGTTGGATGGCAGACCGAATGGTTCCGATTTGCGGCAACTTTCATCTGTTCCGTTTCTGCCTTTCAGCTCCACCCTTGAGCCCATCTCAGTACGATGAGGGAGTGCATATCTGTCCACGTCGGGCAAGCCGGAGTGCAGATCGGTAATGCCTGCTGGGAGCTCTACTGCCTGGAGCACGGCATCCAGCCTGACGGCCAGATGCCCAGCGACAAGACCATTGGGGGAGGCGACGACTCCTTCAACACTTTCTTCAGTGAGACCGGTGCAGGCAAGCACGTGCCGCGGGCGGTCTACGTGGACCTTGAGCCCACCGTTGTGGACGAGGTGCGCACCGGCACCTACAGGTCAGTGCGAGAAGGGCCAGTTGCTTCCTGTTCACCATGTCTGTTCTGGGTCAAGATGGAACAATGAGCAAATTGAGACGACATCCATAGTTTTAAAATTTGCTTTTATTCGAACGGAATCGGTGCACCCCCCCCCCCCTCCTCGGGGCTGCTTTGTCCAGCTTGCTTTCCACGGAATTTGGAAGTTTACCATACACAAAGCCTGTAGACTGGATTCTTGGGCCTCCCTTTCTGGGGCTACAGTAGTGGCCAAGCAGGGCTTGGGGTGCCCCGCTGCGGCGTGCGTGTGTCGGTATTCGGCTGGGACTACCATTGCAATCTATCGTGAACTTCCTTTTTAACCCTTGATAGCTGCAGATGAACTTTTTAATAACAAAACCTACACATGGCAGCGGAAAAACCCTCAAAAGTCAAGCAGTTTCTCTCCCAGCTTTCATTTTTAATTTCTTCTCCGGCGTTCAGGACGCGCTCGTTACAATGGGCACGAGCAGTGGTCGCACACAAACCCTGGTGTTCGCTCAGAGGTGAAGTTCAAACAACTAGTGTTCAGCTGGTGCCTTGCCAATTGAAAATGAGCTTCAGGTGAAATGGGTTTCGGGCTTCGGCTTTTTAGGCAGCAGACTGCTGCCTAAAAAGCCGAGGCACATAGTAGTTAGTGTTGTTCCTATAGACCGGCACGCTGTTTACATACAAGCGCACATTTGCCCACACCTGGTGTGGGCACTGCCCGTGCGCAGAAACCGAATTCGCGAGAAGTGAAGTGTCTGTGCATGCGCCGTGCTGTCGACAGCGCCACCGCAGCTGCGTGATGTCAGGGCCGCGTGTTGGTCTCTATACAGCGAAAGTCACGTTAGTTCAAATTCAAGCTTTGCTTTCAAACTTTAGGGTTCAAGTTTATGAGATTCCCCTATATTACCACCTGCCTGGGAGTGTGACTGTTGGACCTCATTTCTTTAGTACTGTGCTGCTGCTTCAGCTTACCATTTCAACTTGTGTGCACTTGTTTGAGGGATTCTTTGCTCTGACAAATGTGAAAGTCTTAGCTTGGATCCTTATCGTGCCTGCAGGCAGTTGTTCCACCCGGAGCAGTTAATCACGGGCAAGGAGGATGCAGCCAACAACTACGCCAGAGGCCACTACACGATTGGCAAGGAGATTGTGGACCTGGTGCTGGACCGGATCAGGAAGCTGGCAGACCAGTGTACAGGCCTGCAGGGCTTCCTCATCTTCCACAGCTTTGGGGGTGGCACCGGCTCGGGCTTCACCTCCCTCCTCATGGAGCGCCTCTCTGTGGACTACGGCAAGAAGTCCAAGCTCGAGTTTGCCATCTACCCCGCCCCACAGGTCAGCCTTAAATGTCTTTCCTCTTGGCAACAAATTGCTTCTGCAGTTTGGATTGCCGTTTCTGTCAAGAGCTGGCAGCACATAACGACGCTAAGGGAGGTACAGGCTGGCTTCGCTTCGGTGAGGCCGCCAGTCTTCTCAGTGGCCAAGGAGCTGACCTCGCACGCAGCCGTCCCTTGCCACAGTGTCGGACAAAATTCGTGTCCCCGGCCACTCCTCCATCTGTGGGGAGGGGGGCTGGCGTGGGCACGACCCCCGCATATTCCTGATCTTCGCGTAGTCCTTTGTGGACTGTGACGCTGGGGAAAGACCATGCAGGGTACAGACTTTCTCGTGATTTTGTGTCGCTTGAAAGGCACTACACTTCCTTGTGGGGTGTTGAAGTGGCTTAATCGGGTTCCCAACTCCTGCTCAATGGCTCCGTTTTTCTTCTTTTCTTCCTTCAAGGTTTCTACTGCTGTAGTGGAGCCCTACAACTCCATCCTCACCACCCACACAACCCTGGAGCACTCTGACTGTGCCTTCATGGTCGACAACGAAGCCATCTTTGACATCTGCCGCCGTAACCTGGATATCGAGCGCCCCACCTACACAAACCTGAACAGGCTCATCGGTCAGATTGTGTCTTCAATCACTGCTTCTTTGCGCTTCGACGGCGCCCTCAATGTGGACCTGACAGAGTTCCAGACCAACCTAGTGCCGTACCCCCGCATCCACTTCCCGCTGGTCACGTATGCCCCGGTCATCTCCGCGGAGAAGGCCTACCACGAGCAGTTGACCGTCTCGGAAATCACCAACTCGTGCTTTGAGCCGGTCAACCAGATGGTGAAGTGCGACCCCCGCCACGGCAAGTACATGGCCTGCTGCCTCCTGTACCGGGGAGACGTGGTGCCCAAGGATGTGAACGCAGCCATTGCGGCCATCAAGACCAAGAGGAGCATCCAGTTCGTGGACTGGTGCCCCACAGGCTTCAAGGTATGTTTCCGGTCACGAAGTGTTTTACATTGAGTCTGCCCTCTCGCTTCACTGGCCTCTTCCGTTTCGATGGTTAGTGGCATTTCGGAGAGGGCTGTACATTAAATGCTAAGGGCGGCCTTATTCCATCGCTCCTTGTCCGTACAGGGAGCGAAACCGGGCTACCTACATTTTGTCTCCGATCTTCATTGGACTTAACCTTTTGCCACAACAATGTGCAGCATTTTATTGCCGAATCTTTCTCCACTATTTGTCCGAGAATACTAAGCTCCTGTCTTTCCATTGCGCTTCTGTCATGGTGCCAACACTCAGATTTGTAGGCATTGGAATTAGCAGTTCGTTTCATTCCTCCCATTTGGTGCCCTACGTACAGGTCGGCATCAACTACCAGCCCCCGACCGTGGTTCCCGGCGGCGACCTGGCCAAGGTGCAGCGTGCGGTGTGCATGCTCTCCAACACGACGGCCATTGCCGAGGCTTGGGCCCGCCTGGACCACAAGTTCGACCTGATGTATGCCAAGAGGGCCTTTGTGCACTGGTACGTCGGTGAAGGCATGGAGGAAGGCGAATTCTCGGAGGCCAGGGAGGACTTGGCTGCCCTAGAGAAGGACTACGAGGAAGTGGGCATCGACTCTGCTGAGGGGGCCGAAGACGATGGTGGAGAGGAGTTCTAAGTTGCGCTATTGTTTGCCCTCCTGCCCTGGGCCTTGGAATAAAAGGGGCAGTTCAGAACAGATGGCTATGCAGACCTTTTTTTTTTTTTTTTTTTTTTTTTTTAGTTGCATACACGAAAAGTATGCATTCTGATTTTATTGCATGTTGTGCAGCTCTTACGATATATTTGGGAAGTGACTCCCCACGGTGTGTGCATACCTGTTTCGCTTCTAATACAACATCGATGATTATCCTTTACTTGAGCAAGACTGCAGAAACAAAAAAATCGCTGGGTCTATTTGGTTATTATTTCGTCAAAACTCTTCCTGGGATTGCGTTTCGTGATTGCTCGCGGAGGCACGTTTCGTCACGCGTGCACCATAGGCGCGCGTTGACGCCGCTTTGCGGCGCCTCAGTACAAAAATGTTAACCCACCTGACTAATGTCCCGTGCAGCTTATCACAGAAAAAAAGCTAATCTGAGCCCTCGATGAAACATCGATGAGCTGATGGCGGCCGGGGTCTATTTGCTGCCTTTGGTCTAACGGAAACAACCGGTAAACCAAGTGCAGCGTGACATGAAGGTACAGTCTCCCACAATATGAAAGACCCATCCGCCAATGCAGAGGTGCTGAGCACCTTTAGGCTGTTTAGCTTTCATTATATTAGTCGTGTCGTATGACACCTGATGCAGAAAAAGAAAGTTTTAGTCGAAGGAAGAGAGACGGGGACGTCTCCATGTGTTCCTGCGTGTGTATTTGGCCTTGCAATCTTGCTGAAAGTAGGACCAACCCGAAGACCCCTTTCGAAATACTGTCCTCTGTGGCAGCTGTGAAACCGTGCACAATGGCGGACTAAAACCTCAACGTCACTGCACACTGGAAAAAAACACCCACAGAAAAGAGTGATGAGCGCGCAGTGACGTTGCACTTTCGACGCTGTTTGTTTGACTCGTCGGCTCGGAGTGTTCGCCGCGCTCCGACGTTCGTTATCGTATGGAATGACCTACACGTTCCTCGATGCAGTTGTTCCGCCATTATGCAGAGATCCAACCGATCCAACCACTCCAACCTTCTGATAAACGGCACGTGAAAATGGCGGCCGACCGAGTTTTCAAACACATGGGGCTCTATGGCACCAGAAACCGAAAACGGGCAAAAATGGGCTCCATTTTCCCATTGAAATTTTCAGAAAATCACTAATAACTTTTTATTAAATTATCAGATCGGGCTGAAACTTTGGCATCTGGTTGTGACCTCTAGCACTACCTTTTGGCCGAGAATGAGCGTTCGGCGATGCCTAGTTTATTTTTGCGGTAAAAAAGACCGTGTAAATTTTCTTTTGTACAATCGACCTGCACAAAAAAGTGTAGCGTCACGGTGGCCTTCGTCAAAGTAACGGCCTAAGCCAATCAAGCGACCCTCCTCGTGTTGCACCGTTGCCTTCTGCATGCAACGGTGCAACGCGGCACCGGCGCTACTGGGAAAACAAATGCAACTCATAAATCCAATAAAAATTCCACAAGTTTCTTCGTCTAAAATTTTAACGGTAGCTTACGCCATCTAGACCAGGTACTGAATTAACTAATACTGTCAGCATATAGCGCCACCTTAGCGACTCTTAAAAACGGGCGCAAAGTCCAGGTCCGGGCTTATTGCACTCGCAGAGCAGGCAGTCTTCCCAGTCTTCCTTTCGGGTTGTGACGCCGGCGGGGAGCTGCGGACAAATCGCCAAAGAAGTTAATTTGACTTTCTCACTCTATTCTGCCCCAAAATGTTCGCCCGTGCTCCGAAGAATCTCCTCAATGCCGTGTGCATTTCGGCACACAGGAACTTTTCGGTCACGTCTAAGGTATGGATGTTTCCGTACTTCACATTTCTTTTTTCAGCTTTCGCGACCTCTCGTATCCTGTGACCTTGGTCGTAAACCCGCTGTGCGATGAGCTTTCGGCTTATATTTAGACTTCCCAGGGGATCCACACTGTCGACCAAAGACATGAATGCCCCTGTGGCCTGCCACAAAGATACGATTTTTTTTTATTAGTTCATTAACCTTTTTATTGTGCCTTATCCGCTCCTATATTGTCACTACCGGCTTCCGCCGGCTAATCGGGTGGTCGTGTCGGGAGGTCATGTCACACTAGTGCACGTGAACGATTGACTAAAAATCTTCGCCGTGCTTCCCTTGACCTGAGGCGTAATCAGCGATGACCACAACGGAGTTGGCGAAGTGTGCTCTGGCTTTTCAGCTTCGGCGCATGAACGAAGTTGTGATGTTGCGAAACTGAACGCAACTGGTCCCCGAACTCTGCTGGGCAGTATTCCTTCAAACGTTTCGCGTCGTAGCATTCGGAGGTGACACCGACCGTTGTGTGCGACGTATTTCGCAATTTCAACGTATCAGTAGAAGTGGTACCAAATGTGATAAACGTAAAGGAAAAAAAAAAAAGAAAAAGAATGAAACGTGCGGCATACGTGCAAAACGACGAAACAGTGTCGTTAAAATGGCAGATTGTGTGCAGGGAGTTTGCGTCCCACTGATGAATATTTTCCGACGGACGTAACTACGTAAAAAAGAAATAATAAAAAAATAAAAACGTAAAACGAATTTACGTAAAAACGCACATCCCGCAAAACTCGGTTTAACATGCAGCAGGGACTTGTTATTTTCCGTAACATCGCTTTCTACTCTGAAACTTGCAGGATCCAATGGCAGTAAGGGACGCAATCCTCACGCTGCACATTTTCGACAGCCTAACTCTTCTGCCATTTAACCCAGAATCCAACGTCTTGTTTCGAAAGTTTATCATTTTATCACAGCCGCCGGCATCACCTGAGCGTGCAGTGGATTTTTTAGGCATGCCCTATAAACCGGTCACAGGCACCGATGCGATTATAACTGAATTACGTGCTACACTCATGTCTTGTTAACATGGATACCTCGGTTCCCCCCTAAACATTGTCCATAATGCAAGTCGTCCATAATGAGACAAAAATGCATGACCCAGTTCGTCCCTCGAAAGTTTTGCCTGTGTAGCGGGGCATCCATGGGACCAAATGGTTCTCTCTCCCTCCAGAACCATGTGAAGGTGGCTGTGCTGGGAGCCAGCGGAGGCATTGGCCAACCCCTGTCTCTGCTCCTCAAGCAGCACCCCGCCATCACCTACCTATCCCTCTACGACATTGCCCACACTCCAGGAGTGGCCGCCGACCTCAGCCACATCAATACGAGGCCTCAAGTCAAGGGCTTCACGGGCACTGACCAGCTCCCCGTGAGTGTTTTGAGAAAGAAGGAAAAAAAAAAATAGAAGTAGAGAAAGAATAGCAGAGGGCAGCTTGTCCAGGGATATAGTCGCCGAAGGGGGGATGGCGGCAAGGAGGGATTTAAGTTGTCCCACTTCCAGCGCGAGCATTCTAGCTTCAATAACGCTTCGGTGTGAAGCGAGCTTCGATCGTGCACACACGCAGACAATGCACGTCGAAGGGAAACGAAGGGGCGCGCTGGAGTCCAGGCACTTCAAAGAGACACCCTCCTGTTCTCATCCTGTCCGTGACTATAGTAGTAGTCTTTCTGCTTTCTATGCTCTGTTTCATAATGTATAGACCTTTCCAGCAGCAGTCTCGAACGAAGCTGTTTACAGCGCACGTCCCTGGTTTTGAGAGTGTACGTCAGTGTTGCCTGACTGTGCTGGGCTGTGGGTTTTCTCGTCAGCGGGCTGTGACAGTCTGCGTAGGCGCAATTCCGGACGCTGGTGGCTGCAAAATTGCCTCGTTTTATTTTTTTGTTTTGTGTTCTATGGCGAAAAGGTTCTCTCGGAGTTTTTAAGAAAGCATTGCACTATTTTTGGTAACAGAAACAAACGAGTGAAAGCTATTTTCGGCGAGTTTGTGCACGACAGAACAAATGCAACTGGAATGTTTGTTTCATTTTACATTTATATTTTTAACGGCACCATACACTGAGCCGTGTCAATCGACAAAGGTCTTAATTACTTAAAATATTTGACTACACCACAGGATAACCGAACTGCACGGGTATTACCCACTCCCGACATGAAATTCAATGAGTCTCATAGATCGAACAACGTATATTGTACATACCCCTTGGTGCCACGTCATCCGAACAGGATTTGAAAAAGGTATCAAATAACACAGCATATCATATACAGTGTCGACGATAGTCACTTCACGACGATCGGACGGAATCCAACTCGTCTTGGGGTACATTTTAAGAGTGGTGCTTTTTTATACAGCACTAAAGCAAATGAACAAATGTGTCTATTCTGTCCCGATACTTCGGACCCTATCAGCTACTTCTGGCCAAGACCGGGAACATAGACGGGAAAACTTTTTGGAGATTATCTCGAGGTAAATAATACTGGAAGAGCGTCGAACGGCCTGCGTCGCAGGCTCCTTGACGTTCGCTCTCTTTGTTCGCTCTCTTCGTTCGTCTCCTGCGAAGGTCGAGCAGGCTACGAGCCTTGGTATTCCCTTGTTCTCCCAGTCCAAGATAACACAAAACATGCAAGCATCCTGAACAGGCAAATAAAGTGAAAACTTTCAAGGAAAGTCGGCGAACTCCGAATGCACAATGCAGGTGGGCAGTCGCACTGACCAGGTTTCCACAGCTCAGGCAGAGCAGATGGCAGACATTTTTGGCTGACAAGGGTCGCTCAAGTCGCAAAATAGCAGCGGCCAGAAACCTCTTTTTGCAAAGGTCTATAGTAGTCCACTACTATACATTATGAAACAGCGCAGTTGTCGTAGGTGTGTTTCTCAATGTCCTTGCTGTAGTTGTTTCGTGGAAAGGCACATACCTGAAATAAAAATGCAAAGAAAAAACAGGTTGAACAGAGGAACAGACTTTAGCGTCTTCTTAGGGCCCAATCAGTTTATTCGTCTGGTCTGTAGAAGTTCATGCAATGAAATGATAACTTTATTTAATGTTTGACAACATCGTTAGAAGTTCACCTTTGTTTAGCCTGCTTCCTAAAGATGTATCTGATGCAGAATTATTTCTGCTTGTACTGTTTCAATGCTAGATGGTGGGATAAAACTAACATTCTTTTAGAACTAGTGTTTTTTTTTTTTTTTTATTTCGATGATAGGACATAGGAACAGTCTTGGGAACAACCTATGTGTAGCAGTGCTACTTCACATATGTTTAGAAAACTTTTACTTGAGGTACATCATTGAGTATGTAGACTTGTATTTTACTTGAAGTACATTCTTTGAGTATGTATACTTGTACTCTTTGAGTATGTATACTTGTACTTAATCTTTTTTTCCGGTACTTTTTGAGGAAGGTACAAGTCCCGACTTCACAGTGCATTCCCCAAATTTGGTCCTGTTAAATTTGTATCGCGCGCGAAGCAATGCTTTGTCAATTCTGAAGAAATACTGCGAGGGATATCCTACTCTTACCAGAAATGCGAGCAGACTATACGTCACTTTGTTTGTACTGGGGGCGGCTTTCCCTCAGCATTTCACACTCTCACTATACTTTCTTTCATACTTGCAAATAATCAAGATGAAGCCCATGCTCGGGCCAGCAGCTTTGGCAGCATTGTACATTAAGTATGAAACAAGAGTCTACTTTTTCCTTGGTCAGTGCAAGTGAGGAGGTTAGAGATATTATGAGAGGACATTCCTCCCCTAGAGGACTGCTTGCGGAAGCTACGGGGCTGACGTCGTGCTCTTGCCTAGCATGTTCAACCACCTTGGGTGCAAGCCAGTGCAAGGGGAGCCAAATTCAAACTTCTAAATTTGGCACCATTTCAGAAAATAACTACTCTATGGCCACTTAACTTTATCCAATATTCGCTGCCATTTTCGGAAATAACTGATCCCCCCCGATTACCCCTGGGGCCAATGCATACCAGTTTAAAAAATGATATACTCCATACGGGAATAAATTTGGCTGCATGTTTGGTCATTCTGCCAAATACATTTAAATGCTGTAGCTTTATATGGTGGTTAGAGCTCTTAGTTGGGTGGTATTTAAGGCAGGATGTCCCTTAGTCTTTCAGTGCCTAGGATGAGTGTTGGTCCAGTACCCCTGTCAGACAGGCTAATTTAGAGCACTTTAACCAAGTGCACTTCGCCTTTAGTGTCATTTCTGTAGTGTGCCACACAGCTTCTTCCTGAACGACGCACTTGGCTTTAATGAGGGAAGTGAGAACTCGCTTCTCTTGATCGAGTGTGTGGCCTCGATAGCAGTTTTTCAACAGTAAAACATAAAGAGACAGAAACCAAAAACGTGGCGTAAATTTTATTCTAAAAAGAATTGGAAATTTGTGAAAGAAAGGGCAGAAAGGAGTGTCATTACAAGAAAAATAGTGGAGTGCACTTCGCCTTGGAGTTTAGGTTGATCTGTACCAAGATTAGCGCCACGGTGAATTGATATGAGACGACGACAAAGTCGGTCATTCCAATGCTATATTAGTTAGCAGAGGAGGATAGAGCCTACATTTGTTTCAATATGTAGCTGTACGAGACAACACAATGATCATGATCCAATAAGGCAGTGTCAGGGACTCCGCGAAGACCTCCGTGGGACCAGGCATGGATTTTGGAGGGGTGGCGATTGCCGCCTCAAGCTCCCCAAGATCAACTTTTTTTAAATGAAAAAAATGGATATACACCAGTTAAAAGTTTAGTTCTTGGTGACATAGCAAATTTTGGGTCAACAAAATAGATCTGGGTAACGTTTCGGTCATAACGTCATATCTCAGCCTCACCCCCCCGCCCCTGCCCCTGCGTCGGACGAAGTGGAATGCCAAGGTTGGATCTTCCTCTTTATCTTGGCTTGTGATGATTGATCAGAATTGTCCTTTTGGCATGAAGATCATTAACATAACATTGTTTTATAATGTGTCTTTATTAAATAGACAAAATATAGCCAACACATTTATGCTTATAATGCAATCAAATGCCTCTACTTTAACATTTTAAGTGTCTGATAGTACTTTACCCATCATAATTGCAGTCTTGGGTAAGTTACTTTTAAAAAGTAATTCGTTACGGTTACCGCAACAAAAGAGTAACTCGTTACAGTTACTTGTAAAAAGTAACGACGTTACTTTTCAGTTACTTTTCTATAACACAAAAAAAAAAAAAAAGGAAAAACTAGAAAACGTCCCTCACCAAGTTTGATTGCATAAAACTAAACAGTACGCTTTTTACTTCATATTGTAACTTAGCAGAAGTTGCATCTCGAAATTAGTGTTTAAAAATTTCCACGCCAGAGTAGTGGCACAAGTCAAAATATGAAACATGCGCAGTGCATTGAAACATGCGCGTGTATTGTTGTTTTACGGTTGATTCACCCGATCAAAAAGCGTTTTCACAGAAAAAAGAAAAACCACAAAATAGATAGTGCTTCAAGACACTAAGATGCAAGTGTTCAGTCACAAAGTACAAGCACGTGCGTAAAGATAACTAGATTTTTTAGGGGGAAGCTCCTTAGGGGTTAGCCATGTCCGTATGTCCGTCCGCCATTGGGTGCACGTGCTCCTGCTCGTGAGCTCATGCGCTCGTGCTCACGAGCACGTGCTCCCGTGCTCGTGTAGTGCAAAAAAAAAAAAACGCATCTCCACGTGGTGTATGATGTTGATTGGGGCGAAGCTCTGGTGGTGCTTGTCTGTGTAGACTGTGAGCCGCAGCATGCCGAGCCTTTCGTTCGTTTTCATCCATGTCAGAAGGAGAATCTGTGGTATGGAACGTGGTTATATACGCACTTGAGCATTTGACCGCAGCATGACATGGATAAAAACGAACAAAAAACTCGGCATGCTGCGGCTCACCGTCTACGCAGACAAGCACCACCAGAGCTTCGCCCCAATCAACATCATACACCATGTGGAGATGCGTTTTTTTTTTTCATGATCTCTACACGTGGCTGGCTATATTCGGGTCGTGACTTGTGAGAAAGAACGTATTCACGAGTTTGTGCAAGGCCAACTTGACACTCGAAATGTCGGAATAGACGATTTGAAAGGTGCAGGAAAATGTAAATTGTACTCGTTCAGTGATATATTATTCATAAAACACTGGAAAGTAATGACAAAAGTAACGTCGTTACTTTCATCGTTACCTAAAAAAAAAAAAAAAAGTAATAGAACTACAGTTACATTTTAAAAAAGTAACTCGTTACAATTACAAGTTTCCAAAAAAGTAACGAAATTACAGTAATGCGTTACTAGTAACGTGTTACTACCCAAGACTGCATAATTGCCATCATTTGAGAATAACACTGATTTTTCCCGTGTGGCACCGAAACACTTGAAGTGACATTCGTAAAGCTGAAATGCACTCCGTTCAAGTGCACTAAATTAGCCTGTCTGACAGGGGTATTAGTTCAGGTGATGCCTAGGGTAGGGTTTTATATGGAAACGGATTTCATCACAACATTGTCTCTTTGTGACGCTGTCACCAAGAGAATGGAGATGTGCTTTTCTGTCCTTTCTACTCTTCCTCGTTCTGTGCACTTTTTCTGCACCACCTGTTTCTGCTCTTCCCTTTCTCGCCCCTTTCCATCCCCCACTGCTTTAAGTGCTTTCTCACACCAGCCGCTTCTGCTCCTCCCGTTCCTGCATGTTGGGTTTGTAGCTCAGTCAGCAGTGCACTTGGCTGGTTTCCATGCCGTTGCCTGGGGTTCAATCCCTAACACCTAATGGCTTTTTTTTTTTTTTTTAATTTAGCGGTTACGGATTGAGCACCTACACATTGCATGCTTATGTAGCTCCAGAGGACGGTTGACCCTATAAAGCTACCACTTTAAAAGGACATCATGAAAGATTATATAAAAAGTACTTGTGCTTTACTTTAAAAGCACATTGTATTTATAGTAGGGGAGAATGGGACGGTGGGAGGAGTGAGTCAGTCAACATATTTCTTCAATGAATAGTTCCAAAAAGTTTATGAACTGTTAGATTGATGACATCATGGTAGCGGTACTTTCAACCCTAATGGCAGACCTGCTTGACATGGTGTACATGATTTGAGTCAATGGTTGCCAATAAGACACTCAAAAGTAAGTAGTACATATTCATTTTGCTCGATTCTCAAACCTAAACAGTAAATTAGCATTGAAAATATGTGTTAATAGGTTGCTTTTAACCACTGTTATCTTGAGCCAGGATTTTATTAAAATTCTTCAAAAATCACAAGATTTTCAAGGTGGCCATCTTTCTGAGTTAAACTGGAATAAAATATGAATATAGGAAAACAATAATGAGTATTTTGTAAGCATTGATTCTGCAGTCTGTTAGCATTGCCAAGAGTGCAAGTTTTCTAAGTTTGTACAGTTGTACTTTAAAATGGGGCATGACCTTGACCTCCTCATATCCTCAATATTCAACAGCTGCTGTTGTCATGCTTTGGCTCCTGATGTTCTATTGTATGGAGATGGCTGTGCAGTGTACCATGAAACTAGGTTGTCATGTTCCTCGTGCAGATCTAAATTAATCTCGATGCCACCGAGTGCAAATGAACTGGAATATGATAAAGCCGTTTCGGTGGCTGCCATAGCTTGTCTGTACAACTTATTTATAATAAACTTTCATTGTCTGTATTAATGTTCTGTTAGGTGTTTCACATTGAACTGAATTGTCTGCATCCCAAGCATTCAGAATTGGTGATAACTTTTTCTTGTGCCTTTTGGTATCACTTTTATACTTTCAGATACAATAATTCAATGACCTTAGGAGAAACTACCTACTTTGGGATGCGTCTAGCGCCCTTTGATACTCCCAGACTCTTAACCACCTTGACAGAACTTGCAGCTGTTGTAAACCCCATTGCAGGTAGCAAGCAGTCAATAACAAACTGCCTTATAAATCATGCCGGGTCCAATTTACAGAGCCAGTATTGGTTTCTGAACTATCACCCTTTCCATAATGGAAAGTTCAAACGTAACTCTAGTACTCAGGACACATCCAATGTAGGGCATCTGGTACATTAGTCTTCAACCATAACCTCTCATAGATTTTAAAACATGATTATGCCAAGCTTCAACTTAGCTTGCTATAATTTTGACCATCAGGGGTTTCTGGCGAAACTGAAATCTATAATTGCTTTTTGTTCAACAGACAGATATTTTAATTTTCGAACTGGAGATATGGGGGATCTGTATGCTGTCATGTCTCAGCTTGAGCCTAAAGGTACAGCAAGGCTTGTCCGAATTAGGGGTGCATTCTTTAATGTCCCATTTGTAATGCTTCTCAGCACTGTCACAACGAAAACTGCACTGTGTATGCAAATTTGCATGATGGTGGGTATAATTGACTGGTGAAGGCGAGCGGGTTGAACATGAATACATAAAATTGAAAGAATAAAACACAGGACAAGCACAGGACAACCACTTTCTTGTTGTTTCAGTGTTTCGTAAATGTTTCAGTAAATCCTCGAAAGCTGTTTTATGGCAAATATTTGTTTTGCATTTATGTTGCACGTGGCACTGCTGTCACTTGCAGTACATATCGACCCCACCGATAAGTTATTGCATGCTCTCGGCCGTTTTGTGTATGTTTTTGTTCCTTAGCACCACTTTATGTTGGTCTGTTGCCACTGTCTGTAGTGTAGTGATTACAAACTGTCATTAAATTGGCTATCAAGGCTTTTTCCATAACTGTGGATGGTGTTGAGAAACTAGTGATAGTCGAAAATCAATCATTGGCTCTTAATTGAATCGACTATCAATGCCATCAACAGTCAACTTTCAGGGGACTATCGAGTGTTGAGAAAATAAAAGCAAAACGCAAGAAAGAGGACGATAGACATGTATAGAGTGTTGAGTGTGGTATGTATAGGAAACTATTGACACTTATAGTCTGTTTCAGGTTAAGAAAAGCGGGACAAGCCCCTCCCAAAAAGCCTTCTGCCCACCATGTTTGGTGGTTTGCCCCTTTTCAGAATTAACTCTGCTAAAGTGGAAAGAGCACAGGGCTTTGTGTGAGGGGCATGTCCCTGCTATTCTTACTGCAATGTGATGTAAAACACCGCTCAAATGGACAGGGCAAAAGGAAGGGAGGACAAACATGCACTGTTTGTTCCTTCCTTCCTGTGTTCATTCCTTTTGCCCTGTCTCTTTGAACACTGTTTTTCATCATGTTCAGAGATCACCAACTAGCCCATCTCACCACCTTAGCCTGCAGCATACTATAGTGCCAAAGCAGTAGAGCATCGACAATCGGCAGTCGGTTCTCGATACTGCTCAATACTCGTGATACTGTTGTTCATCAACTTTTAGAAAACTAAAGAGTGTTAAAGGGGCACTGAAGTCATTATTGAAAAGGGTTGTTTTTGATCTTATATTGTTTAAAATGTGTTTGTTCCCGCATATACCAAGTCCTATATTACAAAACCGCCTATTCATCTCGGGGCAAGAGAAAAACATCTGGATTCTTTTTTCTCGCAGACTACATTGTGTGGACCAACGAAAGCCCTACAATACGCGCAGATTCCGAATGATTTTTATTGTAACTTGTTTTAAATAGAGTGTGACAGGTACACATTTGGATAAGACTCCTCTTTTTTTACCGCGGGCGAGGCCATCACTTGCAACTCGCCGACAAGCACCCTTCGTCAACCACTTCACTCGGAAAAGAATTCTTACCAAAAAGGGCGTGTCGCGATCTTTGAACACTCTTTTAACAATCAAATAAGCTACGCACGGTTGTGGTTTCGGGTTTGTTGGGATGCTTAGAGCATCTAGATTGAGTTGTCACCACAAAAGGACGATCTCAGAATAGACTTCAGTGCCACTTTAAGAAAAAGCGCCAAAAGGGGGCAACGAAGGATACATGCCGTTTTATTAATTGAGTGTTGGCTACGATATTTATCGAGAGCCATCGACTGTTGGTTCCAAAACCATGGAGCGTCGACCATACCGTAGCACTGTTCCGGACGCAGGAGTCGCTCAAGGGCATGGAGATAGTGGTGATCCCCGCCGGCGTGCCCCGCAAGCCCGGCATGACCCGGGACGACCTGTTCAACACCAACGCTTCGATCGTGCGGGACTTGGCGGATGCCTGTGCCCAGGCCTGCCCCAAGGCCTTTTTGTGCATCATCTCGAACCCTGTCAACTCGACCGTGCCCATCGCCTCAGAGGTGTTCAAGAAGCGGGGTGTCTACGACCCCAACCGCATCTTCGGGGTCACCAGCCTCGACATCGTCCGGGCCAACGCCTTCGTGGCCGAGGCCAAGGTGGGGCTCGAGCGGACTTTGCATGAAGTGTGGTGGCTTGTTTAGCTACAGGGGCCCAATAGACCCTTTTCAAAACCCTGTCGGGCAACACTGGTGGTCGCCATTTCTTGGGTACGAAGCATGCGATTGGATCAGAGTCTTTGCCGAACGCTGACGCAGTACTCGTTTTCGATGTGAGCTGAACGGAGTTCACGCCAATTGCTGACACGGCCCTCGTGTCCAATACGTGATCAGGGTCCGTGCCCAAACAATGGCGTACTCAAATAATTTTATCAGCAGCTACTAGATTGCGCACAAAAAAAAAAAATTGGGTTGTGTGTGTGTTTATACAGCCTAGAACTTGGTCTGCCTCACAGGGGCGACGAGTCTCCCAGCTGTAGATGAGAAATTTAGCCAGTGCGGTACAGCCGCTAGCCTGGGGTCTTTAACGTGCACCACGCAGTAGTGATACACGACCGCACGCCGGTACGATGCTCATCCAGAACGAAACGGGCAGGGGTGGGGCTCGAACCCAGGATCCCTGGGTTCTGCAGCGCGAGCTTTCGCTCCACGTGCTCCGAGCTGGTGTGCGCTAGACCACTCGGCCACCGATCCCCCCAGATTGCACACACTTTTGAAGAGGGTCTGTTAGGGGAGGGACTACATTAAAAAGGAAATGCTCGGTGGGCTGTTGTCAAGAAGGCATCTCTTCCGTTAGTCTATTTATGACATCTTCTTCAGTGTTGCCAACAACAAATGAATGCTGTGCAAGCAACAATGGCCACTAGCAGAACAATAAAAGTAACAAGCAAAGAGCTACAGGAAGCATATTTGAGCATGTATGGTTGCAACTGAAATGCTCCTTAGTTGGTTCTCTTATTTTTTCGGTTAAAAGGCCACCTTGCACCCATAAAGATTAAAAATCTCGTCTGAAAACATATGGCATAGATTTGAAACACATACAATGTTCAGAGACGGGCAGAAAATATGATGAATCAGTGTGACCACATGTCTGGTGAAAAACAAAATGCAGCACACAACAGTGCCACATAAAACTGAAGACATCTCATTACATACTGATTGATGAAAAAGCCTGTCTGTGATTGACAAAGACTGGCGAGTATATGCAACAAAAAGTTAACTTCCTACAGCCCAGTCGATGTTTAATACCTTGCATTGAAAAAAACTAAAGATGTGGGATGTTTTCTGGTTGACTCTAACCGCTCTATACATTTTTGTGCAAGGATGGAAGAAAATGCGGTTTAAAAGAGTGAATTCAGTCTCTCGAGTGGGCCATTCTGTCACCGAAAGCAAGCACCACCCAGAGCCGAGCAGTATGCCCACACTGGTGCGAACTCCCGTGCTTGCGCTTTCTTCCGACAACCTCGGAATTCGGTAGATCCTATCAAGTGTGCATAATTTTGGATAGAAAGTGCCTGCTCCCTAGTTCTCACATTAATAGACCCTTTTTAAAAGTGTGTGTCACTGAGTTGCCATTCCCATTTTAATTTGCACTTTCATCACATGTCAGACACGAATGCTCAGTCAGTATCCGGCCTGGGTTTTGTTTGCATCGCCTTGTTGGCACTTGGCTTCGGGCACCGTTTCAGTCGTGGGCCGAGCGTCGGAAGCGTTAACTGAAATATTACGACGTTCGATTGGGGCTGGTTCAATGGGGTTTTGAAAAGGGTTTGCTGTCTCGCGATTGTGGTGGGCACTTGTTGGGTTGGCACTTGTTGGGTTGGCATTTGTCTGACGATACCATGGCCCCCTTCTCCCCCAGGGCCTGGACCCAGCCACAGTGAACGTCCCCGTGGTGGGCGGCCACTCCGGGGTGACCATCGTGCCCCTGCTGTCCCAGGCCACGCCGTCTGTGAGCTTCCCTCAGCCCGAGCTGGAGGCCCTCACCAAGCGCATCCAGGAGGCCGGCACCGAGGTGGTCCAGGCCAAGGCCGGAGCCGTACGTGAAAATCCCGTTTTTTTCCCTTTCTTCCTTTTTTTTTTCTTAAAGCGGCATTTTGAGAAAGAACCTCCTAGAAGCCACAAAGTGGCACCCAGTGTCTCGCTGAGAGATTGTTTCTTCGGAGCCCTGAAGAAGCTCTCGACATCTGTCTCACAGTTTCGCAGTGGCATCAGTTCAACTGCAAAACTTCCAAGAGCTTTTTTTTTTCCCATTTTTTTTTTACTTTTTTTTTTTAGTTTTGTTTGTTTTTGGGACAGTGGATTTTCTGTAGCCACTGACAAAGTGAAAACTGGAGGGAAAAGCTTCTGTTATCCTGCCAAAAGCACGAGCTTCCAGCCTTCTGCCGCATTTCAAGCGTGCGCGCAACCAAGGTACGGCAGAAGGCATGAAGCGCGTGCTGGAGGCCTAGCATTCGAAAGATGCGCTCTGTTAGTCTCAACTTGTGGTTTGGGCACCTGGGACCCGGGGAGGCAGAGAGCCAGCCTTTGGGGGGACAGCACTTTATTCGGTTTCCAAGTCTTGCTTGAACCAGCTTCAGCAACAAAACTGCCTGTCTCGTCCATTCTTCCTTCCGTCGTTACCTTGCTTTTTTTCGACGCACCAATCAGCGCACTGTCAACGAAAAGATAACCATCACAAAGCCCGATAACCCGGATAACCAGACAGCGCTGAATCAGCTGCCTCATGCATACCAAATGAAAACAACAATGTCATGCCGCACGCATGACATTGTTGTTTTCATTCTGTCAGTGACTATAGAAGCCTTTTCCGGGAGCGAGGCGGTGGCACGTACGAGTCGGTATTATTTTTATACTATATACCTGCCCTCCCTATTAATTGTGTCAGAGGTTATGCCTAGTCTTTATGCGTAGGTCAAAGTCAAAACTTGGCTCGAAGTATGCAGTGTTTGTTTTGGGACAACATGCTCCCGCTTACCTGAAAACTACATGCAGTATGTATTGTTGTTCATAGACGCGCTCGTGCGAGCATTTTACGACTCATTTATGCGAGTCCTTGGCATGAATGTTGACAGCCGTTCTTGGCAGCCGATATGTCTTCAGTTTGGTCTGAATCTCTAGTGTTTGGTGTAGCATTTATTACAAGCAGTTGTGACATGCTTTCCAGGGCTCCGCGACACTGTCGATGGCATTTGCGGGAGCTCGCTTCGTCTTCTCGGTGAGTGTTTTGCAGAAGATTTGGGGGTTGCACTTTAATAATTTTTATTATATGTTTCAATCCCTTTGGCATTCATAAATTTTGAATTTCCTTTGCAAAGAATTTCTATAAAGGTTTGCTCTAAAAAATCCAGGTATCTATACTCCGTGTCACTAGTTGTGCAGCGCAGTGCAGGCAAAGGCAGTGCATGGCAAAGAGGGAAAGGGTGAGCACTAGGAAGATCGGATAGGAGCGGAGGTTTCTCTCCCCAGTCTTCTATTGCTTACCCTTTCTCCCCTCACTTGGCGTTGCCTTCGCCTGTCCTGCGCGCAACTAATGACACGGGTAATTCTGAATACCTGTTTACAGTGTAGCACTAATCCAGTACTAATTCGGGGCTTAAAACAGCACTGCCCATAGCACTGATGAGGGACTTCCTTATACAGTGCTGCTGTAGTAGCAGAATGGAGTGGTTTTATTCAGTGGGGCCATCTCGCGTTTTCTACCCGAAATGTTTCCGGCGGCTTATTCCCGTCAAGATCAACATGTTCGATGGTGTGTGCTAAGAACGGAGTCGAAGCCGCTGGCTTTCCCTAATATCTAAAATTTTGTTTTTCTCAAAACAAAGTTGCCTCACTGCGACAGCGGACTGGATCAGACTCGTGGTATTACAAATTGTGAAAAGCAAACCTTGGCAGTAAAAGGAGAAAATACAGTGCTAAATGAACGTTAAATTTAGTGCCTTTATCAGCACTGCATCAGCAAGGTCAATGCTGACTAATGATCCTGAGTAGCATTGTGGTGTATGTGTTAGCAGGGCATTACATCACAAATTCGGTGCTGCGCTAAAGTTCCGGAAGAAATGTCCCCGGAAGAAATGTCCCCGGAAGAAATGTCCCCGGAAGAAATGTCCCCGGAAGAAATGTCCCCGGAAGAAATGTCCCCGGAAGAAATGTCCCCGGAAGAAATGTCCCCGGAAGAAATGTCCCCGGAAGTAATGTCCCCGGAAGTAATGTCCCCGGAAGAAATGTCCCCGGAAGAAATGTCCCCGGAAGAAATGTCCCCGGAAGAAATGTCCCCGGAAGAAATGTCCCCGGAAGAAATGTCCCCGGAAGAAATGTCCCCGGAAGAAATGTCCCCGGAAGATATGTCCCCGGAAGATATGTCCCCGGAAGATATGTCCCCGGAAGATATGTCCCCGGAAAAAATGTCCCCGGAAAAAATGTCCCCGGAAAAAATGTCCCCAGAAAAAATGTCCCCAGAAAAAAATTTTCCGGAAAATATCTTCCTGGAAAAAAAGGCCCCAGGTGGAGTAGTAGCAAAAAATGTCCCCAAGAGGTTCTCTATCGCTGGGTTTTCCCCGATTCTCATGGCCTTCGGGCGGCCCTACCATTGTCCGGTCACAAATGACCTGACCCACCTAGAGGTAGAAAGGGAGACTGGAAGTCACACAAAGCAACCGAAGTAATCTTTTGGGGGGTATTTTGGAAACCGGATACGACTTTGTTAACATTTTATCATTTGTTGGCCTAAAATTTACCAGCGAGGCCCCCATACAGGACAGACTGCAGTTCCTGGATCTTCGCCTGCATCCGTCGAAGTCAGGTATTTGCTGGTCGTTCCAGCAAAGATTGTGCAAACCAGTGCTTCCTTTCCACAGTAACCATTAAAAAAAACGTCAAAAGCGGAATCGTTCACAACCTGCTGACCTCATCCCGATCGAAGTCATGCCCTCACCTGGTCTCGATGAGCTGCTCCCTACAGCTCACCTGCCTCATCAAGGCGGGCTACCCAAAAGACTTACTCGAGACCCGATTAAAACTCATTATGACAGCTCAGGCCACGCGCCTTTTTTTTTTTTGTCCTCGAGGACATATGACTGGACCCCCCGAAGGCCATGAGGATCAGGGAAGCCCTTTGGGAACATTTTATCCTACCTTTTCTCCGGGGCCCTTTTCTCCAGTGACATCTTTTCCTACAGCCGCTGTGCTGCATGAGTGCACTAATATTATTTCACACTTGGGATTTCTCTCAAGAAAACCTTGCCCGCACGAGCTCTGTCATTGGGTGGCTTACATACATCCTTCCGGATCGTACAAAGCCGTGGAACAAGGCTGCTGCCCGATCAGGAGGGCTATGGGGAACCCATTTGCATGTCTGGTTGTGACATGTCCAGTTTGCTCGTGCTGCGTATCACTGTTCACACTAATTCCTCTTGAGTTTTGGCTTAGCACAGGTGTATTGTACAGAGACCCTTTGCGAGTCGATTTTGTGCAGATTTGACCCCATGCAGTTTAGCGGTAGCATTTATGCTGGGAGGTGCCATGTTTTAATGTCTGTCTTCTCCTCAGCTCATCTCTGCTCTCCAAGGAAAAGAGGGTGTGGTCGAATGTGCATTTGTCAAGTCTACGGAGACAGAGGCCACTTACTTCTCAACCCCACTTCTCCTGGGCGTAAGTTTAGACTCTCGAACTACGAGTTTTTTTGTGTGTGCGTCGAGCTTAGAGAGTATTAGATATCTTTCTGCAACTTTCTACATATAGTTCATAGTCAGTACAGCGTTAACCTTACTGCCTATAATCGTAAGAGCTGCTCTGCGACTGGTTAGATTTAGAATAATAGTGCTGGATTAAAAGGACTAACCGCATGGGTTCTTCTGATTTCTGTTGCTCGAGGTGCTATGCGCAAACATTTGCCTTCCTTTTTTGGTCAAATTGCAGAAAAACGGCCTGGCCAAAAACCTGGGTCTGGGCAAGCTGTCCCCGTACGAATCTGAACTGGTGAAGACTGCGCTGCCCGAGCTCAAGAATAACATTAAGAAAGGCGAGGACTTCTCCAAGAAGTGATTGCGGCATTTTCACTCCAACATCTTTGAGAAAAACATCTGGAATCTTGTTGTCATTGTGGCTAGGAGGAGCGATAGTCAGATTTTCATGGTTGTAACGCATGTAATAAAAAGTTGAAAGTTCTGCTCCTGCTTTTGGTCATCATTTAGGCTCGTTTTTATGCATGTCATTTGCAAATGTGATGAAAGGTCCTCTTTCACCAAGCGCACAAATTTCCTCGACCTTTCTTGCCCCTAAGCCAAGTGTTGTTCTAGTTTAAAGCCACCCATTGATGCAAAACACTATTTGCATTATTTTTTACAAGGTCCACATGCACTGCTTTATTTCATCAATACCAAAACCAGAATGGTTTCCCTGACTATCGGTCGCGGCAGATAGCTGTTCCCCGGGACCGAAAAACATTGAAAACCGCTGGTGTAGACTATACTTGCGGACAACTTTCTGCAACATTTGTGAAGTAGTGAAGAGTGAGTGTCCACAACTTTGATGGGCGCTCAAGATGTGCAAGCAACCATATAGTTTTGACTGCATAGTCACAGAAAGTTGTCTGCAAGTATAGCACTTTCCGAATGGGGTGCTCTTTGGAAGTCATGATGGATTTCTTCACCTAGTGACTGCATAGCTCCCCTGTAGTGGTGTCACCTTGGGTCGAGATCTGCGAGGTTAAGTAGGCCTTCCCAGAAATCGGAAGCAAGTGGCAGTGCTGTGCCAGTTCTTTCTGCCCCTCTAACAGTTCAGTAGAGCCACCTACAACAGAACAACTTGACCACAGAGCTCCTCCGTATAGGCCATGTAAGCTCCTCAATTGGGGTTCCTAACGTGGCTGCACTTCTCGTGGTACACTTGTTGAGCACTTATATACGTAATAGTTGCCCTTGCAACAGTCCATTATTAAAGAGACTGTGCAACGACATTGGGTAGGAATATTTCTTACTTTACACCAGCCTCCTGGCACTAGTCGGACCCAAGAATACTCGCACGCAACACCACTGACCAAGGACGTCTTCGTTGCGGCGGAATTCAAAGGATGAAAGCGGAGCTTTTCTTTCAGTCTCTCCTTCGCAAAATTTTATGACGGAGCTGTGGGGACAATGGCAACGGTACGATCCCCGGGAATGCGTCATCGAGCTTAGCAATCCCAGCTGTGACGATATTCAAATGCTGCTCACACAGTGGACGCGAAGACTGCGTACGGATTTGATCTGAGCTCGTGACAATCAATGCCTCGACATGCATTTGGGTAGTGGCCCGTGTCCAATCGCTGCAACGACGACAATAGCCGAGCCGTTCAAGGTCTGGAACTCGGCATGTGTCCTGTGCTTTGTCAACCCCAGCGCGTGGCTATGATCAACATTGGTGGCATATAATCGGCTCCAGATCACGTGGCCACTTGTTCTGGCTGCGAGTTGAAGGGGTGAACGGTGCTCGTTTTTTTTTTAATTTTTTTCTGGAACTTTTATTGCGTGGGGTGAAAAAGGAATGTGTGTTTCGTAGGTCATTAACGTCGGGGATCCATTTTAAGCGGTATTTGAGCAAAGTACAAAAATTGTTGCATCGCCCCTTTAAAATGAAAGCCTTACTTGTCCCATTGAGCGAAAAAGTGGCGTATATGACCATAAAAATACGACCGAGTGGAACGCGCCGCTCAATCGTATGCTCAAGGATGATGCTGTCCTTGGCGTCGTCCTTGAGGTCGTCCTAGACCTATAGGATTACCTTCTAGACCTCTAGGACGACCTCGTAGACTTCTAGGATGACCTCCTAGACTTCTAGAACAGCCTTGTCCCATTACGCGAAAAAGTAGTGGCGTCGTGCCCGAAAGATGGCCATAAAAATGTCCATCAAGCACACGCCGCTGAAGTCCCGGAGCGTAATGTCAGCGCCGCAGCTCTGTGTGCAAAGCGTGTGCTTCGGACTTCATCTGTGCTCGTGTGCTTCATGCAATGAATTGTGAGGCGACCATGTCTACACCTACAGCGGCTTCCACAGGCAAACGTGGCCGCCCATGCAAATATGCCACAGCCCTTAAGTGTCCTCCTCTTCGGTTTCGACATCCTCCTAGAAGCTGTACTTGGCGTCGATCTCTAGGACGTCGTCCTCTACTTTAATACATGTAGAAACATTACTCTAAAACAGTCTTGAGTGTGCTGTAATATTTTTGCTTGCAATGGGGATCGCCTTGAAAGCTGCAACATCTGCACATGCTTTACAATGTGTCTTTAACTGTGGTGTTCCACTAAGCTACCACTTTCTGCACAAGGCACGGTAGAAGTTGTCAAGTATTACTGGGAAAGAAAAGCCAATCCCCCGACCAAAGTTTGAATAAAAGGTGCTGCGAGGTGATCGGTCAGTCATTTTGGAAGAGCAAGTACCATGTTAGAATTTGTGTAGGCCTGTCCAACCGAAAGACAATGCCTCCTGTCGAGCACGTAGCCAGAATGTTTTTTTTAATTTTTTTGGGCCGCCCATGACAAAATGCTGTATGAGGGGGAGGGGGGAGAGGAGGTCCCAGCAAAATGGAACCTTTTTTGAAGGGGGGGGGGGGCCCCGAGCCCCATGGTCCTCCCCCCCCCTGGCTATGTGCCCGCCTCCTGTGCTTTCCCACTCTTGTGCAACCCTAACTAGCATCCACTGCACACTAGACAATGAGATTCTCTGCAACGCTCAACTATACTCCATTTCACCCTATGGTAGACCGCAGTGGACGCCACGAGTGTGTGGTGTGACCTCCAGGAAGGGCTCGGCAATGCACAGAGCACGTGTAGAATCATGTGCCATGTTCGCAGCACTGGATTGCCTGGGATTGCTTGTAGCATCTGCTGCAGTCCATCGCAACGTGAAACAGAGTATCGCTGTTCAGTTGTGCAATATAGACATGGTAAACAGGTATGTTTTGGCAAGTCATTGTTTTGTTTAAAAACATCTTTGAACAGTTATTTGGGTTAAGGAATCAAAGATAAACCATATCGTATTACACTAAAATAATGAGACTAAAGTAATGATGGGTAAAGAAATTGTCTTTTTCGAAGTCTTAATAATGGCAATCTTTTTCAGTGTTGTGCATGTGTACCATCCCACCTTTGAGGGGTTATTTCTTTTTAAGCATGCGGTTACACTGTGGCAAAGCAGGACAGCAGTCTACCCCGTCGCCTCTCCACACTCCACCAGCGCACAGCAAGCACACTCAACAAAGCTAACTTACCTGCTCAAGCGAACCCTGAACAAAGAAATACTGTGGAACTCCCAAATACTTAAGGGCCATTCACGCACTTGCAACCGCCTAGGACCGAGTGCCTTATACTCTTGTTACATGGGCACACTTAACTGCAGTTACGCTAAGCCACATTTAGCGCACAATAGTTGCGGACAACATTCTGCGGCTATGCAGTCAAAGCTATGAGCGAACATGTGCTTGAGCATCTTGAGCACCCATCAAACCAGTGCACGCGCTCTTCACTTCTTCTAAAATAGCTGCCCGATAGTATAGTGTGGTAACTCTGGTGCCGCGTAACAGCAGTTAAAGCCGAGTTAACCGTGGTTAAGGGTGTCCGTGCAACAGGGGTATTAAAGGGGTCATGAAACAATGAGTTGGAATGTTCATGGCTTTGCAGAGGTGTACTGGTCCTAGTCTGGCCCCAAGGGTACTCGCACTCGCACAGACCGCCACCGATTCCGAAGTTTCTTTGTCGCGGTGAAATTGTGAAGATGAAAGGCGAGTATTTTTTTTCAGTCTTGCCTTCGCAAACCTTGCTGACGTAAATGAGGGATCGAAACTACCCGCCTGACGACAGTCGAGCGCGGCAGCCCATGGATTGGACACGAGAACTGCACGAGCACTCGACTTCGGCTCATAACCAATCAATGCCTCGGCAGACACTCGGGTAGTGGCTCGTGTCCAACCACTGCGGTGATGAGAATAGCCGAACTCTAACCATGCCGCGAGCTCAGCACGTGTTTTCTACTTTGCCGATCCCAGCGTGTGGGTATGATTAACGTTGTTGCCATAGGATAGGCACCAGGCCACGTGGCCGCTTGTTCTGGCTCCGAGTTGAGGGGATCAACGATGCTCATATTTCTGGAATGTTTTTAGCGACAGCCATTGTCTAGAAAAAAATTTAAAAAAAACTAAGGCAAGTTTATTCAGTTATTAACGGTAGGAAGCGATTCTAAGTAGTATTTAGCAAAAGTAGAAAACGTTTTTCTGATAATAGTATCTGGTTAGAGTAGATCTTACAACTATCTTTACTGATGTTTACAAACTTAATTGCATTGTGTCCACTACTTCAAGCAAGTAACTTTATGCAATACTTTATCAGTACCTTGCTGTTTTGTGGCTCTATTGCACATGCAACCTACTTTGCACTATCTCAGAAAATTATTTCCTGCACAAGTAAATGCATCAGCAGTTTCATATCAAAGCTATACAAAAGTGGCATTGTCCCTCGAATCGTTTTCTACATTTAGCCACAGCACAAAATACATTTTACTATCTCTAATAAGTTATTTAGTTGTAAGGGTAACTCCACTCTGTCTGTAAAAGCTAAACTTAAAAGGATCTTTTAAATGGAACAAACTAAAAGAACTTTGATGTGCCTGGAATTGCAAGCAGTGAACATTTCAACTGGGTGCCTCAAGAACAAAATTTCATAGCAGCAGACCCTCAAAAAGCCCATTTCAATTTTAGCTGGCAAATTTTGAGTTACGATTCTTTTGGACCGAGATAAGCTAGAATTAGGAACCACATCCACAGGTGCAAATCTCAAATGATGCACGTGATCGCCCAAGTGTTCTTTCTAAGCATTGCGAAGACGTGTTTCCCGGGGAAGAATTCACAACAACACGGGGTAAACAAACCAAAACAAAACTCTATTCATATTTCCACCAATGAGCACTGTGAAATCTGTTTATAAGAACACGCACACACGCACAAGTACGAAAAAAATAAGATACAAGAGGACAGGACACGACAAAAAAACGACACCTGCTTTGAAAAAGACCTACGTTAAGAACTCGTGAGGAAGAGTGGAAAAAGATTTTCTTCCCTGGAAGGCACAACACCAAACTCCACCCAATTCAGAAAGTGCTGACTAATACACATCTGGAGAGCATCCACTTAAGCAGTGCAGCAGTACTGTGTGACGAGAGTAGTTAATAGTAGTAGTCATGTACAAAAACACACCCACGAAAACCACAAAAGGTTACACGAGGCTCTTTTCTGCACTCAACAACCCCAGCTCTTTTCAGACGCTTTTTGTTTCTTCGACTCACTTCGATCGAGCGTTACACTGCGTCGATCGTCCCTCGCCGGTTTTACAAATGCTTCAAAACGACGCAGCCCCCCCCTCCCTCCCTCTCCCTCTACCACTAACCCCCTCCCCCCCACGCGCCTTTGGCTACACGGTGCAAACGAAACACTGCAACTACAGCGAGTGCCACTGAACGACATACGAAAGACATGGCCAGGTGCACACACTGTTCCGAGACCTACTGTAAGAGGAAGCAGCACACGGAGTAGCACTACACGCGATCACCGACGCCATCACTAAACATTAGCAATAACCACCAGGGATTCTCACAGTCTCAACTTTGAATGTTTTGTTTCACCTTCGCACCAGAAAAGTCGCCGACGGCGCACGCGTCGTCAAATGGCAATGCAAGTTTATACACAGGGTGCGCGGGGAAGAAAAAAACGCTCCAGAGAAGTCTTATCTATGGGGAGGAGGCAAAAGGCGGAGACGGGGAAACTCGAAAAGGCTCGACGAATGGCCTTGTCGCGTTTTCGTATTGTAAAATCTTGACTATAAAACCGCTACGTCTGGAAGGTGCATTTTGCGGTGGCGAGGGTTGGACCAGCTTTTACGTGCGTCCCGAGTTTAAATGCGACGGGAGGGTTCGGAACCAACCGCTAGATTAGGCCAAAGGTGTCTCAACTATCGGCTCGGCAAACAAAGAACTGCCCGACGATCGAGACACACCGCTAAGTAATCGTAGCGGGGAAACCACTCGGTAAACTGGGGGAGGGGGGGGGGGGCTATTTTTACGAGGCGCAGAGACGCGTCTCCTCAGAACTATTGCCATTGACAGGGAAAGATAACCTAGGCTGGATGGACGGTAGAGAATTTTTTTGAAGACACAAAGAAACAACAACAAAGACTCGGCCTCTCCTACACAGCTAGGGTATGAGGCCGAGATTGTCAGTCATTTACGAGAAAGGAAAAAAAAATCGCAAGCAGGTGTGTACAGCCCAAGCTCTTCGGCAGTGATACCTATCACCGTTTTTTCGTAGAGACCCGCTCATCACACAGACGTTGTGCCAGACAAAAGCTTACACAGCGGTAATACATTAAGACACCCTGGAAACGAGTTTGTGAACACACTTTTGTTGAATATTGAACAGAAAGAAAAAAAACGCATGCACACCTCCCGAAAGTTTTTTTTTTTTTTTTCTTTTCTCCCACTGTGTATGCCCGGTGTTTGTGTGTGCAAAAGAGCGATATGTGCGAGCAAGGTGCCCACGTGCACAACAATGCACCTTGTGCCGCCGCCGCCACCCGAAGATTTCTATACTTGCGCGACATGACGTCTAGACACATCGACGCTAGCACGCAATTTCCCAAACTTTCAAGACACCATCTTCGGTTTGTTTTCGGAGCAAATCTTTTTGTCCCAGTGCAGACAAATGCACGGCGAAGTTGTGCCGCTTCAAATGAGGACGAGGAGAAAGAGGGAGCACCTATCAAGCTTCAATGATTAAGCATCTTGGCGTGGAAAAGGAAAGCAGTAAATGACTCTCGAAAATAATGCTTCTTTTTGTGCTCCATTTCCTCCACTGAACACAGAACCGGTGACACGAGGAACGAATAGTACTACGGGCTCTGCTGGAACGGGCACCCAAGCGATACGCTGTTTCTATTTGACGAAGGGCGAAGTTCCGCCCACGCAAATCGGGCTACTGCACCCAGAAGTTACCAGATGCAGACGGCTAATGCGACCAGAGCTACCTATTATATTCAATTTAAACGATGTTGACTGGAGGATGCTGACACGAAAAATGCGCTGGCCCTACAGATGGTAAAAAAATTCAAAAGGAAAAGGCAGGCGGGGTAACTATAATTTATGGCGCAGGCCATCTTCATCAATAATTAGCAACAAAACCACTAAGTCGATTCATTTTTGGTTCTACCCAACCGAATCAATCTGTTCTTTTCATCAAGTCCACATAAAGACTGGAGCATGCTGCCGTTACCATTTTATGGTTTTCTTGAAGAAATCTCGCATTCTTTACACTTGAAACTGCCTTGCTCCTAAACCGTGCCTTTGAAACAGCAGCAGCCAAGCGCCATTGGAAGTCTTAGAAAAACTTCGGACGAGCATTGAATTCCTTGAGAAGCAACCACCTCATCTAAGTATGACCAGACGCACTAGTTACAAAACAGCCTGCCTGCAGCTTGTTCACAGTTGTCGAGACGTTTCTTGCTGCTCCACTGCTCAACTTGCCCTTCTTGCAACTGTCAAGTTCTGTTGTGCAAACTAAAATGCGACGCTAAACCAAAGCTCCCAAGGGGACCACGCAAATCAGAAACACGTCCAAGGGCTCGAGAAGAAAGTAGGTTCGGAAGCCTCGCAACGGTCGCACAAATCGGTTCCCTTTTGCCAGCCACCCGTTAAAAAAAGAAAGCCACAAGAGTCATTCCGACTAGTTTCATCAAAGTCATGTTAGGAGCTGTGGGCAACAGTAGTGGTAATGTTAGTTTGTTGGGTTGCGCACATGCGTGACTGTCCTCCCACGAAGGCAATGCAAAATAAGTTATATTTATACATGGCAAGAACAACACACCCACACATTAGCTGGAGGAAAACACACACAAAAAAAAAAGAGGGATATTTGGGTGGAGGTTCAGAGATCTAGTGCCCGCAAAAGCACTTCCCAAAAAAAATACGCACATGCAAACCCACACATAAAAAGCGGGCTGGGGGAGGAGGAGGGCGGTGGACAAGGCAGTTACTTGTTCTTTGGCACGTCATCGCGTCGTCGGTTCAGAAGCGTCGCTTAAGATGTCAAAGGGGAGAGTAAGCCAGGTGTTCGAAGCGGCCGATGCAACGAACACACACACGAAAAAAGCTGCTACTAGACCTAACATGCTACTGCTACAAGCTACACACACACAGTGTGTGCAGTCCGAGAGCCGGTTTAGTTGCCATAGCAGTCTTTCCTGCCGTCGAGGGCATTAAAAAATACCTGGTATATGCCTCGTAGATTTTGTGGAAATCCCTAGGTCTACCTACATAGTAGTATTTACACTGACAGGAAGCTAGACATTCACGTGCGCCCGTAGGCCTCCAAGTAAAGCAGTGTCAATGCAGCAAAGGAAATTTCTTTTTTCCCCCTGGAGCGGAGGTTTTAAAGTGTAGACACAGCACTAACACCGTTAATACCCAACGACTCATCGCTGCCTCTAATGGCACTGTAGTAGGTTTAAGTAATGGCAATCTACATAGAGGCTGCTGACAAGAAACTGGCAATTACACAAAAAAGAAAGAGCTTGCCAGACGGAAAAGAACGAAGACTGAAGGAAACAGGACGCATCAACGCCAAGTCCAAGTACTTACAAGTATTTACAGTACTGCATACCTGAACGTGTTTTGTGTGTCTACAAGTTTACAAAGAAAAAAGGGGACGTCCATTCCGGTACACTAGCAAGGTGCGTGCCTGCGATTACATCCCGGCACACGCCACGGACGATAAGTGTGATGCGTGTACGGTCTCGTGCGACTCGCCTGGATACATGGGAGCCGCAAGACGGGGATATCACGATTAAAACCAAACAAACAAAAATATGACAATGAAATACTGAGATCATACTAAAAGACAATGTGCCATGACAACGAAGATACGAGTCAGCACACGTACGTCTGCGACGATTTAGGAAGCTAACCCACAATGCAACATGTACGCGCATCTCCGAGGAACACAAGGTTAGTTTCCGTTCCTCCATTGACGTGCAGCGATGGTTAAACAAAATAAAACTGAGGTATTTGAAGCACAAAAAAAATATATATATGTATAGGTAGCATCGGCGAGACTGTCTTGCAAACAACAATGAAGACAAACAAGATGTCGCAACTGAAATCTTTTCTCTGGCGCCCCGTATATTAGATAAAGAAAAAAAAAAAATATGAAAAACAAAGACAAAAAAACAAACAAGCAACTATGAATGCATGTTTTACTCCAGCTTGCAGACCCTGGTAAGAAAGGTCGTCGAAACCCGTGTGGCAACGACAAACAAGACGCCGAAATGCCGCGGAAACGGGCCACACGGCGTCCTCACATAATACCAACTAACCAAACTTTTGCTCGAAGGTAGAGATGCAAGGGGCACGACGGACCAATTTCCGTCGAAAGCACCCGGTCTACTTTGACCGCCTTCTATTTCGCACATGTAACTAGCTACGAGGAGTAGAAAATAATGTACACCGAGACGAGTGAGCGTGAATGAGTGACTCGAGTGAGTGGATGACAGTGATGTCGTATGTACATGCTTTGGTCCGAAGAGATGTCGTCAATGTGTGAATCACGCACTTTTTCACAAATGAACTATGCTGGTACAGCAAACGACAGGAACGCAAAAGTGGGAAAGGTTAGCAGGCAAGTCCCTGGGACTGCTGCGGGAAAGAGAAGCAGAAGACGACGTGCACACTCAGATTGTCGCGAGGGAGAGCTCGTCTCTAAGCTAACGTAACTTTGAAGAGGGGCAGGATGCACGAGGGTCAAAGCGTTTGTGGCGTTCCCTAACGGGAGCAAGACGTGCTGGGGAAGTGTCAAACGTTGGGCACAGGGGAGAGGGAACTGAAATGACGGTTGGTTATCACAGTAAGACGTCACGACAGCTCTTCCCTCAGACCTTCTACAGCTCTCGTGGAAAACCACCCATCCATAGAAACGTGCATACATACGACGTTGCGCAAGCACGCAGTCGGCACGCACGCACAAAATGTGACGGGAATTTTTTGCCCCCAGAGCAAAATCCTAAGTGCCCTGTATGCATAGCCGGCACGAGCCAAACAACTCACAACCGCCGTTGCAAAAAGAAAGAAAAAAAAGCACCCGGGGACAACAGCAAATGTAGAAGCCAAGCCAAAGGTGGTTTACTTAGCTCACCCATTTTTTTTTCCAATGCGACGAAGGTGATAATTGTTAAAATAAAACAGAACTCCATTGTCTAAAGGAAGTTCAGTCCTGCCTAAAGAGAACCTCGACAGCTTCAGAAGCAACGAAGCTGGGCCAAACAGCTCCAAGAGAAGCAATTTGTCAATGTCCTTTCAAATCTAAAACGAAGGAGAGCTTCTAATAGTAGTAAGCTCGGTATGGCTTCCGTCATCAAACCGGTGCCCCTCAAAAAAAAAAGTATCCACTATGTTTTATACATTCTCTCCTCACTATTTCGCACGCAACTTGACACAAACTCCCAACTAAACTCCCACAAGCACTTCGAAAAAGATAAAAATTAGGGAAGCTTGCAAGCAAATAGATTAAAGAGTAGTAAACGGCGAACCCCAGAAGACTCAAAGCCGCACGGAGCAAACCAGTGCATACACGCGCGTGCACCAAATATTAAAAAAAGATGAAGAAAGTTCGAGGAACAATGTTGCCCGGCGAGAAGAGTGGCGTTGGGTTCTTCTGGCGCCGCCGCCGTCGTTGCTCGGCCAATGTCGTTGCCGGGGTGTCGCTGCAACGAGGGGGGGCATTGTTGCGGCGGTGGGTGGGGTGTGCGAAGTGGGGGCCTTCTGCTGCGGTGCCCCCCGCTGGCTCCCGTGCCCCTGCTGCCGCTAGCGGGGCAGCAGGAGGTTGTGGGGCGGGGGGTGCAGCTGCAGGGACCTCCGCTGTCACTCCCACTGGTGTGGGGAAGGCGGCAGCTCCGAGGGGTGGGCCACCGTCGAGCTGCAATGCAGGTCGGGGCGTCGGTTAATGAGCCTGTCTGTCAATTTCAAGATCTTTTACAATTTTTTTTAATTTTAAGATCCATGTTTCCTTGTGCTCAGGTTTTGTTCTAACCCGAGGGAGTCTTCGCATCAATGAGAGAACTAAAATGCTGATAGCAAGATGCTACTGCCATACAACTGAAGTTGGAACGTGCGAGTTACTGGCTATTCTGCTACCAAGAGTAACGTGTTTCTGGCTTCAAAAAGTAGCGTGCCTTATGTGACGACTGAACTCTCTTGTGCCACCCAAACAACTGATTTGGGTGGCACAAAGATTCATGCTCCAAGAAACATGTGAGGCATTTCTTGATATGTAGACAACTATGTTTTTTGTTAGGATGAATATATAACATTTAGATCACTGAGCTATGGCTCAGGTAAAGGCTCAAACATAAAGGAGAAAGGAAATCTGCACTGGCTGTAGCAATGGACTCTGTAATACTAAAGGTACCGTAGCTTTAAATTTTTCCCTTTTTGCAATGCCAGCTAATGGAGCCTTTGAAGAACATAAAGAATTGTGGCAGCTCTGAACTTGATTGGAATCTCGCAACATATTTTCAGATTACCGTAAAATACCGGGCGAGCGCTTATCCTATTTTCACTGAAAACTGGGTTAATCTAGACATGGCCGTTTGCCTCGTCAAATCGAGCAGTTAATAATGTATAATTTGCAGAATTCCAAAGTTTAAGAAATGTTAATAGTGGGTGTTGGAACGAAATTGGGTGCTCCTACGGTATTTTACGGTATTTGCAAAGTGAAACAACAGTGAGCTAAAGGTTTGTATCAGCTTGAACTTCAAGAATAGCTAAGTAAACTGACAACAGATTGTGCATCATTACCAAGGCGTCAAGCTGTTCATGAGCACAGAAAATAAACAAATGAATGAATGAATGAACACTAAATGCCAGAAAATGAAGGTACTATGCAGGAGGTTGGACTAATGTGCTTCCCAAGACTCGCATCCCAAATCTGCATTCTGGTCAAATCGTCCTAAGAAGCACCTAAAAGTTATTTTAACTTGCATAACATGCCCTGACACAGAGCGGCACAATTAACCCAAACAAAGGGTCAGCGCCAAAAAGCCCTCGTTTCAAACAGGTCACATTTAAAAGTGGAAATGTCGCGCAAGTTTGAATAATGATCTAGAGAGATGCAACGAAAGCGTGAGAAACCAGACACTAACTATGTTGCAGCCGCACGAGGCACTGTTGAGCAATGCTGCTGGCAAAGCTAGGCGGGGAGCTCACCTTGCGAAGCTCTTGAAAGCTGTCGAGAGTGGGTTGATGCACAGTGGGACCCGGCTCGAAATTGCGCACCTTTCTAGGATGAACTTGTGTAGTTTCTCTGCAACGGAGGATGCAACAGACACCGACGTGAGATTCTCGCTCTTCAGCAAATGAAACGTGACTTTCCCACTTCTAAACCAAAGGACAAAGGCTGATTCGCACATTTGAATTTTAGAGTGACTAAGTGCATTGTGACAGCTTACGACAAAAGGACACACTGGCGCTATTCATCATGTAGCCCTGATATGCGTATACATTTCCCAACTTTTAACGCAGAATGTGTTCCAAGGGTCGTTTCCCATGAGAAACTCGTCACGACCGAGCGTGATGAAAGAGTAACACGCTGGGAGCGTTACGCATGTTAGGGCTATATATAAAAACTATACATAAAGCATGAGCCCCGTCAAGGTTCCAACCTGGCTCGATGCAGTGGCAGTTGGATACCGTAGCCACCGAGCTACTAGCGCAGCTGGTCTGGCAAGGTAAATTCTTTTATTCGAACGCAAGTGTGCCAGCGGGAGAGCCAGGGTTTGGACGAGCGTAATAAAATAAAGTAAAGAATAATATAAATAAACGTGAAAAGTAAAACAAAATGAATAAATATATATATATATACAAATAAGTTATGATAATGATCCCAGGAGAAGGGGACACAAATTTCCAAACACAGCAAGGTGACTCGCGTGCGACCGAAAAAATCCGCCTGGTCCTGTTATTGAACCAGGGACCTCTCCATTTCTAGTGGAGCACTCTACCAACTAAGCTAACCAAGAGTTGGGCGTCAGTTGAGCACAAATGGGTTTTATCAGCTGCCACCAACAGGGGTGAATGGCCTGCATTATAAGGATAAGACGATAATGCAATTCATGCAAAGGTGCAAGCGAGTTGGACAAGAGTGACGATAATGGTCCCTGGAGAAGGGGAACAAGGGGGACAAAGGACAAACACAAATCTCCAAACACAGCTAGGTGACTGGTGAACGACCGAAAAAAATCTGCCTGTTTTTTTTTTTTTTTTGGGGTCGCACACTAGTCACCTAGCTGCGTTTGGAGTTATGTGGTTGTCCTGTGTCCCCCTCGTTCCCCATCTCCAGGGACCATTATCGCCACTCTTGTCCAGCTCGCTTGCACCTTTGCATTTAATTCCATTTAAAATATGGTGTGTTCCAGCCCTACCTAATGAATAGTATTGGCGTGTGCTCTCATCGTAAGCCGTCGTGAGCGGGCACGACGCATTTCGTCATGCTCAAACACAAGCGCATAAACCAGCCTCAAAGGTCGGCCTGAAGGCCTCGGCCGAGAGGCCAATCACGCATCTCCGCACGACCTTCCGACAACGCGACCCGAGAGACCCACCTTTGACTTGGTGAACAGAGACGAGGTCCGACTCGAAGGAGTCGTCGAAGGGGTGCGCCGCAACGGGCTCGAAGTCGGCCACATAGTGGCGCCCAGCTGGGGTGCTCTGGCAGCAGCGGCACATGCACGAGTGGTAGCGCAGCCGCCCTTCCTCCAGGTACGGGTGCGATAGGGCATCCGCGCACGTGATGCGCTTGTCCTGCGAAGGCAGGCACCACCCGTGTCAGGGCATCGCCACGACACTCGGCGAGCGCGGCGGTCGGTGAACTCAGAGCCACAGTCCCGCCACCCATATATCGCACGAGAGACCGTCCGCAGACACTGTCTGAGACACGTTTCTTGGTCCCGTCGTATCTGGAGTACGAGACCCATCTGCAGACGCGTTCGAAGCGTACGCATGTGCGAAGCAAACGAGGTTTCAAAGGTGCTCGAGGTGCGTTCGGATATAATTCTGCCATAGGGTCTGCGGCGAACATAGCGTCTTTTGCACGACATGTCGGCAGCGGGACTGCGACATCGGGCAATACCACGGTTGCCGCGACGCAAGGCAGCCACGCTCCAAGTCAAAAGGGGGAACGTAACCTTTGGCAAATAGGTATTATCGCTCGTCATTTGCCCGAGGACAATGTGCCGGTATATAACTCGCGCCTCTTCGCGGAACAATGAAACCGCTGCTTCGGCACAAGAGGAGGTCGATTGGAGTGGTACCCGACCGACGAGGTGGATGCGAGCGCCTAGGCCGGTGTATTATTTGTATATAGTTGATAATGGCGGCAATGAAAAAGAAGCCGATGCTGCCCGTGAAATAAACAGTGCCGAGGACCCACGCTCGACGTGCTCGGAATGCAGGGACCATGACCCGCAGCCGACGGGTGCCATTCCTTCTTTGAGCTTTAGCCGCCGCTCAATCAGATGTACTACATTTTGGCGACGAGGATGGGATCGTATTCCACTTCAAGTGTAAAGAAGCACGGGATCGGCTTCTTTTTCATTGCCGCCATTATCGACTATATACAAATACTACAGCAGGCTCCGTGGGAATGGGTCGAGACGCCTTCGATGGCACAGTTGTGAACTCGATAGCAGGGGTTTCCCCAGGATTCTAATCAAGGGGGGGTGTCCCAATGGCTCGGGGGGGGGGGGGGGTTCGAGGCGAGGCTAGATAAAATATAAAACTGTTTCTTTTTTAGTCCACTAGCTAAATTACAGACGTCTATTAACCAAATGCTCATACCCGTAATGTATGTTTCCCTTTCTCTATATATACACCTGAGAGGTGGTGTTTTCTACTTAATCTAAAAAAAATATATATATTTTTTTTTTTTAGATTTAGGGCGGGGTGTCCAGGAAAACTAGGGGGGTCTAGGGAAATCCCTGCTCGATAGTAAGTGCTTCCATGGGATTCGCGTAATTCCAGCTTTAACTTAAAGCATCGGACCATCAATTGTGCAACATAGTTTTAAAAAATGCTTTTTGCAGTCGAAAGGTGCGCATTTTGGTAAAATAACAAAACAAATTTTAAACACACACGCAAATTCCCTAGTCCACCACGCAAAGTGGGAAATCGGTAACGCTTCGTGAGAAGTCAAACTTCGTTTACTATGTTTCCGGAGGCAAAAAAAATTAGCATGGTGCCTGGAACGCGCCTCAAAACTGGCGTGTTCGGTATCCTATACCACCCGTGCGTTGAAACCGATCCTGCGTGTCATGTGGTCAGACTTCGCGCTCCTGGCAGTCGGTCGTAGAAGTTCCGGCAAAAAGTATGAGCGAATACGAGCGCTGCTGCGGAGCTGGAGGGCGGCCTAGAGTAAAACAGGTGTCTGCCGCATTCGCCCCCGCTCCTACGCCGCCGATAGCAGCAAGCAACTTCGCGACACTTTTGCAACATCGTCGGGCAAAAATCGCTGGACCAGATTTGAGGATGCCTTTAGGGATGTCGCGAACCTGTCAAACCTGCCGGGGTTCGACTAAGACCAGGTTCGACTTTCTCCAACTTCTAACACGCAAAGTATGACAAGAGTTTGACTAAGACTTTCGTGTGCATGTACAAAAATTAAAAAGAGTCGGTGCCACCTGGCGGAGGAAACGTGGAACATTTGTTTGTTATACTCTTTGATTGTTCCGCATTAACGAAGAAACTAAAGCTTTAAGAAGGCTCTTTTTTTCCTTTTTATGTTATGTAAACACTGGTAAGCCTTTTATAAAATAAAGAAAGTGAAGCACTTCATAAATTATTTCGGTCCCAAAATTTTGAATGTTCACGAAGAAGTCGAGCAACACTCCCTCCGCGAGCCCAAGTCGGTCGAACTTGGCTAAAAGTTTGCACTGAACCTCAGGTTCGATGGACGTTTGCAACGTCCCTAGATGCAGTAAACACACCGGTCAGAGATGTGTTTCAGGCACCATAGCCGCTAGTAACTAAAGCTCCTCAATGAAATTCACACGTTTCTTCCAAGTACCGACGACCATTGTTGCGCCGTGACGCGAAACACGTGCCTGGAGCAAGTGCCGCGTCACTTTTCGCTTCCAGGGGCCACTCATTTCGGTGCTACGCCATTTGCTTCCGAGGGCTGCACAAGACACAGGCCTTGGCACATTTGACGCCACTTTAACTTTAGTGACTGCCGAACCGCGACCCCGTGCGAGCGATCCGTCACGAGCGCACGAGGGCCGGGCAGTGCCTCCCTCACCGGGTTAAAGACGAGCATCTGGCAGAGCAGGTGGACGGCCTCGTGGGTGGCCTGCGGAGAGAGGGTGTAGAGGGCGGCCAGGGAGGGCAGCTTCGAGGGGCGCCGCAGCAGGTGGGCACGGGCGCCCTCGCAGCCGTGGCGCATGTCCTCCAGGCTGGGCGTGCCCAGCAGCTCCGTGATCAGCTCCAGCTGCATTCGGATGGGGGTGCGCGCCGTAAGGTTAGTGCAATAATCTAGAGAAAAACGTCCCGTGCATTCCAGCTGCTTCGAAACGGCAGGGCATAAACGCGGACATCGGCGCTCCCAGCGGGTGGTCCAGATGGTCCCACATCGCTGGCGAAACCTTAATTCACTTATAATGATACCACATATATCGATGTACCGCTTACAACCGCCAGTTTCTAGAGGACCGTGCGATTTTTGCGTGGGGTATCCAGTCCAAATACAACGATGGTTGGTTATACCAATCGCATTTTCGGGTTCTCTCATTACCGTTATGAGGAGATTTCACTGTAGACACGAAGAAGCAGCAAAACATCACCTGTAAGATCTATATCTAGCTCTTTTCTAGCCGACTTTGCAAGAAGACAGGCATTGTGTGTTATGTAAAAATAAACAAAGCTGACTAGCACTCCAACAACTTCGAGTCGCCGCGGCAAAACAAATGTGCCAACCTTTCGTCTGCTTTCCTTCTCTGCTTTTTTATCGTTCTCTTTCTCGTTCTTTCTCTCGGGCCCACCAATGTCAGTGCTCAGGATTTGCCACACTCTGCTCCCATCTTTACATCCCTGGCACACTCCCGCGTTTCCCACACGGAGTATATGTAGCCTATTCTCCGATCCACAAATTGCACCGTCGCATAATTCGCACTCCCTCATAAATGGCCGTTTTCCCAAAAAGGTTGGTATACAAGTCTCGATATATTTCTATCGAAGATATCAATAAAGTAAAGAAATGCCCTGGAAATGCGTTGCTATGCGAAACATTTTTGATCTAGCGCTAGTTAACGTCTAGGCGTTTCTTCTCGAGCTGTGCCTCTAGGCAGGCACGTAGCCAGGGGGGGGGGGGGGGGCCGGGCGCCCCCCCAAAATTTTCCATTTTGCTGGGACTTCCCCGCCCCACTCCCCCTCATACAACATTTTGTCATGGGCGGGCCCCCCCCAAAACAAAATCCTGGCTACGTGCCTGCCTCCAGGTGTCTCCACTCCTTTTGACCCCACTGACTCCACCCACTTCTCTCCACCCCATTGACTTTCCCCGTCGGGTCGGCCTGTGTCCACAGAGTATGCGGAATGACGGCTGTAGCCAGTCACGTGTCAGTTTTCCCGCTAAATTTAGTGGGTAACCTGAATTTATGTCTAGGTAATGTGACATCAATTTTCCCACTAAATCTAGCCGGTACACTGAATATGTGTATAGGTCATGTGATATGAAGTCGTGTGACATCATTTTCCCCAGTAAATTTAGCGGGGAAACTAAATTGGTGTTGAGGTCACGTGACGTCAATTTTCCCGCTAGATCTGGAGGGGAAGTGTATTTGTGTAGAGATTATGTGACGCGAAGTCATGTGACATCATATTTCCCGCTAGATTTAGTGGGGAAACTAAAGTCACGAGACATCACAGGCCACGGCATCACGAAATGTGGCTTCAGAAAATCTGGAACAACTGGCCAAGAATATTTCACAATAAACAGGCAATTCCACAGGCACATTCCTCATTAAATTTTCCCGAGGAAAAACGAATGAGCCTTTCCTTTAGTCACATATAGGGTGTCCAAAATAACCAGGCTCGATCTAAAGGGCGCCGTAAAAATTGGAGCTTGCACGTAGCAATTCATAACTTTCGTCAAAGGTGCATTTCTCAGGTCCATTTTATCATGCAAAATTGCAGGCTGTAGCTCCCTTTCTGTAAAAAAAATAGGGCCAAAAAACTTGCAACGTAGACGACCAAGTCGAGTGGCAGGGCACGTTTGGCGTATGTATTGATAGATGGCGCTACCTCCTTGTTCCAGCTTGCTTTTAAAGAAATATTGAAAGTGCCCGCGTTGACCGTGGTCTATTAATATGAACATAATCTTTTTGTAATGTACCTTTGGTTTAAAAATAAATGCAGACAATGATAGCAAAACTTGAAGTAACAAAAATAAAAGAAAATGCAGTTGCATAACGACGTTGCTGTCAACAAATTTCATCTGCGTGTCGTCTGCTCTCTTCCACCAATCGGTTATACATTCCAACGCTGCTCTTGAGACCTTTTTTGCCTCGGTTGGTGGGAAAACTGCCACAATGCATCACCTGACAGTCCAAGAGAGAGCACAGGTAGTCCTTTGGTTTACAGAAACCAGCAGCATTAGGCCAAGTGCGTTCAAAGTTTCAAGCCACTTTTCAAAGGTGTCCACCCATCTGTCAGACTGTTATGCGCTGGATAAACCGATTCAACACAGAGAACACTGTGGAGGCCAGGCCGCAAGCACACGAAAAGAAGTCGCCACAGCAGAACAGACGTCACGCCGTGCTTGCGGCATTTGCATTCAACCCATGTCTGTCGTGCGACAAGTCACAAGGCAGCTTTGTGTCAGTAGAGATTTCGTCTGGAAAGTGATCCGTCAACAGATCTATCCGTTTAAGCCACAGGTCCTGTTCGAGCTGCGTCCCGATGACTTTGAACGGTGAAAGCAGTTCACCGTGGACGAACATGGGCGCATCTCTACAAACAGGAACCGCCTTCAGTTTTTGCTGTTCAAGGATGAAGCTATTTTCCATCTGGACGGGCACGTCAACAAGCAGAACACCCGCTGCTGGTCTGAGACAACCCCTCGCTGGATCATTAAAGAGGTTGTCCAGTCACCAAAGGTCGTAGTATTGGAGAAAAGGCGTTAACGGTTTATTCTTTTTTGCGGGCTCGATCACCGGCGATGTTCACCTTTGCATGCTTTAACAGGACGTCTTGCTGGAGCTGGAAGTTTTGCACATGCGAAGGAAGGGAGGTGTGCATCTTCCAGTAAGATGGAGCACCCCCGCACTATGCCACAGCAGTGAGGGACTCACTTTTGGGGGGCATCAGTGGCTGAGTGGGTTAGCGCACACCAGCTCGGAGCACATGGAGTGAAAGCTCGCGCTGCAGAACCCAGGGATCCTGGGTTCAATCCCCGCCCCTGCCCATTTGGATCTGGGTGAGCATTGTACCGGCATGCGATCATGTATCACTACTGCGTGATGCATGTTAAAGACCCCAGGCTAGCGGTTGTACTGCACTGGCTAAATTTCTCATCTACAGCTGGGAGACAAGTTGCCTGTTGAGGCAGACTAAGTTCTAGGCTGTATAAACATACACACAGCCCAATCTTTTTTTTTTTTTTTTTTGAGGGACTGGCTGGACAGAATTTTTCACGGCAACTGGATGGTTTTGAGGGTCACCGACAATAACCTGGCCCCCACGATCCACTGACCTGACAATTTGTGATTTACACAATTCGTGTGTGCACGATGACGGAACTAAAAGAGTGGATTACATCTGCCTTCGATGTGATCACGGATAACATGCCGAAGGCAGCCTTCAGGGATTATGAGCGAAGGCTCCGCAAGTGCCTCCAAGTTCGACAAGGACATGTTGACTGAAGAGCATAGCTAACCATTTTGTACATATGACCAACGCCTTTAACAACCACAAGAACCGCGGGCTTTTATTGACAGGCTCTTTTCAGAGCCATTAATTGCTGTTTATCTGGAGTATGCTTTTGTAGCCTCCCGTGACTCAAAAGTGTGATCCAAGTAACGTCCAAAGTGACACTTTAATTGTGGCAGTTTTCCCACCAACAATGCAGAAAGGTCTTGGGAGCAGCGTCGGAAGAAGTAACCGACCAACAAAAGAAATCAGACGAAACACAGAGGAAATCTGTCGACAGCAAGAACACCGTTGTTATGCAACCAAGTTTTCTTTTTGTTACTTCAAGGTTTGGTGTTATTGTCTGCATTTATTTTTACACCGAAGGTACATTACAAAAAGATTATGTTGATATGAATAAACCACGGTCGACGCGGGCACTTTCAATATTTCTTTAAAAGCAAGCTGGAACGAGGAGGTGGCGCCATCTATCAATACGTGCACCAAACGTGCCCTGCCACTTGACTGGGTTGTTTGCGCCGGCGCTCGCCACTGACCCTGGCAAGTTTTTTGGCCCTATTTTTTACAGAAAGGGAGCTACGCTTTGTAATTTTGCATGATAAAACCGACCTGCGAAATATACACCTTTGACGAAAAGTTTAGATTACTACATGCAGCTTCCGATTTTTACGGCAAATTTTAGATCGAGCCTGGTTATTTCAGACACCCTATACTTGAAAACGATAGATGTGACTAAAATGAAATTTATACGCGCAAAATGGAACAGAGAGAAACGAGTTTCAGGTGTCTAGATTGCAATCTTTTATACAGCACCGGGCACCACGATAAAACCCCCACCTCTGTTCGGGAGGAAGGAAGGTGTTGGGGGACCCACCTGCTGGATGGGGGTCTGTGCCTGGAAGAGGATGCGCCTGCCCAGCAGCTCTGCAAAGATGCAGCCCACGGACCAGATGTCCACGGCCGGCCCGTAGTGGCGTGCCCCCATGAGCAATTCGGGGGCCCGGTAGTACTGCGTCACCACCTCCTGCGTCATGTGCCGCTGCTCGTCCCGCTCCTCCAGGCGTGCCAGGCCGAAGTCGCAGATCTGGACGAGGAGACCCAACGTCAACAACCATAGCGGGGACCCCCGGCTACTTTTAAAGGCGGAATTGCATGCATGTTCCGATTTTGCTGGAACCCTTTGTTCACAGGTCCTGAAACTGGGTTAACCCAGGGGTTCCCCAGTGTACCCTCAGGAATTCCCCCAGCTCTCAAATTTCCTTGGCCGTACCTGCACCTGAGCTAAAGCTTTCTTCCAGTTCGAGCGCTATCTTAGAAGAGCCGAGCCATTCACCGACCGATCTGAAACAATGAGCCAAACACTCCATAGCGCACGCATAATTCTTTTCTGCTCCGCATTATCGCTTCAGTGCCGAGATCAAAAGGGGTTCCCCGGCTATCGTTCAAGGAAGATGGGCATTCCTTGAGATGGAAACATTCAAAAACCCCCACTCCAGTTTATTGTTTGGCATTTGTTCCAAAGCGAGCGGTGGAAATATGTCCAAACGTAAAATTAACTTCGTTGGAGACATATTGAGAGGATGTGGTGCAACTGTCATCATCGCCTAACATCCCAGAGGAGCTCGCACTATCGCGTTTGCACCTGGACAATAGTGGTCTAGTGTCAATGAACGTTCCCAGAGCACTGAAACTCCCAGGCTCAATAATGCCACATTAACAAACTTTTTTTTGTTTTTATTATGGTCATTATAAGCGTATAAAAAGCATATTTTCGCATAAAAACAAACCGAGAAAGCTTTTTGTGGGTATTTTTATTAAAGATTAGTACAAAACGACAGCAGCATGATGTTTTCATAAAATTTTAGTTTACAAGGTTTTGCGGCACAATTAATATTGTTTTTATACAACCACGTCTCACCGTTGATTTCAGGTAGCGCATACCGACTTGGGCGCGTCCTAGCTTCGGTGGTCATTCGCGGCGCGTCTGCTTGGGAGATGGGGGTTGGCACCCCTGAAACCCCTTCCACCTTACATGTTTTGGTGCCAAAATGGCCGATCGAAGCTAAAATAGAACAGTCACAGCAAATGCTATTGAATGAGATACTCTGGAAACGTTCAATGACTCTAGGCTGATCTATCTTGCAGTGTAATTTTAAGAAAAGTGCTTTCTGCGATATCGCATCGCAAATTCTCCTGCCAACCTGCCGAAGTGGAGTACGGCCCGCCAGGCGTTTTTAGTGCATCTCTTTCGTGGCACAAAAAATAGGGCTGGTATATTCATATTTCGTCGCGGGTGTACGACGTCGGCGAAAAACAAAAACCCCGTACTTCCATCTTGAAAATTAGAGAGAGAAAAAAACGCCAATAGCAGCTAATGTGTAAAGCTGAAATGACACAGTACAAAGACACTCCAGCAAAGGAGGCCACCTCACCTTTAAGATGCAATTGCTGTTCACCAACAGATTCCCCGGTTTGATGTCTCGGTGGAGTATCCTCGAGGAGTGCAGATACTTCAAGCCTGCGAGATATCAAACGGGCCAATATACTGAGATGGAAGGGGGAAAAAAAAAGGGTTTTCTACTGAAAACAAAAACAAGAATGAGCAGAGGTCCTCAAAGAGTAACACTTCAAAACTTTTTTTTTCTTTGATCACTGTCTAAAGGCTGGTCCACCTGCGTTACATTATAATCGATTGCGCCATGACCTCTTGCAACCCCTTAGGACAAGATAACACACTGGCTTTATCTATCGGGTAGCGAAACCAAATTTGACCATATTTGACATTAGTGTTTAAACAGCGTAAGGTTGGTCTGCCTTTGAGCTGCGGTGACAGTGGTTTACACTGTAGATGAGAAATTAAGCCAGTGCAGTATGACTGCCAAACTGGGGGTCTTTAACTTTCATCGCGCAGTAGCAATACACGACCGCACGCCAGCACGACGCTCATCCAGATTGAAACGGGCAAGGGTGGGGATTGAACCTGGGATACCTGGGTTCTGCGGCGCTAGCTTTCGCTCCACATGTACCGATCGGCTGGTGTGTGCTAGGCCGGTCAGCCACTTCCGGTATGCGTATACACCAACGCACGTTAACAAACAAACCAGAGCACCCCTAGTGGACACCACCAGCACCGCACATGCGCGATGGAATGTAGGCAAGAAGCTTGCCGTCACCCATAAACAAACCATTGGAATCTGATGTTAATGTTGTCAGCGTCGGTGTGAGTCCTCATACTCTTTTTCACGTTGGAAATGTTGATTCTACATTTTCCTGGCAATGTCTGACTACTTTAGCGACCTCAGCGAAATTAACGAGGCTCGTTACAGTCACACCGCAAAAGTTTGCATGAATAATATGACATGCAGCGATTCATTCCGCGTGGACGCCGCAGAATGGACGCTAAAGCATGATTCTCATTATGACATTCTGCTCGCTATTTTCAGTCATGACGTCGCTCGAGTTGCAAAAGCGTGAACCGTAGCTGAGATGGTCGAAGTCGATACTGAAAATCGCAAGCACAATCGGACCAAGTGAATCAGGCAGAACAAGTCGGTGATGGCCACCGGTAGCAATTATCAACATATCCTTGTATCTACTGTTTACGCTGAGCCTACTTACCCCAACGAACCTTCAAACTTAAAAGTCTTTTGAGGCCTGCACTTACTTCTTATCGCAATTACCAGGTCAGCATTTGGTCTAAAGGCTGCTGTCATTGGAACAAGCAGACAAAAACAAGCAGAAACGTTTGAAAGAGCAGATGACAGCTTGAACGATCAGGCGACCGTTTGAACTTAAAGCGCACTGAACGTAGTCCACAGGTGGTCCGTGCAACTTGGCGGTTTTCCCGCGTTCATGTTGGAACAAAGCAAATCTGACGACCCCAAGTATCCATGAATTCAGTCCAAAGTACATCCTGCGCAAGCAATCGTAATGTGACGGTGTCTGGTTTTCCTTTTTCAAGGCCTCTATCACGTTCTCAGACAAACCAAGCAGGCAGAAAACATGTGAAAATTGACCTTCGAACCTTTCCTGACTTCTTTAGTACAGCCCCAGCCCCGGCGTTTTGACGAGAAGGCAGGTTTTTTTTTCGTTTCTTCCAAAACAATGCATAAATGCATGTCCCATATGGTGACTTCCGCTCACAGCGCAGACCAAAACTGCGCCCGACGCGCCAACATCCTGCCGGGACGTAACAGAGCTGAGTTTGTGTACATTTTCTCATTTTCTTCCGCATCATTCATTTATTGTGGGCTTGAAATACTTCTGACAATGTTATAAACAATCATTTCTCGTCGATAGCGCATAGATTAGATCTGGCATGTACAGTAAAACTTTTAGCCTAGTTTAAAAGGTTTCTTTCTGACTCGCGCCACCTTATTTAATCTTTGCGCATCAGTGGAATGCAAGGAGTCACAGTGCCATTGGTTGCGGTCAAACGTAGGTGTGTGAACCAGCCTTGAAACTTTGCTTTTTATTTCCCAATTATCCATAAGAACAAAAAGGCCAGATTCATAACCATACCTGTACCAGAAAAAAATCGGATAAGAGTTACGAGATCGTTTGTGTCAAAATTGCAGAAAAGCTTTCTATGTGTTTGTTTGCCCCCTGCAATAATGCCCGTATAAAATGAATAAAAAAATTTAGAAATGAGCTGCCTTTTATTTTTCTGATGGGCGGTTTCTCACAGGAAAGTTCCCGCCTTAGCGCAAAACTGATTGCACTTCGGGAGGTGTTGCTGTCTGTTATGTCTCTGGGGAACCATATCTGTTTTATTCGCAACGTTTTGCCTTGCTGGATCTATTTATAGTTTCCAAGTTTGACACTCTGCTCAAATGATACGCTGGAGGTGGCTGCTTCTTTTGCATGTAGGTCAGGTCGTTCCTGTGGTAGGGGTGATCAGTGCTAACTCTTTCGATTCCGACTTCCAAAGCTTCTTGAAATTGAAGGTTGAGAGCTCATTATCCAATGCAGAAGTTCTGTAAACTACCTTTGATTCAGAGTCTAAGATCGCCAGAATGTTGATTGGAAGCGGACACGCAAAAACGAAAACGAATGGAAGAAAGGCGACAAATTTTCGCTATAAATGGCTCCCTTCGAAACTTTCTCACTGCAAGCACTGTATGTGCTCCAGTTAAAAAAAATGCTATGCAGTGATTTATTCTTAGTGCCATCCTTTTTGAAAAAAAAAAAAAAAGACCACATTGGAGTATCTTTTTCAAAGAAAAGAACTTGACTGGGTTAATATCATTTGCTGTTTTTTGTGTCGCTACCATGCCTTCGATAGTGAATAAACGTTTTGTCTAGTTTTTATGTTTCCCAAAATTACTTTTCTCGAACCGGCCGCACAGCTTAAAGAAAAGGAGTGACATCCAGGAGAAATGCCCACAACAGCCAATGAAGGCAACCATATGTTGTGAGTCTAATATGTCATGCTCCTAACTTTGAAAAAAAAAAAAAAAATTAATTATCACTTTTATGGGAATTACTAATGATATGGCTATACGATTTTCAAGCATTTAAGGCAAGTGTCCAATTTATAATGTTTCATTTTCTTGACTGTACTACATTATGTTACTGTGTACTTGCACTGTTAAACTCATGTTTTGTTTTTGCTGTACCAGTACTCCGGTGTTGCCCTGGCCTCTGTAAAGGCGGCAGTCAAGTCCTTAAAGGGGCGGTGCAATGATTTTCATAATTTGGCCAATTAACTGTGGAAATTAATCTGCGCCCCTATGGAACGAAGAACAAAAACCGTATTCTCTTGCGAGCACTAGTTTTTGTTTTTAAGAATAAAACAAATCAAAGGTCAAAGTGACTTTGTCGACTTTTAAAGGATTATCATCGTCAAAGGTTGCGGCGAGCGGTTCACACAAAAGACGGTTCGCCACGGGGCTGACGGCGGGTGTAGCACCAGAGGCGGACAGGCTTTTGCTGACTTTTGCATATCCCCCAGAGACGCTGTCACCGCAGTTCCCGTAACCGCCAAACGGCAGCAATCGGCAAAAATTTTTTTCTCTTCTTCGCAGTTAAGCAGCAGAATAGCAGTTTTTTGGGGCAACGTAACGTGTTTTTGATTACTTGTGCTTGGATAAACAATAAAAAAAAAATACAAACTGCCAATTTTTGCAACATTAAAATCATTTCACTACCCCTTTAAATAAATAAAAATAAATAAATAATACTTGCGAAACATTCAGACACTAAAGAACAGGTCATGCACACTGTGCCTTGTATGCAAGTCTGCCATGCTCACGCGGGGGCAGACAGGGGGAACAGTTATTTTTCAGTCTTGTATTTATAATCCGCACATCAAACTCTGTGTCTTGTATACGAGCTCAAAACAAACAAAAGCTAAAATAAACAACTGTAGCAAGAGTAAGGCACTCACCTCTCAATATTTGATAGAGAAAAACCTTCAAGTGGTCCGAAGTGAGGGGCTGTGGCGACACTATGATCTTGTGCAGATCACTTTGCATTAGTTCCGTTGTGACATATCTGCAGATGCAGCCGGTTAAGGAATGGAAGCAGAGTTGCACAACGTTAACACCGTTGACAAGTTCATGCTCCCGGTTGTGGCAGAAAATAAACTGACTTGATTGATTGATCTTCTACTGATCGTTCCAGTTGGCCCAATGGCACCCCTTGCTTTTGTCCTAGCACAAGCAAGAGCTAAACAGTTGCATGTTCTACTCCTAGAGTACTGACCATCATAGGTGGCAATTTTTGAACAGCTAGGTCTTCACTTTTATGGCAAGACGATTCAAAGCTAGCCATTGGTTCCGCAGTCTACTTGTACGTCACGGCATACTGGGGTACAGAAGGTTGCCAAAGCAATGAGCCACATACAGAGAGTAACAGCCTAAACCAGGGATCGGAAACATTTCGCAGCGGTGGGCCAAGTGGACACAAAGCCAACACGGAGGGGGCCGAACAGACGGCAAAAGGTAAGTGAAGACATTTACTGCCCGAGTTTGGGGATGCCATACAATGCCAATTGGAAGTGCTTCCTGTCCGTGTCTAACCCCATTTGAGGTCAAAACTGCTGTGTCGTTCTTAAGTCTGTGGAGAAGCGGCAGGGTGGGGAGCGGGGGTGCTTTCATGGTATTGTTCTGGGGACTGCATGAAACTGCCTCGCGAGTTGCTGACCCCTGGCTTAAACTAAAAAAGAAATAATGCTATATTTGTTTTTCTTCTTTTCTTGTGAACGGCAAAAAAAAATGTAATGCCAATTAACCTTAGCAGTCATTTATATAAATTTATTAAGCATCTCAGTACATTACTTTATCCACTAAGCATTATCTACCTTTGTACTTCCTACTATGCAAAATGATGACATAGCTTAAATATGAATAAATGAAACACTTTAGTCTTCCAGTACCCAAAGCCAAATAGTATACACCGACACCCTGTTTACAAACAAGCCCGCGTTTGCTCACACCAGCTGTGGGCACTGCTTAAGCGCAGAAACCAAATTCGGAAGGAGTGAAGCGTGTGTGCACGCACCGTGCCGTCGACAGCGCCACCGCCGCTGCGTGACTTCAGGGCCGCGTGTTGGTCTATAGCAATGCTAGAGATGGTGAAACTAATTTCAAAACAGTGCTCAGCATTATCAAACTTTTTTTTTTTTTAGAAACAAAGTAAGGACAGAGGTTAGCTGACAGCTTGAGAAAGTCATTACACCCGACCACAAACTCCATGTATAACTTATACTATGAAACGCAGATTTTACAACAGAGGATCAGCGGTGAAACAGGCAAAAAGGATACATTTCTTGGAAGAAGTCTAGGTGTGGAGGCTGTAGGATATCCAGTGCTGACAAAACCTGCATTAGAAATGAAAAAGAAATAAAAATAAAAATTCATTGTTCGCATTTGAACTCAAATTCTGCAGCTGGAAGCTGCCCTAGCATCATATGATTGAGCCTGAAATTGATTCTAACCCACTGGATTGCATGCACATCACTTATTTAAGTGTGCATACTAGACTGCCACTTGAGTTTTATGACACCTGCCAAGCCCTCCCATGGTTCTTGACCTGGATGCATCTGGGCATACCTAGTTTACTCAATGGGCAGAATAGCTCTGCCAAATCTATCAGAAAAAGAACACTGCTTTAGCTAACAGAGATGTTCAATAAACAGTTGCCATTCTTTGAAGTGGCCCACCAACAATTTTTTGACCGGTTTGAAGTTCGTGCTGAAACGGAGCTCCATGAAAGCAGGAACACCGAGGAAAAAAAAATATTACAGAAATTCGCAATATTTTGCGAGTTATTAGCAAATTAAATATTGCAGAAAACAACTTTAAATAAGCAAAACATTGCGCTTCATGACGTAAAATCAAACAGTTTAGCGATTGGAGCAAAGCGGTTGGCCAATTGGACGCGAGTTTGGTTGATAGCCCATTGGCCCGGTCGGCTCGTTGGTCATCAGGCCTAGCTGCAACCATCGTAGCTTTGGGATCGGGTTGCCATCATCAATGAATTTACCGGGCTTATCGGATTTTGAGTGCGGATCTGGGCGTCGCGCCGTACGACGGCACTCCACGCAAGCGACGCGTCTCTGCCTCAGTCCGCTTCGACAGCCGCGGAAGACTCGTCTCCCGCAACTCCGCCACCGGAGCCACCTCGGCGAGCAGGAGGTACAAACTGGTGAGTGTTCCCGTTGGGCACGATATAAGCTGGGTCCCGTTGCCGCACTTCACTCGAACAGTGAAAAGTCTGTCACAGCACTAAAGGAAAATAAGGATTCCCCTGGCTCCTCTTACTGCTTTTAGTTGACCGGGACCGGGGGGCGCACAAGTGAAAATATGATGCACGTTGTCTGCACGGATCACTTGTCGTCTGCTCGCGATGGTACGTCGCGGGCGCCGCTGGGAGGCGCGCATGAGCAACAAGGCGTTGTTTTCACACTTTTTGAACTTTACTTTGCAACCTTATTAGCTCTATAAAAATGACTTGTTAGAGAAATAATAACGGTTAACGTGTAATATACTTTATTTCGCGTCAAAATTCCTGGGACGGCTCTTGCCAATCACAAAACCCAGAGAGTGTGACGTATAGTGAAAGAGAGCGCCGTTATGCGCGCGCATTCAGCACTTCGCGGCGCCACCGTCGGAGGAGGTGTTTCCGAGTTGTCAAATTAAAATATGATGCGCTAATATTTTCAAACTCTTTCGTTGTCCACTGGGTTTCCGGGACCACTAGCGTGTAGAAACCGCAAAAAAAAAAAAGTTAACGCTCAAATACTGTTGGAGGGCCCCTTTAATGAAACAATGCACCAGATACAAGAGAAATCAATAGTGACTCGGTACACTTCTCAAAGTGTAAGCGACAAAAAGGACCACCGCTACAGAACCGAAGCAGAGAAGAAACAGTGCGGAAACTCACATTTTCGTGCTTGAAGAAACACAGCATCTTGATCTCACGATAGACCCTTTTGCTGGAAACCAGGTTCTGGAACACGTTGGGCATCTTTTTGAGAGCCACCCGTTTGCCATCTCGGGGGTCTGTGACCGACCTGAAACACACAAAAACAAGCGGGGTTTCAGCACATGGCACAGCGTAGTGGCAGCAAGCAGGGTACACCAAACATGCAATGACGGCTCACTGCAGAACCGAGGGATCTTGGGCTCAATCTGTGCCCCTGTCTGTTCCAATCGGTACAAGCAATGCGCTGGCATGTGTTTGTGTAAACACCACTGTGTGATGTACATTAAAAAACCCTGGATAGCAGTCATAATGCACTGGCCAAATCATTCATCTACAACGAAGGGACTGGTCACCACATTTCGAGGACTGACTAATTTCAAGTCGTCTAAACATCCACTTGTTCAAATTTTTTTTTTTTTTTTTTTTACTTTTTTTGTTTAGAGATTTAGTAGACCTGCTACAGGAGCAACTGTATAAAGTTAGTGCCAGTAGAGGTAAAACAATTGCCCATACAAATAATGCACAAATCTGTGAGCACCACCTCTGAAGGTTATGCATAAAATTAAAGAAATATTGCCTGTGAACATAATCACGCACTTAGAGAAATTACTGCCTGTACACATAATGCCCCCTCACTCACGCTCATCAGTAGTCCACAGCAAATGTACACAGAAGACCTCTTTTTAATTTTGCATAAATCTGGCAACAAAAACCTCGTACGACTGGTTTTCCCAAGTGCATCATTGTTTCCTCACAAACAATTGACAGACTTCACGAAGAAGAAGAAAAAAAAAAAGAAAACACACTACCAGCAAGAGTAAATAAGCGTAAAAATGACAACACAATTCGATTATCAGAGTCCATCAGCCAGCCAGCCAGCCAGCCCCCCACGCAAAAAGTCCGTACTACAGGCAGAGCAGGCGGAGTGTGTGCCCGAATTATGCACTCGCGTGAACGCAACCGGAACCGTAAAAGACGAAGGGGACTACACTTGCTCCTTCGTTTTCTTTCTGTCGATCGCTCGCAGACGCCCCCTCGCTCCCTTGCCATGCAAATGAAGCCCGCAAACAGCGCGAGGGTCCGCCACCGTCACGTCACGGGCCTGCAGGCGGCGGCCGTGCAAAGCCGAGCGCGGCAGGGCGGACATTTTTGACAAAGGCGCGAGTGACGACCGAGTCCCGGATCTTCGAAACGCGGATTCACTTTGCAATCCGTAGAGATTCGCAGGACTAATTTAACAAGATTGTCTCGGCTACTTCCAACTCTTTAAGCTGCATTTTGCCCCTTCGTCGCATGACAGTGGACACAGCGCATAAGCTGCTCGACAGAAAGTGGAGAGAAGTGGCACTCGTTTTACTACCAACACACAGACCCTCAAGGTTAAAAAAAAAAAAAAAAAGTTAAAAGAGTACATAGAGTAAAAGAATATAATCGAACTTGGCCAAAGTGCTCCTAATGTTTCGTCTCAACGCGCAGCCAGCGCGGCTATGACGTCAACAAACGCAAGCTTGTTTATAAACAGCGCGTCGTTCTGTCAATTTGAAGAGCATGGGCATGGAACACATTAAAGAAAATGCAATCATATTTGAGTTTCATTCTTAGGGCAATTCAAGGCTGTGAAAGATGACCCAGCATCCATACGGACAACTCCCTTTTCTACAACGCAGACAGATTTTTGGCTGGGGGCCGTGTAATCAGCGAGTACCAAATAAAACATTGCAAGTGGCACTTTTATTTCCACAAAATTGTCACAAATGCATTAAGAAAAACAAGGTGCCCGGGAACTCTGTGCCAAAACTCCCCAGTCAAGCCAAATTGAAATTGAAATCAAGCCTAAATACCCATTTCGCCCTATGATATAGTATGTCCTGCCTCATTCTATCTCATCATTAAAGTCCACACGCCAAATATTAATTAAAAAAGTCCGTTTATTTTATCTTTTACTTAAAAGCGGTAAAAATATCTCTACATTTATTTTAATCAGTTATACCAAACCGGTTTCAGGGCGTCTTGAGATAACAGCCCAGGCACACCGTGCACTATATAATCCCCCCTCCCCCTTTCTCATTACTCAATTTTATTCAGAGACGGAACGTAACGTCCATGCATAACAGCCCGAAACGAATTCACAAAAAGTATCTTCCACAAGATTGAAAACGTCGACGCGAGGAGTAACAGCAACAGGAAGTAGAGAAGGACCCACGTAGGAAACGACCGCAACACATAAACCTCGGTTTATGCGTTGTTACTAGGCGCCTACCACACGTAAGGCCAACGGAAAGAATAGAGCTGCTCGAAACGAGCAAAATCCTCTGACCCAGAGACGCAGCGGAACATTTGGGTCAAGGGGCTTTCTCTGCTGCTTAGTGGGTCAGCGGGACATGGCGTTAGGCCTAGCGAAGGAGCTCGGCTCGGATCATCGTCCGCGTAGCAACACCGCCGTGCTGCCCCCTCGCGAAGAGCTTCCCCTCCCAACGCGTACATCTAATTACTAGTCGGTGCGGCAACGATGTGTTGTCGGTAATTATTCTCTTGCGAGTATTATTTGTGCAGCGCGGGGCGTCAACAAACACCGAGCGCACGGCGGCAGATTAAAGCAGACGACAACGCAGCGCCTCTCCGTCGACCTCGGGAGAGAACAGAAGACGGAAGCGGAAAACGGAGGACCCCGCTGTAGCACTAGAGACGCGGCGGTTGTAAACGTCACTTCCGGAAGTACGCTCGTGCTCGAGTTCGTGCTGCGCGCGTCGCTCGGGAGTATTGTTTCGAAAGTAATGACGGCAATAAATCACGGCATTCGCGCTATCGGACCATCTCGAAAGTACAGAAACAATGTGGGCGGTAACCACACACGGTAAAGGCAATTAGGCTCGACAAGGGGAATATATTTATTTAGATTACCGGAGCGCGGTAGCATAGGGTAAACTAAATAGCAGATTGCGTCACTGGCGCCACATCCCATGAAGGAAGTAAAAACAAAAAAAACAAAGGATACATATATTGTTTGGAAACTTAGCTGAGGTCACTTCGAAAACGACCAGAAAACTGTTTTAAATGGTTGAATGGGAACCAAGCAGGTTCAAATGTTGCTAATTCGCCAGGGTTTCGTCGAAGTAAAAGTTTGTCGCTATAAATGTAAAAAAATGCGTCAAAGGTTATTGAGTTTTTGTAACCCGAAGGATCAAAAATGGCCAGCAGACGGTAAACACAGTGTCCAATTTTAATTTTTCTTCGCCCCTAAGTATGCAGTTTCCAAGGGTCTACGAAAATTCCCATTACGGTACAAACTTTTTGTTGATGACGTACTTGACTTCTTAGCTTCATGGCCCAGAAAGAGACGAAAGAGAACAGAAATAAAAACGTAAGATAATTAAATTTTGGCTTAAAGCACCTGGGATTGCCTAACGTTCCAACAGAAATCTCGATAACACGGCTTTACAACGTGTAAGGCGTCAACACCGTAATAAGGTTTTCGTCAGATCGCGTACACTTCAGCCAAGATTTCAACCACTGCCCTGACAAAGAGAACATTCTTCTCCGGGATTTCGTATTTTGCCACCGCGGACCAAAAAAAAAAAAAAAATTGCAGACGACAGTTCCTTGTCAATATCAGAATGAGGTCACCTTCCGAGATAGTTTCACGTGACGTCACAGGGACGTTACGTCACGTGAGCCGACCGCTTCCGCCGCAGCGGACGAAGAGGAAAGACGGTATGCGTTACCGCTACCTTCACGGTGGTCCAGCAGCAAATAGTAAATACAAAGGTCGGGGTGGCGATCAATTGGAACCGCTAAGAATACATATATAGGGCATCGCCCGCTCGCCGCGAGGGCAAATAAAAGTGCGACAATTTGAACGTAACGCCCCTCGCTTCAAAAATCGCCTAAAAAAAATTTTTTTTACGTACTGTTGCGGACGCTACGCGACATCCCCAGCCAATTAGGCGCTGTGAACATAACAGGAGACTGCGAGCCCAGCGCGCCGCTGCGACCCTCCCAAAGGTCACGTGACACTCAGACGGCATTCGATTTGCTCCAATAGGGAGTTTTCGTAGATCGTTTTCGCCGTCCCGCAACGCTCTCCGCAACTCGCTACGATACCCGGAACTCTACAGTCAAGGCCATCGCCGCGCAGGCGCAGTAGCGGCTTCTCCGTTGCGGAGGGCTTAGCGGAGGGGGATACGCGGTCTACGAAAACTCCCTAATGGCTCGTAGCGTCCTCTGCGGTGAATTGTGAGGCTTTTCGCGCCGTCTCTCCCTACCCAGTCCATATCGTATTCCAGAAATGAAGGCAAATGCTAATACCCAAATTGGGGATCACTGCAAGGCCTCATCCGGATGCAAAAAAGCCATTCACCTTGTGACCACACATCCTAAGCTAAATGTTCTTATATTTAATTTAAAAAAAAAATGTTTTTTTTTTTGTTTGTTTTAGTGGAGTTACACATCAGGGTTTTTCCAGCTCATAGAGAAATGTTTATATACCATCTTAATGGGAACAAAAACTTCTAAACTGCTCTATTAATGGAAGCAGAACCTTCTAAAATGCAGTATTAATTGGGAGTACAAACTGCTAAAACACCCTTACGATGGGAGTAGAAACGTCTAGAACAGCACTAACGGGAGCGGAAGGTTCTAAAACGCCCTCGTAACGGGTGTAGGAAGGTCTAGAACACCACTAACGGGAGCGGAAGGTTCTAAAACGCCCTCGTAACGGGTGTAGGAAGGTCTAGAACACCACTAACGGGAGCGGAAGATTCTAAAACGCCCTCGTAACGGGTGTAGGAAGGTCTAGAACACCACTAACGGGAGCGGAAGATTCTAAAACGCCCTCGCAACTCGTAACGGTTGTAGAAACGTCTACGAGAACACCACTAATGGGAGCAGAGACTTCTAGAACACCATCCTTACGGAACTAAAATCGTCTACTACATCCTATTACAAGGGGTAGAGAAACAAAACCCCCATAAATCGCCCCTTTAACACCTTCTTCCCCCCTCCCCTCCCTCCCTCCCTCCCTCCCTCCCTCCCTCCCTCCCTCCCCCCAACCCGAAGCAAATTCCAAATAAAAAAAAGGAAAGATAGGAA